TCATCAACATCTGCTTCAATGTTCGGCGGTACGGCAACAAATCCTTCGTCGGGTGGTTCACTTTTTGGTGGTTCTGGTTTCAGTTCACCGCAACAGCCATCAAGTGGTTTTGGTTTGAGCGCTATTGCTGCGCAATCGAATCATACATTTGGATCATCGGCAACATTTGGATCGGCGCCAGCATTTGGCAGTCCAACACAGAAAGGAGGCGGTTTCGGTACATTTGCCAATACAAACCCAATTCCATCATTCACAACGCCACCAAAATCAAACTCACTGTTTGAAAGTCTTGGCTCATCTGATAATGCAATGACGTTTGGTAATTTAGCACAAAATGCAGCGGCCGCACCGAAACAATTTTCTGGCGGGTAGGTTACATTTTTTTAAAAGTTGCTTTTTACTCAGTTTTAATATAAATGTTGATATTTATCAATTTTTCATTCAACATTTTTACAGAACATCATTTTCAAGTTGGCGTTAATATCGATATGACTTACATATAATACATATTCAATAATTCAAAGTTATCGTTTTGTTTAAAAAAAAATTATGAACGAAAATTAAGTTGTTTGTAGTTTGATCAACAATCGAAAAATAAAGAAACGTAAAAAGAATTCCTGTTTATTTATTTGTTCTGCACATGTTTGAAAACGATGCGAATTGGTGTATTCTTGTGTTTTATTGCTGGATGCAAATATATTTTTTTTTTTCGAATTTTCTCATTTAGAATTGAGCTTATAACAATTTAATTGGTCTGAACCAATTTTAGATTTTCGAAGCACTTTCGAAAAATGATAAAATGAAATAATTTCAAATCAAAACAAAACTTCATGCTCTTGAAAAATAAGTTCATTTCCAAATTTTTGTCGTTGGACAAATGAAACGTTGCGATAATGGGTATCAAAACAACAACTGTCACTGAACGTGTCAAATATATTAGGATAAACACAAAAACGAAATCTGATACAGTTTGAACTAGAAAAATCGCAACAAAAATTATTTCACTCGGAAAAAGAATGGTTTCGTTTGCAAAAATTCCCGATTTGGTCGGTTATTTGGTGTTAACCGAATACGGTGCTGTTCTTGAAAGTGATGGCGACTTGAAAAACGATGAAAATTGCGCAAATATTATCACTTCAATCATCAACTTAGCGGATAGGTACGCTCAACAATATTTTGTTCTTTAAAATACAAAGAATTTTTTTTCTATTTTCGATTACCATTTAAATTGGTTTTGATTGAATCGTATTTGTTGTTATCCATTCCAGTGCCGATGAGAATACATTGCCAAAGAGTGATTGTCACCGAATTTCGGTTATCTTTGAAAATCACAGCTATACAATTTGCCTGTCGAATAAAAAGATCTATGTAGCCAAGCGTGCAATACATGGAGTCAGTCATCAACAACAGTCATCTCCGCCAGTCACAACCATTGGATTTCAAGCAGACGACAATAGTTCGAATTCGGATCTCAATGTTCAACAATCGGTCTGATATTGATTTGTTAAAGTTGATTCAGAAATAAAAGTCATTTGTTTATATCATGTGTTATCATTAAACTGTTTTAGTTTTTTTTATTTTGAGTACAAATGATGTAGTTCTTTTGCAATCGTCGATAGCAAACGATTGAATTAATTGAAAAAGAAACATTTATATGGTAAATTTATCAAGGTTGAAATCCAATTGAAAATAGGCGCTCAATTTCAAAATATCCCAATGTAACCTTTTTCTTGCTTGATTAATTGGATATATTCAAATATGGTAACAACCTTTGGTAACACTATAATCACGACAACATTTTGACTCTTCACTCATATAAATCGAAATTGTTCGCCATTTACAAGTCATTATCGTTGGTTTTCACATCATCTACTGATTTACAATGTCGGATATAGAACAGGTTTTGGATCTCTTTAAAGACTTCATCGTCGACAAAACAGAAATGATAAAAATGATAATTGCAAAATCTAACGAAAATAATATGGAAATTCCAAAGGGTGAAGAACCAAAGTGAGTAAATTGAGTTAAAAAGTTTTCATGTTTTTTTTTGTACAGTTACATTTTTTTCTACACCAATCGTAATGTAATGGATGAAAAAAATGATAAACAAATTAGAACTGATATACGTTTGAATGTTGATTTATTTCTTAGCCCACCACCGAATGACACCATCGAAGACATGTCTGTGAATATGGAAGATGACACGGAAAATGATCAATCAACGTGAGTTTGATACAATTTGTCAATACATTCTGATCGACTAAATATGTATTTTTACTATTTAACTAGTGGGCGAAAGAGACTTGATTTAACGGATCGAGGTCGAGAAGTTATCACGAGATGTATGACAGATGATCCCGTTTCCGATTATAGTTATAATGACGCAGTGGATGTCATTAATGGTATTTTTGCTAACTATCAAGTACGTATTTTGCCAGACGGCAAGGATAGTTGGATCATCGTGTATCGTCACAACAACACTACCCCAACTAAACAAATTGATGTGATTTCGGTATCACGGGAATTTGATTTTCGAAGAGATTTGAGTGAGAATTTACGAACAGAAATAAAATCTATCTCTATGCTTAAGGATCTTGAAAACCCGTTAAAGTATGTTACTTGCGAGACGGAAATCGACAAACCAGAACTACGTCAAGATCAGTTCATTTGGTCGTTCGCTGTATCGCTAGGTCTCGCCATGAAGCAAGCGACATATCCAGAATACGATTTGCCATTTAAATGGGAAAACGGAAACGATCTTAACAGAACGCGCATTAGAAATGCAATCGCTGATATTTTGCAAAATGGTTTAATGACAGATGATCCGAACGGCACTGTCTGGCAACAATAACTTTTTAAATCAACATTTTTTTACTCTTTAATTTTCATTTCAAATTAGAACTGATATTTTCCGAAAAATACTACGTTTTTCGAAATCTGTAAAATAAAAATTGTAGTTAGAAAATAGGCTGAAATAATAAAAATTGCATCAAGTTCAAAAAGAAAGAGTTTACTAAAAATTGTAAAAGCTGGTGTATCACATACATACATTGACCAGGAAATGTGCGTTTTTTAAATGATATTAAATGGTGATTATGAATATGAAGTCTCTTTCGTTTATACTCTGATGATGTTCAAAACAGTTTTGCTTTCATTTTCAAGAGTTACAATTTAGACGTTTTGTAGATACATTTGCACATTCGTTGGGAAATTAAAGCGAAACATAGAACTTTTATGACAGTCAAAACGAAATCTCACGCATACAAAAGGTGCGAAATCTATTTTTATTAAAATGCATTAAATTTTATTTCGAATATGGTAATAACCTTTGGTAACACTATAACCACGACGAAATTTTGACGTTTCACTCATGTAAATCGAAACTGTTCGCAATTTACAAGTATTATCATTGGTGCCGCATAAACAATGTCGGATAGATTAGATATAGAAAAAGTTTTGGATCTCTTAAAAGAGTTCATAATCGAAAAACCTAAAATAGTAAATATGATACTTGAAAAATCTAACGAAAATAATTCGGATGGAAATCCAAATGAACAAAACCCAAAGTGAGTAAATTGAGTTAAAAAGTTTTCATGTTTTTTTTTGTACAGTTACATTTTTTTTCTACACCAATCGTAATGTAATCGATGAAAAAAATCATAAGCAAATTAGAACTGATATACGTTTGACGTTTGAATGTTGATTTATTTTTAAGCTATTCGGCTTTCGATCCGCCTCCGAATGATACCATCGAAGACATTTCTATGGATGTGGAAGATGACACGAAAAATGATCAATCAACGTGAGTTTGATACAATTTGTCAATACATTCTGATCGACTAAATATGTATTTTTACTATTTAACTAGTGGGCGAAAGAGTCTTGATTTATCGTTACAAGAGCGAGAAATTATCACGAGATGTATGACAGATGATTCCGTTTCCGATGATAGTTATAATGGCGCGGTGAAGGTCATTAATTGTGTTTTGGCTGTCCATCAAATATGTATTTTGCCAGACGGCAAGGATAGTTGGATCATCGTATATCGTCACAACAACACTACCCCAACTAAACAAATTGATGTGATTCCGGTATCACCAGAATTTGTTTTTCGAAGAGATTTGAATGAGAATTTACGAAAAGAAATAAAATCTATCCGTATGTTTAAGGATCTTGAAAACCCGTTAAAGTATGTTACTTGCGAGACGGAAATCGACAAACCAGAACTACGTCAAGATCAGTTCATTTGGTCGTTCGCTGTATCGCTAGGTCTCGCCATGAAGCAAGCGACATATCCAGAATACGATTTGCCTTTTAAATGGGAAAACGGAAACGATCTTATCAGAACGCGCATTAGAAATGCAATCGCTGATATTTTGCAAAATGGTTTAATAACAGATGATCCGAACGGCACTGTCTGGCAACAATAACTTTTTAAATGAACATTTTTTTACTCTTTTATTTTCATGCAAATAACTTACAAGTACTATCACATTTTAAATCAATTAATATTTTCCGAAAAATACTACGTTTTTCGAAATCTGTAAAATAAAAATTGTAGTGAGAAAATAGGCTGAAATAATAAAAATTGCATCAAGTTCAAAAAGAAAGAGTTTACTAAAAATTGTAATTTAAATTATTGATTGAGTGATTCTGAAATATAATTTCGTTTATGAATGCTCTAGATACATTCGCACTTTCATTGGTAAATTAAAGCGAAAAATAGATGTTTTATGACACTCAAAAAAAATCTTACGCATATAAAAGGCAATGTGAGAGTTTTTCGAATGAAAAACCATTTTTATTCAAGTGCATTAAATTTTATTCAAAAATCAGTTTTATCGGGGATTATTTTGCAATTTGAAAGAAGTGAATTTATTTGGTTTCACTTTTATACAAAATCTAGCAATTCAATCAAGCTCATGAAACAATTTGTAACGCAAATTCATCCATTAACAGGAACAAATTCACGATCAAATTTGAGTTCAGATTTATGAGTGGTTTCGGTCACATTCAGGTGTAAATACATGGAAAAGAGGAACCACATAATGCATTATAACTCGCCTACGCTAAGAGTAGCAGACTTACAAAATTGTTATATTTATAAATTTCTTTGAATGTGGATTTTGGACTGGTTGCAGCAAGTTGGCGACGTTCAGAATCATGCTTGCGTGAATTTCGCTAATGATTGTAACGCGGCCGGTTCAATGAAGCTGACTAAATCCAAATCGGCAGCGAAGAAGTCGACAAAGTCCTAAGTAATCGAAAACAAAAAAAAAATGTAAACAATGAACAAATACTATTGTCAATTGATCGATGAATGATTGACAATCATCAAATACATACCAATGAAAAAACCAAGTTTTGTACATAATTTTTATCTTTGACACTAATGTTTGTTCACCTGTACTCCATATTCAGAAATAATCTCATGCCTTCTCGAAACATTTGTCTCGTTTGCTACGCCGTGATGGCAATAATACTAGCGGATTCGGTCTGCAATTTCGACATAATTTAAATCGATACGGCCTTGTGTACCTTAGAAATGGTCGTTGACAAAGTGGGCAACTTTGTCGTGATCTCCATTCATCTTTGAATCTCACATTTGAATGGCCAAGTTTCATGATGCACGAGAGATTTGAGCTCCACAAAATGAAAAATGGTAATGTTGTTGTGTGTATGTGTATTATTGTACACACTCGACACTCGTACAGTAGAAAAGAGCCAAACTTAAAATTATGTTGATAGAGAATAATTGAATGCCGTTAATTTATTTCATTTTTGTTCTTCGCATTTGATTTGTTTATTCCTGAAATTAAAACGTTTATTAAGTGTTTCAATTGCTTATTATGAGTCGTTAGCATTGACAAATTTTCATAACAGATCTTGTTCACATGAAGCAAAAAAGTTGCTTTTTAATTGGTTTTATTGAGAACATATTACGTTCGAACGTATTTTATTGAGAACAAATTTGGTTTTTTGTAACGAATTCTATCTATTTACTTCAGATCTCGGGCTATCAAGAGCAACTGCAAAAAGACGAAACATATGGATATTGATTGAGTTTGATAAACATATGTGTGTTTCCGACAGTGGAAGTGCGCTGCCTTTTTTGCTTCCACAGAAGTTTCCATAATCCCAGAGGTTTACAAACGCCGATTATTTGTTTATACTTATATATACAATATATATGCCGTTATCGAATGCTAATTGTCAAACATTATTATATATTTTTCAATTATATCATTCAAACTTTCAAAATAATTTTATCTCGAGCATTTGAAGAGCAAAAAACTTACTTCCGATCTATTGCTTGAAAAGTGGATACTTCATATATGAAGTATGTATGGTATCCATTGGCTAATTTTATATCAATATGCAACTCTACTGTAGTGTTGAGTACCATCTCAATTAATGACGTTTCATTACGTTTGTTTTCCTTTATTTTTATCGTTTATTATGGAAAAATTATGTAATATGGAAAATATCAGTTAATTGCAATAATTCGATGATCTTTCATTCGATCATGGTATTTTCATCGTTGATTCAACAGAATCATTTGACGCAATTTTTAAGCCAAAAATATTATTAATTCAATTGAATAGAACATTAATAATTTAGCCAAAAAATTTCATATAATAGAAAAATATCGATATTTCAATTAACAATTCCGGCGAAATTTTGTACTACATCCGAAGAGTTAGCAAGCGGGAAATTAAGATTGAACCTTAATTCAACGAATTCAACCATATTTCGACCCCTGCCCACAGCAGTGCTCAGAAGCTATGGGTCCGTCTCTGCAAATCTCCGTTTGACATTTTTCAGGTTGGCGAAACATTTTACACACTTGATCAGCCTACATTGAATTGAATAAATAATTAAATTAAGTTTAAAATTGGTATGTTCATAAAACATACGTTGAAATAAACGTAATATTTGTATAACACATACAAATTTACAGAAACCTAAATGGTGTATTGAAGTTCGTTAAATTGTTTTGCCTTTGTAGAAATTCAAACATTGGTAGCGTTCGGTCGTTGTTCATATGAAAATAATTTATTTATTAGCGAAATTTAAAGTAGATTATTTTTGCGAATTGTGAATATTGAATAATTGATATATATGAATTAGAGGAATTTTATTTGAATTTCCGTTATTTTTCTACAATATATGATGCATCTTTCCACTTTCACAGAGAAATAATATGCGGAATGGTTTGCCGACAAATTATACGAATAATAACATTATTCAAAAGACATCAACAACACGATGATGAAAAAAGAGAAAGAAAAAAATCGTTTCAAAGCCGTTTCCAAAAAAAAAAAACTTTAAAAAAATTTCGTATCCGGTGTATTTTACATTGAAGCGTCCGTTCTAGTTGTCATAATCGCCAATAATTTTTGTCAAATCACAAAACAGTATAAAATTCAATACAATAAATCAATTATGGAAAGAAATAAAGTCATATTGATCAGCATTCATCGTAATCTTCAGTTGACTGGTTTTTCTTTTCACATTAACAATTTGATTTTGCACAAATACGAACTCCAAATGAAGTGAAGTTTGAATAAAACACTAACGCAAAGTTCGTGCATCAACCTAATCGTTGTTGATGTGCGCCTGTTCCAACATTGTCGACGTTTAGTGCAAACGGTCCGTAATATACGTTTGTCATTTCGATTGTGTCGATCTGTGCGTTCTTTTTCATTATTTTCTCTTTCGTTTGCTCTATCTTTGTCTCATTTTGGTGTTCATTCTGTCTCTTATTTCTTTTTGCTTTTCCATGCCAAGTTGATATCTATTCATTTGCTCTTCATATTCACTGAAAAAAAAAACAAAGACAACCGTATTTGTTGGTTGTAGCGAATTTGTCGTTTATTTATAAAATAAAATTGGCTATTAACCATGTATGATGGAAATATAAAATATTGAACTACAAATGCTCTTTAACGCCATACATTTGTTCTTTGTCATGAAAAGTTGATAGAAAATGTTCACCATTTTCATCTCTTTCATATTGTATGACGAGATCACAAATTGTCATTCTTTGAAGTAAAATCGCTGAAAAAAGTCTCACTATCTCTTTCACACAGATTTCTCTCTCATTTGGAGTCATCTTAAGTCGACACTATCTATCCAATGAAATGGTGCTGCGAAAACGCAACGGCAAGTGAAATGAAATCATCTTATGTACGAGGCGATCAGAATATTTAACATGAAACAATATCCGGAGAATGGTCAGCTGTTCAATCTTACACCTCTTGTTTTCAATATAGCTATCTCTTGTTTGTTATTTCTCTCCAACCTATCGGAGTGAATTGTGCGGTGAATGGAGAAATAACAAATTGTCCAAAAAGAAACATCGAAAACAATCATGTTCACGAAGTGACGAACGATGTTGATGCGAACACATAAAATGAATATATTTCAGTGTCGCGTTGGTCGTTGTGGTTGCTATTCGCCGCACAATTGTACTGTTGCTGTTGATGCACATTTTGCATGAATTCGCATCGAAAAAGTGGAACAGCGACCGGGAAGTCATTTCACTGTTGGCTTTTTGCGTCATCATAGCATCAACAGAGTTCAATTGAGAACAGGCAATCATGAACAAAAGCCTATTGCCATTGTCCGTCATTTGTCAAATGCGGTTTGTTTATAAAAACCAACACAAACACACACACACACACACACACACACTGTCGGTTGCACACATCAGTGAACAAAAATCATTAAATTAGTCATTGTAATCAAACCATTTGGAGACATTGGGTCGATGCAAATAGCAAAATTAACAGCGGCGAAAAACTTGAAAATTAAAATAAAATCATTTTCCCTCCTAAATCGATTCAACTCGCAACACTTAATACATGTGTATTTTGGCAGATCCACTTCCAGTATGTCTTTTTCACTTTTTCAAGCAGTTGAATGACGATTTAAACAAATGGAATGGTTGAATAAGAATTTGAATGTATGGAAAGGTGTTGCACGGTGAGAAGAAAACAGACAGTTGAAAAAGAAATAATGGAAAATAAAATGTGTGCAAATTAGTCGTCGAGTAGTACCACCACTTAGAATGCATAATTTCAGCCTCCTTAACATGCTTGATTGTGGAATAGGCACACATAAGCGATAAGATATGTCAACTTTGTTTAAGTTTGTTCAAATTAAACTCATCTACACTTTTATCATTGACCGAGTCGATTTTCGAAATATAACCATTTTTCACTGAAACGAAATAAATCGTAATTCGCCTTTTCCTTATTTTCACTTAATATTGGTTTTTTTTGTGCGATTTTTGTCCAAAACAATAGTTATCGAATGGGTGAAAAAGAGAGTGAGAGACACAATATGCGGTTGTCTTTATCACACCTCACCCGTACCGGACAATGAAAGAGATAGAATTTTGAAACGGAACGAGCAATATGGGCAGTGTACCTCAATTCACTTGCTCGGAAAGCACTCATTTATACGGCGCACAGAATGAACAACATCAAATGTATAAAATACACATACGGTTGTCGCACATCAAAAACCAATCCGTTTCCTTAGTCTCACATTGAACAGCATTTCATTCATATCGCAAATAAGAAAATAAATGCATAGCTATTCCACTTGCTATGACAGAAGATTCATTTTCAAACATTTTGCCACCATGAAATCCAGGATGAATTGGATTTGAAGGTGCAAAACAATAATCAGCATCAAATTTTCGGTTTCTTCATCTTTTCGTTTGTTCTTTTTTTTCGTGTATTCCACTCAATACACACACTGGATTCATTGTACTTGTCTGAATTATGGAATTCGAAATCAGAACAAACCGAATGGAAACAACTGTTTTTCGTTCGATTCCATTTCGTTTCGAATTTTTTTTTTGCTCAATTCTCAGCAATGAAATTTTAAATGCAATCGATTTATTCGATGCACGCAATGTGCGATTAAAATATTTTTTCATGGCAAATGACTTTCATATGTTTTCAATGAAAAAAGTTATTTTATGCCTTTCTGCATACAATATTCCAGATTCCATTTCGAATTGGTTATGATTAATTTCGATTTTGGACCATAAGAAATTCGATTCAATTTGAATGTGTCAAGGCGTTGAGAATCAAACTCATCAGCAAATGTTACATGGTCATTACGAAATCCACATGCTTCCACTTGAATTCAAAATGTTCCGTTTTCGTTTTCGATTTGTTTGATTTCATTTTAAAATGAAAATTTCCAAATATATTTCGTCTTTTAAACATTTAAATTAGCCATTAGTTTTGTTTATTTTGCCATTCATTGACAATTCCAACCCAAATATGTTGAATGGATTCTGAAAATTGATGCGTGATCAAATGAAACAATTGAAAAAAATTGGCGCAATTCGGAAAAAAGGGTTTAAAATGGAATGAAATTCGGAATAGGCGAACAGGCGTTCAGAAATAACAGCACATCAAATTGACTGCATACAGGTTCCAATTTGTTGACTGTATGGCGCAGTTGCCGACGCACACTTGTACACACGAACACACAATTCAACCCATTCAATGGTATTGGTATCGGTTTGTCACACAAAAAGATGGTTGCGTGTCGATTCAAAACAAAGAAACGAACGAGAGAAACGTCAAAATACTTTTTGGGAAATGGACTGTGCACAGACTCAAGCAGTCCTCTAACACACATCCATATCTAATTCATAATGTATTTGCTTTCGTTTTTGCCAGAGTGTTTTTTGTTGATGCTCACATTGAACTATTTTCCACGCAAGTTCACAGTCGATACACGCATACACACGCACATACACATACTCGGTCTGTGTATATAGTGGTTGAAAGCAAAACTGAAACGTCAAAAGTTATCGGCTAAAATTTTCGTTGCTTTGCATTGTTGGAACATTTTCTATATGTTCCGAATTATAACATCGCTATTTTGTGGTTGAATTAGAAAAAATCATAGAATTGATAACGTCCATGGTGAGACAATTTAATGGTCTTTATTTTATAAATTGCAACATTTTCAAGTCCCTGAAATGCGTTGACAATGTTGTTTGTTGTGATTTTGGTTTCCATTCAGTGCCAATGGATATTGCTAATTGGAATTTTTTTGGTGTTTTCTTCGTGATTAGGCTCGGAATCGAAAAAATGCCGGCAACAATACCAACCCACCGACGATAGGCAATGTGAATAAAAGTAGCAGCAGCACCGGCAGCTCGGGATCACCTTCGTCTATTGGCCATGGTAGTAGCGCTAATCATCCCAAATCAAATGCAAACAAAACTAAAGGCCAGTACATGGTGATGACAAAATGGCGATGGTTCTTTATGTTTGGATTCTTGCTGATACCAGCCTATTTTGGTTATATTGGATATTTGGAAACCCGAGTCAATACACCATTTGATGCAAAAAAAGTAAGTCAACGAATACCATTATTGGTGTCGTGGTTTTTATTTCATTTGGCAAAGAATGATTTCAAGGGTGGAAAAAAACATTAAAATTTACTCAATTGAAGATGGTACAACACACGCCACACGAATTTGCTGAACGTTTCTGGGGCTCATATCGGCCAGGCACTTATTTTGGTTTGAAAACTCGCGACCAAGATTCACTTGTAATGGGATTGATGTGGTTTTCACCGCTTCGACTTGGTTCGGGCGGTGAAGGTATTCGGTAAGTTGTAAAATTTCATGCAAATTTATATGAATTTTGATGTCAAACAAAATGACCGTTTCAAAATAATATTAATGTATCTGAGCGAAAGGTCAATTTGATTTTCATTATTGATTATTGTTCACATTGTTCCCAAATGCCTATTTAAATATCCACAAAGAAAAATCATTTTGAAATGTCTTGGTTCTTTCGTAGGCATTGGTGTGAAAACGGCGACAATCTCGATAAATACGGTTGGTTACAACATGATGGTCGTACATTTGGCTATCAAGAAATACAAGACTTTCCATTCACATTGGAAACATCGTTCGTTAAATTTCCGCGCGGTACCAAAGGTGGTGACTGGACGTCTCGTATATCGGTGAAAAATAATTTCCCAAACAGCGTTGAACCGATTTCATTAATTTGGTATGTTGCGCTCGATTCAAAAACGGTTGGTACATTAACAACATCGACGAGTGCATCGTCTGCATTGCCGGTAATTCGTGGTGAAACATCAACTCTAGGCGATTTCATATTGAATTTTGAAGCGATCAATGGAACAATCAAACACCATTCATACTTATCAACGGTTGTGCCAAGTTTACGGTATTTGCGTGAAACGCTTGCGTCTGTCATTTATTTTGCCAAAGACAAGGCATCACGAGAGAAAATCTTAGTTTTGCCAGGTGAATTATTACGAAATAATCAAGGTGAAATGTTCGATCCAAATTTTATTGCCGTTATGATAACCGTTGAAGCACCATTCACACTTGATATTGTCTATCGGTCATTTAACGATTTAAAATCGAGTGGCAGTGAATTGCCGGCAAATGCACCAGTCGGTGAATTGTATACAAATGCGTTGAAAGCAAAACAAGGTGAATTTCGTCAACGATTCGAGAAAACGTTTCGATTGAGAGATAAAGGCTATACACAAAATGAAATTCAATTTGCCGAAGCGGCAATGAGTAATATGGTTGGTGGCATTGGTTACTTTTACGGTTCGTCACAGGTGCAAAGTGAACGAACGGCAATGCCAGTGCCATATTGGAAGGCACCATTATATACAGCAGTACCATCGCGTAGTTTCTTTCCACGTGGTTTTTTGTGGGACGAAGGTTTTCACGAGCTATTGATTAGCACATGGGATGTTGACATTGCATTGGATATTATATGCCATTGGATGGACTTGATAAATGTTGAAGGTTGGATACCGCGTGAACAAATCCTTGGTGATGAGGCATTGGCCAAAGTGCCCGATGAATTTGTTACGCAACACAATACCAATGCAAATCCACCAACATTTTTCCTTAGTTTAAAATTAATCATAACAAAATATTCGCATTTATTAACGGGAAACAATCGATTGGAAACATTGGAACGTTTGTATCCTCGTCTTCAAGCCTGGATTAATTGGTATAATACCACACAAATTGGCACACAATTCAGTACGTATCGTTGGCGTGGTCGTGAAATTTATTTCAAAGAAAATGAACTTAATCCAAAAACAATGGCATCCGGTTTTGATGATTATCCGCGAGCATCGCATCCGGACGATATGGAACGTCATGTTGATTTACGTTGTTGGATTGCATTTGCTACAGGTGTTATGGCCGAATTGGCCCATTTATTGGGCAGAGATGATACAAAATATTTGGAAACGCATTACTATCTGTCGGACAATGCGCTATTAAATAAATTACATTTATCGCCGCATTCAAAGACATATGCCGATTGGGGACTTCATACTGATTCGGTGGCATTGAAAGCTGTACGTCAACCAACGTTAAATCCACAACAACATCCACAACAACCATTGAAAAAGATTCGTGTGCATCGTACACCGCCCGAATATAAATACGTTGAATCGTCATTTGGCTATGTTAGTTTATTTCCATTTCTAATGGAAATTTTAACACCCGATTCACCGTATTTAGAGAAAATTCTTCATAACATTCATGATCCAGAAGTGCTATGGACCAATTATGGTCTTCGTTCATTGTCCAAACAATCACCAATGTACATGAAACGAAATACAGACGATGATCCACCATATTGGCGCGGTCAAATTTGGATCAATATTAATTATTTAGCATTAAAGGCACTACATCATTATGCAACACAACCAGGACCATACAGCGAAGATTCAAAACGGATTTACACCGAACTACGACACAATGTTGTACGGAATATAATAAATCAATACAAACGCTCCGGTTATATTTGGGAACAGTATAATGATTCAACGGGTGAAGGTTCGGGATGCAAACCATTTACCGGATGGTCGGCATTGGTTGTTCTTATAATGGCAGAGCAATATTAAACTTTAATCATATAGTCATGTTTCCGAAGTAGTGAGAGATATCAACAATCGTATCAATTAGTTCCTTTCTCTTAATATACGTAATTTAACTTAATGCAGACCTGGACCTTTTTAATGAAAACATATTTTAATGAGACGAGGAAACCACGCAACTAAATACGAACATTGAATTATTCTCAAGAAAACTGCCCTGATGATTGATCTAGTTTTTTTTTTTTTTCACTTTAAAGCAGATAATTTAGAAGAAAACCAAAAAAAAAGAAACTTCTTTACATCCATGTCGTTCGATTTTAACAGAAAATCTGTTGTGATTTTTAATTTAAATAAATTGTATATAGATTAGTGCAATTTAAATCAAACTTGAAAATTAGAATAAAAATGCCTAGGCATCGAGTTACTTTTTGTCAATGAAACAAGTCAATAAAACCAAAAAAATTCTGAACAAAAAAAAACATTTTTTTCTGCATTTTTTTAAATTGTTCATCAATTTTTATAAGAAAATATATTACAACTTGAAACAAACAGACAGAACAACCAGATGGCGTCACTTGTATGTGGCAAACATGGCAAATTCTTTTGTATGTATGTATGTATGTGTAATGTAATTTGTGCTGCCATAATTCAATGTTTATGTGGATTCGTTCAGTGTTGTTTCATTTTATCTACGGATCGTATAATTGTCAAGTTTTCAATCCATACAATAATAAAACGTCGTCCATTTTTGTTGAAGGTACAGGTTTTTTTAAATTTTATATTTAATCTTTTTACACATACAATTGAGTTTTCTAAGTAGGAAAGAGATTCATAAACGAATTTCATTATATATTTTGTCGTTCATAGAGTAAAATTTTTGTCAAGATAAAAAAGAAAATTATTGTTCATTTTATTTACTTTTTCTCCATCTTTTTCATTCGAAACAGAAACGATAATTAATTGGATGAGTTCGAGTGTGTTGTGTGAAAAAATTTTTTTTTGAAAAAACTAAGCCCAAATTTGTGTATCAAATTTTTATCCATTGAATATAAAAAACAAAACACAACCAACAGAATTTAAATATGAAAAAGGTTGCCTTAAAAACAATGCAAATACCTATAACGATGGTGAGTGTGATATTTTCATTTATTATTATTGTTTTAAATTTGATATTTAGATTTGGTTTCATGTGTGATATCATACATTATTTAAAGAGAAATATTAACACATACATTCATACAGGCCATCAGCCTTACGAGACTATCATTAACATACACTCATTGATTTCAATTGACCTTTTGAGTCATGCTTGAAGAAAAAAAAAACGAAAGAAAGAAAAAATTTCAACGAAAAATACCCAAAAGAAATCTCTCGAATGTTATATGCATTGGTTTGATGGGTAATTTGGTGCTAATGCATAAAATTTGCTGTGTATGTGTCTATGTGTGTGAATGTTTATGTTAGGCGTTTACATAACATGCATTCATTCATTCTTTATAAGAGCATTTTGCGCGCGCTAATTTCTTATACACATATTTCATATTATATATTCGTGTGTTATTTTCTCTTGAATTTTCTCTATACATATTCATCAAGCGTAAAATATATATTGAAATTAAATTGAATTTTTCGTGGGCACAAAGATCGTCAATACTTTTGTTGTCGGATATGTTTTTGTTTTTTTTTTCTGATTCTTGAAAAACCGACAAAAATTATCATTTAGATAAGTTCTTTGCGTCATTATAATTTATACGGCATTCCATGATACGTAAAACATAATAAAAACAAGGTATATAGACAATTGATAATGATCATGATGATGATGAGTTTAAAAGTAATTCACAATGTACATATTGTTATGCCTTCAATTTGAGATCACATGGTACGTGTGACTAAACAATAACAATCAAACCAATCCGGTGTGCTTGTGTGATAAGACTGATTGGCGATGAGCTTGATGCATATGTTGTTATCCATATGATAGAAGAAAACATTCCATTGTTATTGCAATCACTTTCATTGCAAATATTTTTGCAGTTTACATTCTACGTCATACGTGACATTCGTACATTTTATTATTTAAAATTATTACCGATTCGGCATTATTATTGAAAGTTTCATTGATTTAATCGCATGTGAGTTGTGTTTAAGCATGTGAGTTGTGTTGACAATATTGACTTAGACTAAGCGGTTTTCTCGGAATATATCTAATGCATGCCTTTGATATTTAAACAGGGACTACCGCGACATATTTATAGTAAGATATTTATTTATAATACTTGGAAATAAGTCTTATTTCGTTGCGTGCACGCTACATTGCAAACGCACGACTCTGCTTGTACATACACAGAGACGAAGAGCGCAAAGGCTACTCTGTGTTCTCTGTGTATAAACAGAGTCTTACGTTCTTGCTGCTGTGTGCGCACAACGAACAATATAATTATCTTGTTCGTTGTTTGTCATTCTTACAAGCAGCTTGATCGTTTAAATGAATGCAACGGATTTTAATGTCAATAAATTTTTTTTTGCTTCAAAAATTTAAAAATATTCCAAAGGAATTCATATCAATTGGTGTTGTGTTGTGTTGTGTTGTGTTTGTTTTGTTCATGCATATCATATTTTTTCGATTTTGTGAGTGTAATACTCACAAGAACCAACGAAAATATATCAATAAGATAAAAAAATGAGAACTTATCCGCCTGAAATTTAAACTTATTAACAATACTCGGCGATACTCGGTCTGTGAATAAAGCCATGCAATTATCGCGCCACATTCACAACACAAAACATAAAAAATTATTTATTTATCATTTATTAAGCATGCAAATTTTTATGTTTACACTCTATTTAGAAAGAACATTTGTCAGTTCAAGTCGTCTTTATCTTCAAACAGATTCTGTTTATACACAGAGAACACAGAGTAGCCTTCGTCTCTGTGTATGTACAAGCAGAGTCGTGCGTTTGCATTGTAGCGTGCACGCAACGAAATAAGACTTATTTCTAAGTATTATAAATAAGTATCTTACTATAAATATGTCGCGGTAGTCCCTGTATTCAAATACGATTCGCGGAGTGTATGGTTTTGTTTTAATAAGTGTTTTATTATTGTGTTGCCAATCATTTGTTCATGTCATGCCACGTGAAATAAAAACACAATATTATTGCAATATTAGAGTTCTTCTACTTGAATATCGATGGTAATATCATCAGATGCAAAAAAAATACTGGTTTTCACCACAAACTCGGTCTTTCTGTATAACTGCACATTTTTTTAAAATTCTATATGCTGAACTTTAAAACTGTTGCTGCTCAAATTGAGTCATGAATTTTCGAAAGTCATATATATATATATGTATATATGACAAAAATGTTGTATATGTTTTGCAGCATGCGGTGCAATTGTGATTGCAGTGATCTAATTCTATTTTAGTTCAAACGAAATAGAGGTAAAATGACAGTTAAATAGGTAGAGCAAAGAAAAAAACCGTGAGCAAAATGACGTTTAGTTTACACTAAGCATAAGAATTTTTTGTGAATTTGTATTGCGATTTTTGTTCTCGATTTTCTCAAATTTTAACATGTCACATAAGTCCGGGTTTTTTTGTTGTTGTTACCAGCGCTTTATCGCTGCCACTTCACGTAATCACCAATGAATGTGGGTTTTTTTTGTATTTGCGAGTGACTGACCTTGAACAATTTTTTCTTACCTTTTTTCGCTTGCAATTCGAACGCGTGTGTGAGTGTATGATATGTGTGTGTGTTTCAATACATGCATATTAAGCAACAAATCCGCAACATCTGTTGTCCGCTGTTGAATGAATGAGTGAACTAGAGCAGTGAACATGAACTAATTAAGAATTTAGAATCTATCTCTGGCAAGACAAGATGCACCTCTCATTATCACGTGAACCCACCCCATTCTCGGTGCATCGTAGTAATTTAAACAAGTTTAGTAGCTAAAGCCACACAGCTTTGCAATAAAAAAATACTTTTGTCTAAATTAAACGTATGACGGGGGAATTGAATGTCAAAACCAGTAGAATGAGATATGTAGCCTTTACCTATCCTCCGATAGCTCGTGCCATCGCTTGTCGCTTATAATTCACAAATTTTATGGCAATTGAATTTGTGACAGTAGTGCTCTATACTCACATTCATATCAAGCAAATACTGCGATAATCGAGAGAGCTACAGAGACACAGAGAGAGAGAGCAAGAGAGAGAGAGATAGAATAAATTTTCTGATTCGCTTACATACATACATACTCGCAATTGACAATAATTGTCTCCCCATTTTAGTGTGAACATTAACTGAATGACACCGAATTATTTGCAATCAGTTTTGAAGTGTTGCATAAATGTAATGTTAGTTGTTCTGAGTTTTATTAACAACAAGTTAGTTCTTCTCAGTTTTATTTTTTGGAGCGATGCATGTTGTGTAGTTTGTGTGTGATATAAAAAAGTATGACAAAAATTCAAATTGACTGAAGATGTTGTTCATGCATGCATCAAATGCATTTTATTTCATTTATTCCTCCACATTACGAATTGCTGTGTGTTCTCATGCACTTTTTTCTCTTTTTTTATTACAGAATTGTGGGCCCACTAGAGCAGCCAATTCGTGAAAATAAAACGAAACAAAAAAATATATATATAAATCTGATGAATTAATTCATTGTATTTGTATAAAATATTTAAATTCAAAATAATTTAAAGTTTAAATTAAGGCCAAAATAAAATTAGTTTAATATTCGAAAGAAGATTTCACCGCAAAGCATACACACACACACACAACCGGCGTAACGTGAAGAGTATAATTTTTCTGCAATTCAAACTGGTTCTCTTTTTTTTCGTCCACACATTCATACACACAAAAAAATTATAAAGAGAAAAAGCATAAATGTTTATCGGCTACTTCAATTATATATCTATATATATATGGGTTATATATGAATAGATGAAAAAGGGAACAAAGTCCAAAGGCGTATTAGATTGAATTTTCGAATGCAAAAAAAATCATCTCTACTATTTTATTTAAAAAAATATATATACTGTTCAGAATTAACAATCATCGAACTGACGTTGAACATTTTTGGGATAGTTTTGATTTGAGAATAAAAAAAATTAAGCGCTAAAGAACATTTTTGAGTGGGAAAAATAGAACAAAAAAGGCTATAAAAATCATACAAATCAAAGATATAAAAAGTTTAAATCACAAAAAAACATACACACACAAAACAATGTCGTCTGCCGATCCAGAGAGTCAATCAATTTCATCCGGCCGCTCCTTCCCAATGTGGTTGAGAACGAAAACGGACAACAAGTGAGTAAATATATAAATTGAAAAGCTAATTCACTTATTGACAACAAAAATGCGATCGTCAATCGAATACAAAGGCGTTCATCGTCATTTTTCCATTGGTTATCTTATTTTATTTATGTATTTTTATCACACTGTTTTTTCATTCGAGTCGCATTGAGATGTGAATTCAAGTCTAGCATCAACAATTTATTGTTTACTCGCCCAATGCATGTGATCAAGATGGCAAAAAAAAAAAATGTGACTAATTTTCATCTGCGGTCGATGATGAGTCAGTTATTTACCAAAAAAGGGCAATTATTCAAGCTGAAAATAACAATGATGCGAGGAAGAAATAAAATCTCTTCCGTCAATTTCTCAGAAACTTACCATTTTTCGATAACCGAAACAACGCAAAATAAACTGAACGCGATTGAAAACACAATAAATACAAAATTTGATTAAATTGTTTCTTTTCTTAACATTTTAGGTTTGATTTTGATAATCAAGCTATATCGCCACCGGCTCATGATGAATCGTTTTTCTACATTCGCTATCCAACTGATGCATCGACAAATGATAAAAAATCGTCAACCACATCGAATAGCATCAAATCAACAATAAGTGACGCAATCACAAAACAACAATTCGACGTGAAGACCAATCTCACAAAAGGAAGTTTTATCGAACAGAAGAGTATGGTTCAGCACACAGAACCGTGCAAAAAATTCTTAAATTCAAAAGAACGTGGTAAGTATTACATTTCTATATTTTACAATATTTCTGTGTCTCTCTGCCAATGCATTAAGACTATAAATTTAAGAGATACGTTGACATTCATTGATCGCAGTAGCTGAAAACTGATAATCTATTAAAAGTGGATGATTCCCAGACAATGGTGACAATTTATTATTATTAATTACATTTTTTTGTCGATATTGAACGATTGATGTGTCATTGCATTTAAAACTATTCGCTTTAATTGCACTAGAACTGTCTCCGAGCACGAAAAAAGGTCAAAACCAACAAGTTTTTTTTATCGATATGATAAATTTTGTTTGTACACATTTAAATCGATAGTATATTCGTTTGATGTTCGGTTTATTTGCGCTTGCATTATTGTATGTCATGTTCTTGACGCAGTTTTTTTGGTGTTGTCATTTTTTTTCATTTAATTTTTTCCTTTTTAATTGATGCACACGACAAAAGGAGGCAAAAACACCGACCGAACGAATGCTCACACGATCGTTGCTGGGTGTCATGTGCATGTGGTCGCCAACGGTGCAATTGTTTATAGTATTTTCCATTCCATATCTCGATTCCATTATCAATTATATTATGTTTTTTGAGCTCTTTGCATGTTTTTCTATTTTGTGTCTTGAGAAAGATGGAAGGAGGTCAATCAAGGCACAAACAACGAAAAACAAAACCTGTATTGCGACAAGCAATAATAAAATACATAATCAATGAAGTGTGCACGACTTTTTTAATTTCTTTTCAACTCATCATCATTAATTTGCAATAATCATCATGAATGACAACTATTAAGTCTAATCTGCGATAGACTCGTGTAAGAAAACAAAAACAAAACCAAAACAAATCACTATGAGAAAAAAAGAAGAAGAAACAAAAACAATAATAGTCGAGCCTATATTTCATAGTGTTTTTGACATTAAAAGTGATGAGATAAAATTTAATGGGAACAAGAACGGCTTTGCCATACATCAGTGATGTATGTGGAAGTTGACAATAACATTTTGTTGTTTTTGTCATATGCATGTACTTCGATCCCTTCTAACTAATGTAGTGAGTGATAACAATAGAAATTTACAATTTGCAAATGTGATGGGTATGAAAATGCCATAGATTGTGACTGGCGATGTTCAAATGCCAGACGAGTCGATCACATTGTACATTTGAATATTAGACAAAGCTAAAGGGAAAAAAACCGGCATTAATTACAGTGATAATGGTTTTTGTTGTTGTTATTGTTGGCTCCCTTTCGGGCAATGGAAATAAAATATGAATATGATTAACGCCGATAGACAGACGAGTTCATGCGATTTGAATGTGGTTTTCTTTGTGAACAAGATTTCTTTCTTTTTCTTTCATTGAGATAAAATCAACGGCATATTTAAAATATGATATTTTTCTCTGTACCTTTGTTATAGTTTGAAAATTTAAAAAGAAACGATTTAGTGCGCTTCTTTTGCATTGGAGTAGATTTGCAACAACATTTGCAATCGGATCATAAAATTGTCACATTGTTTGATGACCTATTTCATTTGTTGCGACTAAATTTATTTCTTGCTAAAACGTCATGCAATGAAATAGAGAAGTTAGAGTTGAGTTGTATGTGTACTATATGCTGTAAAGATGTTTTGATGTGTGCAAATGAGTGGGTAGCAGCGTGAAACAGCCAAAGACCTTCGGTCAGCTGTTCTAATCGCACAATTTCAATCGTCTTTTGAATTGAAAAAAAAGAAGAAGAAAATTGCAAATAAATGTGCGCGTACTCGTTGATTCCGTGCCGATTTCCTTGATTGTAGCATACAAACCAGTTAGATAATTAGACATTTTTTTTGAATTTTAATTCATCTACCCAAACACAGAGAAAAATAACAGACATAAATCCATTGAAGCGAATAACTTTCACTTCCTAAACTTTGTCGGACATTCAATTCCGGATTTTTGTTTTTGTTTTTTCAATTCGACTTTTATCTAATCCCGTACATAAAACAGTAGTGCGGCATGTGTGTGTGGGTTTGTTTTGACGCGTGTGATACCTGTTCGTTTTGGATTAGAATGCGAATCATGTTTCGTTCACTACCATTCAATATATGATATTATTATAATGGTTGGATTTTGTTTCTTGTTGCTATTTGAAAAAAAAACCAGCTCTCAAAATTCAACACTTACTTGTTAGTTTTGTTCAATGCAATTGTTCGATGAAATAAAATTCAACACAAACTCCATGATACACCAATTGACTTAGAAATTTCGTATTGATGTTAAAAACATTCATGCGATATGTTCATGTGAAACTTAATTTGGTTATTGGTTCTAATTGGAAACTGTTGTCGGGTGCAATAAATAAATATATGTGTTCGAACACAGTTGGAAATGTGGTTCATGCGCAATAATCGTTCTGCCCCTTTTTCGCGCGGGCTACCACTGAGATAGAGAGCCGCCGTTGCCGCCATCGTCGCGACACGCATTGGGCCAGACAAGTAAATCTTGTGCACCGACAACAACCGAGGAAGTTGGGCGATAAGAGCACACAACATTGCAATGCGTTAAACAGTAGACAGCACAATCTAATCTCTAGAATAGAGTTCATTTCTATTTTGTTTATAATTTTCAAGTGATTTGCTCTTTTTTATCGAAATTTTCCACACCAACGGTAATCAAAAAATTTTGTTACAAAACAAAACTCAAACAACAAACAAGTGGAAAGTTTTATCTTAATAAAAAAAGCTCAATTCTTTTGAACAAAAAAAAAAATAACTTGTTGAAAATTCATCAATCACACAGCAGTATCAGCTATCAGGTAAATAGCCAATTTTTTCATTTCGATTTTTGCAAAACTAGTTAATTGCGTAGTGAAATTGCAACGACACAGAAAACATTCAATTAGAATGTGCTGTTGATGCGCATACATTCAAAGAATCAAATCTCTCGAATCGTCTAGAATCAGTTATTTTCCATCCTCGAACACCTTGACCGCCATAAGTCTTGCGTTTCAATCCACTTTTTTAAAAAAAAAAAAAACCACGTTCTTGGCTCGAGACACACAACATAAAATATATGTTTTGGCTTTGAAGTTCGACCTTGAACTTGGCACTCATACTTTATTGCAATTGTTCGTGCTCCAGTTTGTTCTCGTGTGTTGCCATTATTATATTTCATCCCTGCAATTTTCCATTGACAAGATTTTTCATTTCGCATTTGGCATTCAACATTTTCTCGTTGTTACACTTGAATTTTCTGAAATGTATGTCAGTGGGTTAATTCAACATGTGCATACAGTCATTTGAAATTTATTAGAACTGTAAATAGAGAGTACTTTGTACAAGCAATTTGTTGAAACAAAACTTTTTTATTTGAACATTCCGGTGCATTTTATTAGCTTATCATTATACGATGTTCATTTAATTTCATTCCGAAGTGCTTGTGTTTCTAGGGCTTCGAAACTCGCGCTTATTTATCCCCCTTCCCCTCCCTTTTTTATTCTTTCACGACCCATCCGATTTTAGCTTTGTACACAGAGATTATGCATAGTAATTATTTTCTTATGACTATGTGTACAGAAAGTTTTATACGGTATAAACAACAATAACTAGCTCTTTCTATCTATATATACGAGTAGCTAATGAAGCTAATTTTTGCGGCCACCAAAAATAGCCATCGTATCAAGTCAATAGAAACCTTTGCAATTTTCCGTGCATATGTAATAATTTTCGTATAATCTCGGTGTACAATGTGTACATAAAACATTAAATGAATACTCTAAAAATAGCTCATCATATTGGAAGCGACAAATTGTGTCACACAGAAAGAAAAATTAGCGAAAAATTGGTAAATCGATGCATTCATTAATATCTCACATGGTCGGTGTCGAATACCCGATGAAACACGCTTCAAACGAATGATTTGATTATTCATTATATATTGTCACAAGTTCATTTCAAGAGATATGTGTAAGAATGAACGAGAACATGAAGTGTGTTTTTCGAACAAGTCGGTGGAGTGACGAACGAAAAATTCATTGTGGACTTTGTAATCGACGTCGATTATAGCCAGAACTATTGAATAAATGATTATTTCTGTCGAACAATGGAACTTTTATGAGATCATACTGGCTGGAGAGAATGAGAAAAAAAACAGGAACAGCTGTTTATGAACGTCGTTTGTTTTGCAATTATACTGTTTCCAGTTGTTTAAACGACACAAAACAAGCATATGAATCATGTGGCTTGATTGAATCGATGCGGAGTGCACGTGAATGGCATATTCATCGAACGATGATATCATACAGAATAATTTAGGAGACTTTTGTGACGTACGTATCACCATCATCAACTTCTTCCCGAATCTGTCAACCATTATAAAATCAGATGTAATAAACTAACAAAACAAATGCGCGGGCGCGCATGTTTATCATGTAAACAACAAATATCACTAAATAACTATTCCATGTGTGAGAACTAAGATGTGGTGATTGGTGTTTGTCAATGAAATGAATGAATCTTTTTGAAATCAATTCAAATGTCTGACATCATAGATGATTTGGTTCGCATCCAGACCAATTGACGTGCGTTTTTTTTCTCGACTACTTCATTTTCAGTTACTTTGATGTCCGTAATTTTTTTTCACAAGGAATTACGTCATTTACATTTATGCTTGTGTTAATTCATTACAACACATATACATGTGTTAGCATACATAATCACCGATCATATTGCCAAATGAGTAAAATAGGCCGCCGTCAAAACAGACGGAAACATATCGATAAGATGATACTGATTAGTAGGACACAGACGATATGCATAACACGTTAATTTATTTTGAATTATGTATTTTGTGTTTGTGTGCGTTTGGTTTTGTACCGAGTGCGGTGCGTACTAGTTGAAACTCAGTTACGATTGGTCATGCAAATCTCAAATTGTATTCGATTTAAAATGTAACATTTAAAATTTCCACCGAGAAATGAAAACGATTACTTTATTGCGTTTTTGTTCGTTTCATTACTATTCATTAATGTCTCATTTCAATCACATTTTAAACATGTGAACAAATCAAATTCCAAGTTGGAAAATGTGCTGATAATTTTATTATTTCTAGGATATAAACAAAATTTAGCACACGCTCACACAAAATCGAAAACATTTATTTTTTCATATCGGTACACGCGTTTCATTCATTTCTGGTATAAATTTCGGTAATTGGAATTAATTTCGTTTGTTTTACAAAACACCATAGTTCATTTCCCTTTCGCATAATTAGTAAACAGGCTAGGTGAGAAATGAATATATCTTGGTATTTGATATCGAAAACCCGACATCGCTGATAGAAAAAAATGAAGAAAAAAAAATCCCGCCACATTCATTAGTTTGATAAACAAAAACAAGTACCCGATGTTTACATACGCAATTTTCATGTGCGCAAGCAACTTTCAACGCCGATAAACATAAATAATCTATTGAAATTTTGTGTTTGTATGCAAATTTCAAACTGCCTATGAAACATGTTTCAAGTGTCTTCATCATAGAATAACAATTAATAATTGGTCGTCTTTCTTTGAACTCATTCGTGACATATCCACACACATGCCGATTTTTTATTGAATTTTATGATGGAAAGTATTAATGAATTGTTTGTCGTGCTTTTATTGCTGATCCGACAGAGAATGCTTTTGTTTTGAGTACAAAAACCAAATGTAATTCCAATTAAATCCGCTTTTTTTGCAATGAGAATTCAAAATAATTTTGTTGTTTGTCGCATGTACTTCAACTCATCATTATCTGATGCAATTTTACGAAGAAAAAAAATACGTCATACAAAAAAAAACGCTCCGAAGTGTAGCAAACACACACACACACAAACGTAACCAAGAGAAAGAAAACAATCTATTTGTTTCTGCGTACAATGACTGCGTATGTACGGGCCAAGTGAGATAGGGAACGCATTGGTAACGGCAATCATTATATAAAAGCGGGTAAACTGCAAACCAATCGCTGATTGGCTTAAAACTTCGACGCACCTACCTCTTACTGATCTCTCGCTCGAAATACGATGCCAAGAAATCGAAACCACATCGCAATCAAATGTTGTTGATGGCTCGGTATGTTTTCTCATTTCGATGTAAAATGCGTATGTAACTGACCTGCAACTGAAACCAAATATATTTGAAGGCATGAAATGGTTGCGAAAAACGAAACACAAAACGATTGATGAAAAAATGACGATTATTTTTCGATTTCACAGACCTTTTCAAACGATCAGACCGACAATCATTCGAAAAAAAAGAAAGAAAATGTCATCGAATGATTAATAGCAGCAGCAGCGGTAAAATAAAAGAAAACAGATCTGATCAAAGTTTTTGTATGGCGATTTAAGTGTAAAAATGATTCGTTTAACTATTGGCCGTGACAGATAAGAAAACGCTACGTTTGACATTTTTGGTTGCCAATTTGGTACTGGATTATCGCATACATGCAATCGTCTGTTTGTATTTAATACGAAAAATCCGTTTGATATGAATATGTATATCATTCATTTTAAGTCACGTGACTATTAAATGCACCGTTGATTTGAATGCATGACGAAATGGACGACAAAAATTTCAGGCCAACATCACATTTGAAAATCCAACAAAAGTGTGAGCAAATTTGGATTTGTGTGTGGTGAGCTCGTCTATTGAACGAACAAAGAAAAGCATTTGAATGTAGTTGGGGAAAGCCCCCGTTATTATTGAAAACAAAAACGCTGATGGAAATTCACATGAGAATTGAATTTTATAATAAAATAACAAAACTTCAGCTTTTAATCATGTACAGATATTGTTGAACGATGTTGATTTGAAATTTGTTTGTGTCGATATGATGTTGTTGTGTGCATGTGATTCCGAGAATATACACAATAAAACCGATTCGAATCCATAGGTCGAACAACGAACGATGTGCATGTATTTTGTATGATGTTTGGAAGAAAAAAAAGAAGAAGAAAAAACGGTTCCGTATGATATTCGATTGTGTGTACGTCATTCGACGAGCATTGTAGTTGTGTTGTTCGCTTTATTTAATCGTTTATATTCAATGTATGTGAAGTTTTAGCCTACAGAGAATCATCGTTTGTTTTCGGTGTGTGTGTGGTTCGCATTTTGCTTTAAATTGACATTCTTGCCGTAACTCACAACAGTTAGCGTTAGCGCAGTCATATAGTTCGCACAAATACGAACCGCATTGCCACAAAAATCACGAAACAAAAATATTTTCATTTTTAGAAAGAACTTTATAAAATGCGTAGTGCGTGCACGTTTCTAATAATCGTATCACAACCAAATAAAAATCAAATCAACGATAAAGAACGCTTACACATTTTAAATAAAAAATCATAACACGGTTTCCGTTGTGCACACAATTTTGCCGACAAAACAAACCGCCGACGAAACAAAACGTGTATTCCATGTGGTCCAAGTGACAAAAGTTTAAGTGATTTTGCATTCAAAAGAACTGAAAATTGTCTGTGATAATATTAAAATTAGAATAAGATTTTTTGTGATTTCCGCCAAATTTGATAAACTAGCATTTTTACAAAGAAAGTGAAAAGACATTGAACATCCTGTTTTGCCATCGGTGAGTGTTTTCTCTGCTTGTTGTTGTTGTTTTATCTCAACGTTCTATCAACGTCAACGTGTATCTAAAACTCTAGTGCTCATGCTAAAAACAGTAAACAAAGTCGTTTCTTGGAACTGACCTTTTTTCTACTGTCTGTGTCAAATCCGGCTCTTACGTAAAACCGCTTCTAGCATAGATGGTGAGCATGCTAAATTTTAAATGGCATCTCAAATCGAAGACACGTTTGTAATTTGAACAATTTCAAAAATGTTCACATTACAGCCGAATCTCCGTTAAATTTCATATTACGGCATTTAGTTTGATTGCTGTTCGAAAATGCACGATGACCGGCAACCGATCCGTGTTGCTTCGTTTATTCTAAATGTGAATTCGCGGTGCTCTATAACGAACAGAGCAAAAAAAAATACACACATGTTCTTTATTGTATTTGCCTATAAAAGTTGTTGGCTTGATGCCCGTTTTTCGCACAGCAAGTCATGTGATGCTTAGGCGTTTTCACAATGAATTCATTCAATCTCCCTGCACTCTGTTCGTCTTTGTCTTAAATAGCTTTCTTCATAACAAATAAATGGTACATCTTTGTCTGAATATATGACACTAAAACAAAATTGATGGGATGCGCGTGCTTCATTCTGCCCCCAGAAATTATTACGATGTGGTTATTTCAATGTATACAAAATGTACCAAATGATATGGCAATCTAGAACAAATTGCGACTCTCGATATTGTAACATGTTTTGGTGGAATTGCCAAACAATTTACGTAAAATTTACCGGTTCTCCAGAGCTGAACTGATAAACAAAAACAAATATAATATATATATTTAAAAAAAAAGATTGTTGATCACATTGTTCGCGTACAATGACTTCACAAGGAATACTGATTGTAAACAAATATCAAGACAACAAATCTATATTTTATATACATCCTACAAACGATCCACATTTATGGATTTTATGCAATCCCGTTAAAAACAAAAACACAAATCTTTATATACAAATTGTGTAACATATCGAAGAAGTGAATATACAAATGTGTGTTTAGCTGAAAGCTGAACAAATCTATTTATACTTGCAGGTGCTATAGCATTGCATCCTCTTTTCGCACACAACAATGTGTGCCAACGAAATGTGATGAACTGCAATGATTCAATGTTACCTTTTGTTTCGTTTCATTTTTAAAATTCACTCCAAGCAAATATGACTTGGTGTTATCCCATTCGATTCATCGTGTAATTAAAAATTGTTCAGCCAAAATGAGACGTTTCATTGAGAGAATGTCAGCGTATTTCTTTTTATTTTCTCTTCATTATCTAACCGTTTTCGAATCGAATTCATTGAAATTAATTTGTGTGAATTTCTTTTTTATTTACAGAGCTAATCATTGATAACGTTAAACATCCACCAAAACCATTCGGAACTGACGACGGATTCAAAGGAGCAGGCGCTGCATGCGGTAGTTCTATTGTAAAAGTTGCACATCAGATGGTTTCTGCTAAGTCCTTGGGAAGAGGATTCGCCATTGCAAAGTGAGTTAAATATATATTTTTTTCTTTTTCTCGCTGTTTGTACATTTCTCGCATTTTCTTTTTATTTTTGTTTTCGATATATAAAGTTTCTTCAGTTGATTTTTTTCAATTCACTAAATTTTTATTAAATTTAAATGCAAATTTATTAACTTTGACACTTTTATTTCTCTTTTTCTCACTATCCAATTGTAGTACTCTAAGCAAAGATTCTGAAGAAGTATTACCTGAACCGAATATAAGCAACGATCCAATTGCGAATCGTGATTCGCCGCATAACGATCAAATGTCGACATCGTCCCGTTTAATGGTACGTCGTGGATCAAAATCATTGCCTGCATCACCACTTGGATCACCAAAAACAATGCGTCGTTCAAATAATCCATACTTTACCGGCACATTTGCCATTGTTAATCAGCAACAACAGCAACAACAAAACAATGCAACAAATGCGCCAGACAGTTATCGAGGATGGTTCCTATCGAGTTTGTTGGGCATGCAGCGTGAGAATATGTCATCAACAACATCGGTTGCATCGTCACATATCAGCGAAGAAGGCGATGATATGCATTCGCAATCAAAAACATCATCATCAACATCATCATCGGCCGGTGCACCGAAAGTCATCAAAGCCAAACCATCCGAATTGCGCGAAATGAACTTTTGGACACCTACTTCAATGTAATTTTCATCTACATATCCCGTATTCAACATCCACATCCCTTGCAGCACACCATCATCGTAATTCATTTATCCTTTATACCCGAATAATGGACAGCTGCACGTCTATATTCGCCACATACCCACTTTAGTTTTAATCTTCTATCAGATCTTTAGCCATTAATTTCTCTTTTTTTGTGTTTAATTCAGTTCTATAGTTACGATTTGGTTTTTTTTCTCTTCTTCTGTTATTTTATTCGTACCTTTCATCGTATGTTCAATAAGCAAAAAAAAATTCATATTGTTATTCTCCACTGATTAGAAAGTGTATTCATTGGTTAGAAGAAAAAAAAACATCAACAAACACAACATGTTTAAGCAAGTGCATGGAATAAGAGATAAAAGAACTACATATTCAATTTTATTTAGATAAAAAAAAATCGTAGAGTTTTGTAAGTCGAAGACATTTCGGAATCATTCAATTTCATCCGTTTATTTTGAGATTGTTGTTTTACTGGACGAGATCTCTGTTTTTTCTGATATTTGACAAAAAAACAAAAAAAAAACAACTCATTATAAGGATGAAGTCGTAGTGCTTTTGTAAATTGTCTGGCATTGGTTAAAATTAAATTGTCTTAAGAAGTGTTCAAATTTCAATCAAATTAATATACGGTCCAACTTGACGATATAATTTAAATACAATTAATGTGTAAATCTTAGGTCATCGCCTTTCTTTTTCATCTATTTTTTTTTCTTCTTCAAGATGTTAAAATTTATATTCACTTCCATCAAAAATTAGTATATTCACTTTTTGTTGTCATAAAAAGTGTCAGAATTTCTCATTATGAACAAAAAATATCGGCAAATATCAGTCCGACAACATGAATGAAAGAAGAAGAAGAAAAAACAATCCGAAACAAAAGAAGAAAAAACTGGAATGAATAATCACAATCATTTAATTTATTAGCTTAACGATAGCGTTAAATTACTGATTGATTAATTTTTACCCACTTTTTTTTTAGTTTGTCTTTTCAACAAAATTGTTTAATCACATACAAACAACATTATTTCATAGATAGCTAAATGTTTGATAGTAATTGTTCGTTTCAATCAATTGTTTTCAAATGGAACAATCCCGTCAAAGTTATGTTGTTGCACCCATATTCCACCACAAACCATACACATACACAATACGCAACATTTTGAAACTAAGAGTAAAAACAAACTTCTTTTTCGAATTAAGTCCGCAGTTTTATTATTATTATGATTACTATAATTAATGCTATTAAACATAAACAATTGTTTTATATATAAATGAGACAAGATATTCTCTAAAACTAAACCGTTTCTTTTGTGTTTTAATTATACATGTTTGCATTATTTCAGCATTGATTTTATTCAATTCAGCACCCGATTTTGATTTTTCTTAATCCGAAAAAGAAGAAAATGTTTTCTTGTCTCACTTCAATTAATGGGCGGACTTGAACACAGATTTATTAATCATCTTTTTTTAACATTTAGATTAACATGTGTCGTAAGCACGGAAACACTTTTGAGTTTTTTCTATTTGATTTTGATAGTGCGATCATTGCCATGTCTGCCACTTTAATGAGGTTTAAATGTGATCCTGCGAATTTTGATAATGTTTCTTCATCTTTTTTTCATTCATTTTTTTTTGCACTGATAAGGTACCATATATTTGCAGTAACAGAATCGCTCTTATTTGGTTTCCTTTATTTTAAATTGTTCATATTGATCATATACATGATATCTATGATGTAATAGATTAATAAATACGTTTTATTGAATATATTTTCATTTCATTGTCGAATGGTTTGAAGGTCTCTTAAAAAAGAATTTTCTTATTTGAAATATTTAATTTTTACTGAATCATTTGAATAAAAAAAAATGATTTGACATATAAAGAGAATTGAATTACTAAGGGTTTATAATGGTCGATTCCTCATTCATTATCAGTTTTTATGTATGATTTTTCTTCAAAAAAATAATGTTCAATTCGTAGCTAAATTAAACTATTTCTAATCGTTCATTTAAAATTGGTTTAAAAAAAAAAAAAAAAAAAACATTAATTAAAAAAGGTATAATTCTGAAAATGAAATTGATTCTTGGCTAATTATTCTATGCAATCTATGTAATATGGTATCATTTAATAAAATATGGAATAAAATTTTGTTTGGAGTCTATGGTGTTTCTCTTACATTTCGTCGAAATAATCAATTTCATATATACTTTTAACGACGTTCAACGTAAGGCCTAACAAAATTAATTTGAATTTAAGATTTAAAAAAAAAAGAAGAAAAAAGTCTTCATCGCTGGCACGCGATGTTGATTACACATAAGTGAAAAGAATGAAGAAGAGAAACCCGTTCGAAGCAAGAACGCGCAATTAAAATTCTTCGATAGTTCTATTTGTATTTTTATTTCAGCGAATGCAAAGATGCTCATTTATTTTGTGCATAGACAAACTAAAACTGCTGTATCGTTCCACCAACGACAATGACATCAAGTTCATAGAACTTTTGTATAGAACTCGTTGCATATTCGCCAAACGTTGTTGATGCAACAACAAAAAAAAAGAAGAAAAACCGAAGGAACTGTTGAACAGGATTTGGCTTTGGAATGTAAGCGATCGTCTTTAGGTCTAATAGAGTAAAATTACATTTAGTCGTATCGAATAGTTCACAGTGATACAAATTCTCTGCGATAGTGTAGTTGACTCAATTTCACAACTGAAATTTGCAAAATGAGTGAATATCATTTAGTTTTTGGTGTAATTTTTTCCTTATCGCTGCTACAAATAATTGACGCACAATTATTAACAATGCAAAATATACCACAGTGGCGTTCAGTTGTTAGTGTTTTTTTTATCGATCAATAAAAAAATATAGAATTTTTTTTTCTAATTTTCTTTTGATTTTCTTTTAGTTATATCCATATGACGATTTAGGTAAAATGATGATTTGTTTCATTCGAAATGAGTGTTACTATTTTAATTTTTATTGAATTAATTAGGCGATCCATTGGTGTTAACCGAATTGATTGAAGATGGTAATGAGGATGAAGCCCGAAAAATGGCCCGAGTGAATGAGAGTGAATTTTTGGGTGTTGTCAGTTATTCGGGATTTTTAACGGTCAACGATGATTACGATTCGAATTTATTTTTTTGGTTTTTTCCGGCCGTGGGAACGGAAAAACTGTACGAAGACGATCGTGAAGACAGCGATGATGATGACGGAAGCTATAGTGGCATTCATGATAATGATGACAGCCGAAAAGAACCACCACCAAAGCTGATGTTTGGCAGTAAAAAAACAAGAAACAATACACAAAAGTTTGCGCACAAATTAAAAAAAGAGTATAAACGTCCAGTCGTACTTTGGCTACAAGGCGGACCTGGCAGCTCATCACTGTTTGGCCTATTCACTGAAAATGGGCCGTTTTTTGTGAACGATGACAAAAAGACCATTCGAAGTAGAAACGAATTACATTAAATCATATAAATTCCCATAATAAGTATTAAATTTGATTTAAAAACCACAATCATTTCAGAAAATCCATTTTCGTGGCATACGAAATACAATTTATTATTTATTGACAACCCAGTTGGAGCTGGATTTAGTTACACTGATCCGGATGGCTATTGTAAAAATATCACACAAGTCGGTGACCATCTTTACATTGGATTGAAACAATTTTTCGAACTCTTTCCGTGGTTACAACAAAATGAATTTTTCATCACCGGCGAATCATTTGCAGGCAAATACATTCCAAGCATTGGGAATGCCATTTGGGAGGGAAATAAAGAGGAAGATTTTATCATTAATTTACAAGTAGACACTTCTTTTCAAAGTTTCTATTAGACAAAGTTTATAAATTCGGTGTTTTTTTTTTTCTTCAGGGTTTGGCTCTTGGTAATGCACTATCGGATCCAATAAATATGCTTGAATATGCTGATTTTGCATATCAAACTGGTCTGGTTGATGTTCATGGTAAAAATGCAATGAGGTTATTCGAGCTACTGGCTAAAGAATACTTTCCCAGCGTCGAATCGAAAATTGTAAGAGCAAGAGAAAAAGCGAAAATATTTGAATTATTTTATGATCAAAATTTTTTCATTTCGAATATTACAGTATTGGGACACGATGCTTTATGCTTTCATTCAAAGCAGCAATTACAGCAACGTGTACAATATCCTGCAACCGGAAATGCTGGATTTGGAATCGTATCGAAAATATATTGAACAAAATCATGTAATATATTTTTTTGTTGTTGTCCATAAATGGTCAATCTTTTGGTCGAACTAAAATGAATTGTGATTCAATTGCAGGTGCGTCGAGCAATTCATGTGGGTGGTGCTAGTTTCAAATCGCCTGAATATGTGTATATAAATTTGATACCCGACTTTATGACAACGGCAATGCATTGGACGGAAAAATTGTTGAATGAAGGATTACGTATTATGTATTACAGCGGTAATATGGATTTCATTGTGGCATATCCATTATCAGAGAATGCTTATCAGCATATGAAGTGGAATGGTTCGGAAAAATATCGATCGGCTCGTCGTGAGTCTCTCATTGTAAATTCCAAAATGGCTGGGTAATTGACATTTCAATCGCAATCGATCACTTTGTTGCAAATCCTTTGGCGTCAACTGATTGATTGATGTTATATATTTGTTTGTTCTTTACAGTTATTTCAAAGTGGCCGATAATTTTGTAGACGCTTTGGTTTTAAATGCAGGACATATGGTTCCGACCGATCAACCTGAAGTGGCACTTGAGCTTATCGACCGCTTCATTCGCAATGATTTATAATTTTCGAAATAAAATTTATGGATATTATTCATGGAAAAACTGAATTAATAAATACTTATCGAATTGAGGTTTTTTTCTCTCAAAAATTTTCCAAAATATCTTTGTTTGTCTAATTATACATAACAACGTTGGAATACTCCACAATTCACGGAAATTCTAGTTTTTCAGCACACCTGTTGAGTATTGAGTGTAGCCAAAGCTATGCAAATGTGCATAAATGCCATTTGTCTCAGACCATAAACGGCGCATGCGTGACATTTCTACATGAAAAAAAGCACTCGACTTGGATGAGAAGGTTCTTTTGGGTAAATATGTTATCCCATACAAAGACATTTGTGCCAACACCGACGCAGAATCACACATAATTTTCCTAAAGAATAAACTAAACAAAAAATATTTTTGCACATATTCAGACGTAATATTCCATCCGTTCTGAAAACTATTCACGACCATTGCAGAGTTTTCGCTATTTTTCCAACTTTGTTGGCTCACATTTTAAATGGTGTCTTTTAGTAATAAATGAAGTGGTTGAATTTTTGGAGTGTCTTTACTTCTGCACATAATTTGCATTCGTTGTGTCGTTCTCTTTAGAATTTCCAACCAAAAAAGTGCTTAAGTTAATTTAATTGAAGGCATCAACATCGATACAATACATCGAAACACAAAAGCAACGATTAAAAATTATCTTTTATTATTGAAGTTGGGATGAAAATGCCAAACAAATTTTCATTTTAAAACTCAATACATCGATGGGATAATATGTGACGTTAAACGCAATTGAGTTCTCAAACGACAGTTCAAAGGTAAATATATTCCAAAATGGTTAGCAGACAACAAATGATTATCGTATATCAGTGTAATATGTAATATGTAAACAAAGACAACCGAAATGATGTGTGCGTACAACCAATCATCAAATTCAATGTTTGTGTTTGCACAATTCAGAAGGATAATGCGAGCCACTGAAAATAATATTGAAGAGCAAAAAAAAGTAGGTGAGAAGTTTCAATTAATTGGATGACCAATAAAAATGGTAATTTCGAAAAGGAATGACGGAAAGTTTAACAATGTAAACAATAAACAGTACGTGGTAATGAAGTTGGCACCCTTTTGAAGAGAAACAATGCACCTTTTATTATATTTCATCAGATGGAATTTTTGTATTCTTTCGTCTTCTTTGAATTTGAAATTAGTGGTTGACATCGTTCGTTATCAATTTTCGAGTGACACAAAAAACGAAATATTTTTTTGTGCACCGTAAAGTGTAAATTACCGTAATCCAAATAATCACTTTTAATTTAGATAAAAGAAAAGTACGGTTGAGGTGATAAAATGGTAGAGAAAACGGAACCAAACGGTGGACGGTGTGGACAAATAACATTGACGTCTCGAATTGTTTTTAATAAATTTGCCCAATAGCACACCCTCCGAAAAATGTGGGTTGACGTCAATATATTGAAATGGCATCTCTTCCCACAATATATAACAGTTATATTACAACTCTTACTGTTTTTATTGCCTGTTCCGTCGCTATTTTGAATGTTATTAAATATTGTGAAAGTAGACATCAATTACAATTCAAACCATTTACGACTTGCCTCATCGATTGAAAAGCGATTAAGTATTAAAGAAAGAAGAGAGAGAAAAAAACAATACAAATTACGGTGCAAAATAGCAATAGTGCCATTCAATATAGCATTTACACGAAATTAACCGTCGTCCATTCCACGGTTTACATTTTTAGAAAATTTATTGTCAATGACTATATCGTTCCATCGTCATTGAAATACGCACGCAATCGATTCATCAATGTGTCATAATTCTTGTATTGAAACCAAGTAAAAAAAATGCTATGCACGTACTATGCGGTGTATGTGTGTATGGAGTTCCCAATACCCATTGATACATATGTGCAGAAAGACTGACATCGTTCGACACTGTTTAATGTGCATATAAATCGTACAATTGTTATTGCTTTCGACAATCGTCGCAGCAGTATGGAATGTTGATTGTTTCATTTTGATTCAATGCATCATGAGTACACATGACATACACCCAGTAGATCGATTGATGTATCAAAGTTTATGCAAACAACTTTATTTTGTTTGTTCAATCGCATTTTTGTAAAAAAAAAATTTATTTAGAAGTCCGTGTGAAGTGAAGCGATTCTCTATCGAGTAATATCATATAACAATCAATAATTGTGTAATATTCTTTTAGTTTTCTCTGATTGTTTGCTTATTATTTCATCACATTTTGTTCGTTTTGTTTCTCTTCAACAGGTATACACAGTGTATTAAAATTGATTAAACCTTTTAAACGGTGCAACAATGACCGATACAAAAGATGAACAAGATGATAATCAAACAAAATCGAATAAAGCGGGAATTCCTCCGGTCGCACCTCATCACCTTCTTCCGCCGAAGGAGGAAGAGAACATTTTGCGTCGAAGCCTTAAAGAAATTGGCGAAGATATGAAGAAAATGGAAGATTTAATTACATTAACCGAAGACATTCTAAGACGTGAACGTCAACGTGACCGTGAATTTTATTTGCGCGAACGACGACGAAAATTAAGTGAAAATCCATCGATACCACGGCATTTATTTCAAGTGCAAAAAATTGAATCGAAAGACACACAGAAATCACAGCAACTGCAAAATTTTGATGTACCAACATCGGAAACAAAAACTCCATCACCACAAAAAGAAAATAAAAGTCCATTAACACTTCGAAAAAAGATAACGAAGCGTTTCAAACGTAAAAGCTTCAAATCGGATAAACGAAAGAATTCAACAACGGTCGACGATGAAACTCAACCACAAAACCAGCCATTAAAGTCACCCACACTGAGAATAAATACAGTGAGTGGTAAATCGGTACGAAAATTGATACGATTCAGTCCACGAAGATATCGATCACGTTTATATTTTCGCAACGGTAAAATTGGATGTATTGATCCGGAAAATGTGGCCGCCAATCAAACCGATATTGAAAAAACGCATGCCATTGTAAATTATATAACAAGCGATTTGGGCAACTACACGAGCCCAATGGCCGCAAAACGATCATCAATCAAATCGAACATAAGCAAAATATTGTCGGAAGAATCATCGGAAAGTTTAGACGATTTACCAAATAGCAATAGCTACTTTAATTTTGAATATTCGGCAACAGAAAGTGATGATCGTGGCATTGCCGACGATGATTACTATGTAAACAGTTTGAGCGATATTGATTCATTTACGGTGCAACCGAAAAGCGACGAAGAATTGACCATTTTTAAAGATCAAACGGATGATGTTATTGAAGGTGCCATTCAAGAGCAATCGGTTGATGAAGAAATGGGCAATAATGATGCATCTGTTGCAATTTCCACGCCAAAGAAACTGTCCACTTCTGCTTCAGATCCGGCAATGTTGGATTTTATCGACGAAACAACATCAAACCATCCGAACGACATGGACGAAAAGCCACCACACAGTGCTATGAGCAATCATTCAAATATTACGTGAGTTTGAATTTTCAATTTTTGTGTTGAACAAATAATCGATTCATTCATAAATATATATTTTTTTAGTTTAAATTCAGACATCAAAAATCAAGTGCGTCATCTGGTGCGACGCTTTAGTATGCGAACAGGAAAAATGCGAAAACGCATTGAAATGCCGCCAACACCAAGTACGACAAGCTCATCGCAATCACATTTAACACGAAACCGTGTTCATCTATCCCATAAGTTGGCATCCCCATTGAGGTCTCCATCGCATGCAAAAGGACTATTCAAAGCCGACGAACAGCATCCATCGAGCCAAAAACCATTCACCCTTAAATTACTATTCAACGGTGTGATCGATCCACAGGGTTCACTATATATATCCTGGTTGTGTATTGTATCAATGACGTTTTTGTATAATGCTTGGGTCATTCCGTTGCGTTCTACATTCCCATTTCAAACGGATGAAAATGAAAGCTACTGGCTTGCCGCTGATATTTGTGCTGACATTATCTATTGTTTGGACATTGTTTTCATTAAACATCGCATTATGTTTTTGCACGAAGGATTTTGGGTACATGATCGCAATTCGACGCGAAAAAATTACATGCAGAAATTGAAATTTAAGGTAAATGAATGTTCAAACAGTTTATGTATCGCAAAATTATATTCCAATTGTTTCCATTTTAGATGGATATTCTGTCATTGATTCCATTGGATTTGCTTTATTTTAAATATGGCATGAAAAAAATGGTTTTTGTACGCGCACCACGTTTACTCAAAATCCAAAGTTTCTGGGAGCTATTTCGTTTGTTAGACCGCGTCATTGCATCACCTTATCTTGTGAGTTTACTTTTTGTTCTGAAAAATAAGTCGCAGAAATTGTACAATTAATCACACTATTTGCGACTGAAAATATTCCAATATTTTCTAAGAAAATTCCAACGTTGTTTATTTTTTCCGGCCTAATGGTATCTATTTGTATATTTTTATTTATCTGGGATAAAGGTACGAGTGGGTAGAACGCTGACCTACATGCTCTACATGATACACATTACGGCCTGCTGCTATTATTATTATAGTGATCTTCAAGGTAATTCTATAAAGACCTTCATTTTTGCTATTTGCATGTTGCAAACATCTTATCGATTTTAAATAGATTTCTAAAAATAAATTACATGAATCAATTGATGTTTTGATTTAGTTTGTGGCTAATTGGAGTTATTTGTAGCTTTTCCATTCGCCAATACAGTAGCATCTCCATGGCACGCTATTGACTGTCTGATGGATAATAAAAAAGACAGTTATCGTCAGAAAAAAGATGCTTTTTCATCAAAGTGTCATAAAGAACCAACAATCGGAATCATTCGGTTAAACTATATATAACGATTAATTCGAAACACAGATAATGGAGTTGTTACTATATAAAACCATGATTTTATTTATTTCAACTAATGAGAGAATCGAATGTGATGTTTGCTGATACCTGATATGAATCTATTGAACTTGAAAGTAAAAGTGACTGATTAAATTTCCCTTGTTTTCTTAATGAAATCATTTAGGTTTGGCAAGTGATCGTTGGGTGTTTAGTGGAAAAGGGCATCCATATGTGCGGTGTTTTGCGTTCGCTACAAAAACGGCAACATCAATTGGAAAGAATCCGAAGCCAGAGAGTGAGGGTGAATTGCTTTTTATGACAGTTGCTTGGCTAATGGGTGTTTTTATCTTTGCATTGTTGATTGGACAAATTCGTGATATAATTGCAACAGCAACTCGACTACAGGTAATATTCATTTCAAATTAAATGGAAATAAGTTAACGATTGATATGTACATATATATATATATATATATTTTTCATTTCGAAATTGTCCGGACAGAGTGAATATCGTCAACTGGTCGATGAAACATTGGAATGCATGCGACGTTTAAATTTGCCAAAAGCATCAATTGATCGTGTTAAAAAGTGGTTTAAATTTACATTTGAACAGCAACGAACGCTTGATGAAAATATGATATTGGATTATTTGCCATCGAATTTAAAAACCGATATTGCGATCGCTGTTCACATTCAAACCTTATCAAAAGTTCAATTGTTTGCTAATTGTGAAGAAGCTTTATTGCGCGAATTGGTGTTGAAATTGCGTTCGGTTACCTATTTGCCGGATGGTAAGTGTGCAATGTGATTATCATTATTTTGTTTTAACAGGGTGGTTCATTTTATTATCTCTATTCTTGAAGATTACGTTTGCCGAAAAAATGAGATTGGAAAGGAAATGTATATTGTAAAATGGGGCCAAGTTCAGGTGATGGGCGGACCAGACAATGATGAAGTGCTTGCAACATTGACCGAAGGTTCGGTTTTCGGTGAAATTAGTTTGCTGGCCATTAACGGTGTCGAAGGAAAACGACGAACAGCCGATGTTAAATCAAAGGGATTCTCGAATTTATTCGTTTTATCAAAATCGGATTTGAATGACGCTCTCGCCCAGTATCCACAAGCACAAGCTATATTGAAGCGTCGAGCGCACAGTGTTATGCGAAAAAATGCAGCTCGTGAACGAAATCGAGCGAATGTGTCTTCGTCGAACAATAGCATTGATGTTGTTATTAAAAATCCAACGCCGTTTGGTGGTGATCAGCCAAAGTTACTTGAAACGGTTATCAAAGCATTACCCGAAGAATCATCGGCGGTTAGGCTGCTAACACAGGGATCAAAACGACAAAAACCAGCCCATAAGCTCACGATAACAGTGGAAAATCACGATGGCAAAGCAAATGACGCAAACATAATTGACGACAACATTGAACCAATCGAAACGGCAACCGAACCAATAGCGTCGACCAAATCACCGGCTGAAAAATCGGATTGCCAAATTTGGTCGGTTGAAAATGAAAAAGTAAAGGCACCAGCATCGCCAGATTTGTTACAGCAAATACAGGCCGCTCTCTCACATCGTAACGGGTTCATGAATTTAACTGACAGTGAGAAAGCATTTATCGCAAATCCAGAGATTGGCAATGACCGAAGAAGCGATTTTCTTGATCCATTGGATGGTCGGATGGATAACCCGAAAAATCAGTGAAAATCAAAACTTATAAACGAATTGAAATAGAAAAAAAAACTAAAACAAAAAAATTGACCAAAAAATCTGTATGTATATTCTTGGATTTTTATAGAATTTAAGCGACTATAAATGGGTAACAATAATAAGTAATGCACAAATATGTATTATGCAGCAATTTTTAATTTCGACTTGATAAATTTCCGTGAAAGTTTAAAATTGAAAAATCAAAGCCTATTAAATCTATAGTGTAAGTTGAGTCTTTAGATTTGAACTAAAAAAAACGTGTCAAAGAAAAATAGAAGTTTGTTTCTTTTTATGTGAATTAACTTTCAAGTGTCTTTTTATTGATGAAGGTTTACTTTTTTAACAGCATAACATTTTTTTTTTTTGATCATACGAATCGTTTTATTTGAATCGTACATTGTTATGGCTTATTCTTCTTCCTCTTCTTCATCGAATGGAGACTCAGTTGCAACTTTCTTCTTATTTTTTGGTTTAGCAAAATCATCAGCAGTAATTGAGTAACTTAGATGATTATCGTGTAAGTCTGCTGATACATCGGCAGTACCTTGTGGATTATATTGTGGACCATCACCAATTGGTTCAATCTCTTCTCTGAAAAATGAAATGAAAAACGATAAATAAAAGTATCGCAATTAAAAATGACTTGCAAAATCGATTTTAAAATTCAAAACTTACTTCACCACTCGGTATCCATTTTGATCGGCTGAAAATAAAACCATTACAAATTGTACATTATTATATTTGTTAATGTTCAAAAATTAAAAATGATCTACCTTCGTAATGGATTGTACGTCTGAAGTATCCGTCACTGTACGAGTACATGCCGCGCAATGCCAAACCATCGCGAGTTTCTTCTCGGGAGATAGCATGATCGTTAATTTTGTCATCGATTGAGGTACCGAATGTATAGTGAGCATTCTTGGCTTGCTCTTCACGCAGCAAACGCTGTTCTTCGGTTTCAATAAATGGACCCCGGGCTACTGGTTTTACGGGCAAACTTTTTTCGGCAGTAAAATCTTGTCCAAATTCTTGGTTAGATGGTTGTTGGAATCGGTGAACAGGTTGCTGAACTTGTGGCACTGATGTTGGTTGGATCTATTATTCAAAACATTCAATTAATTTTTTTGGTTTTCAAACTAAAATGGTTCAAAACTATCTTACGCGTCGATTAACATGTCCTCTGAATTTTGGGCGAGGAGGTACAACTGGTGCTTGGGTTGCGATTTCTTCTTCTTGTTGTTCTTCTTCTTTGACTTCTTCTGCCACTTCGTCAACAATAATTGGAGCAGCGGTGGTAGTGGTTGTAGTGTATGTATATTCTTGCGATGGCACAGGTGCATCAATTGGATTTTGTGGAACAAACGGAGCGTTTGGCATCATTCGGACATGTTGCACGAGTGGTGCAATGATGGTTGGTCTGTTTGTAACAAAAGCCTGTGGACCATTATAGTTACTGTAGCCGCCTGGATAATTAATTACTTGTGTCGAATAAGGTGATGAAGACGATGGAAAGTTCGCCAAACGTTGATTCACAAGATTATTGTGCAATTGACGTGATGCCGACTGTCGACGATAGCGTAACTATATAGAAAAACAAAAATTCAACATCAACGTTGTAAATTATCGGTTTTTATTGATCAACAAAGCATAAACTATTATTCTTTACTCTTTTGGCCGATACATTGAACTTGAATTTGTTTTTTTTTTTACTCTTTGTATTAAATGGAAACGGACAGCGTATGACGTCAAAATAACGAGATAAAAAAGCAAATACATTTCCGAAACATTTGTAAACCAAACAAACTAATAAAATCGCGATTTTTTCTGTGGAAATAATTTATGTAAATTGTTTGCGATTACAGTTTACACTCTGGAACATTTTACGTAGTCAAAATGGATGTTTACTTTGATAAACCACAATAAGTGAACGAATTATTTCATTCGTCGTCTAATGGAAATGAGAGAATAAAAAAAAATCGAATCTGAAATCGAAGTTAATTGGTTTTTAAGGAGAATTCCATTTGTATGGTACCTATAATAATCGTATTATAAACGTTAATATTAGAGAGAGATGAATTGAAGAAGGAAAGTGCAATTTAAATATAATATATTTTGCAGATTTTGAAATCTAAGTTTGAAATGAAGATGGCATTTTATTCAACATTTCTGAAGAAATTTGAATTTCATTCGGAAATTACTGAAGCAATTATACTGCATATATTTTACTCTAAATCAAAATCTTTTCATAAATGGTTGGTAAACAAATTGTAAATTTTGTTAATTGCAGATAATCAAAAATCTATTTGCATCATGTATTGTCTAAAATCTTCGTATATAGTAAATGATAATTGATTTCTCTTCGCTCATCGCATTGGAATCAACAATTCATTTCAACAATTAAAAAAAATTAAGATCCAGACAAAAAGATAAGAAGAATACAAGTACGACAACTTCATTTGAATATGTTTGAATAAATTGTACTTAAAACAACTCTCGTGACCATCGACAATCGTTTCAAGTGAGAGAAAAAAAATACTTAAGCTGAAAAATGTTTGCTTTTAAATTTCGATGGGTTTCATCTCAATTTGTTTGTTGTTGTTAGAAATTTGCGGATATAAATAGAAATTAAATTCAAAACGACTCCAAGTGAGTGTAAACACATCGAGAATAAGAGAAAAATCAAATCGATAAAACTATGATAAAAGCAACCTTGCCGATAATGTTGACTACGGAATTTTCAAACAGAAAACCTTTTACAATGACTCATTCGTAACGATTGATTTCTATTTCGATAACAATTGCTCGGTGCTTGGGAACCAAAGGTGATTAAAGTGACCAGTTTGTGTCTGTCTACTTAGCTCAAATTGAAATGGAATGAATACAAAACCAGGCATGAAATATGAATGTGCAGTACATGTACGACGAGTGATAAAGTATTATAATTAGATATGTCCATTATGTGAAGTGTACACGTATTCATGCGTGCACGTGTGTGTGAGTGTTGGTAAAAAGTGGTTATAACATCCACAAAAAAAAAACACTAGTTCAAATTGTTGTTTTGCATCTCTCCTACTACTTTCTGAATGACTTCGTCTCTTTTCGCGATAAATATCGCGTTCGCTCTTATGATATGGCATAATATTTTGCAATACATTTTGATTTGACTCAGTACACAACCAGTCTTAGTATCAACCAGATCTTTTTACAATTCACAAACAATAAACTATTCATCGATTTCGTAAACGAAAAGAATAAAAACTATTCTAAATATGGGTATTTTAATTAAGTTATTTTCTTTCTTTCTTTCTTTTTTGTTCGCAAATGAAGTCATGAAACTTTTAAAACAATAATTTTGTTCGATATTCGAGTGAAAGTATGTGTGTGCTATTGATTAATCTGCTTTGATTTTAGCAAAATTTACGTTTGTTTTGGCATTGACAATAATATTCATCGCAACGATTGATGCAGCAAGTAAGTTATTAGATTTTTATTTTCAATAATTTCTTATGTTCGCTTTATTGAAATTCAATAATTGAATTACTTGGCATGAATGCACAATGTGCAAACGTGATTACAAATGCACTTGTTTTTTTTTTCAATTGTAGCCTCTGGTGAATGTCCATTGTCATCGCAAACATCATCTTGTTCACCAAAATGTTTACAAGATCATGAATGTTCGGCAATGGGTGGTATATGCTGCCCAAATCTCTGCAATACAAAATCATGCGTTCGACCAAAAGCCGGCTCGCAAGGATCCAGCAGTGGTAGCTACAAAGGTTCATCAAGTATGTGGAAAATTTCAATGAAATGTTTCGGTTTTTCATTTAAATAATCAAATAATTTCTGTGCACGTTTCCGTTTGCAACTAGCTAAAACCGCAACCGGTGTTTATTGTGGAAATGTTAAATGCAGCGCATATGAAAAGTGTGCAGAGGACAAATCAAGTAAACGTCAAAAATGCGTGAGAACATAAAACTACATATCAACATTCGAGCGCACTTTTAAATACGAAATTCTTCAGTCAAAAAATTGCGTCTCATTCTACAATGATGAAATGAAGCTAATGAAATGATAAATTCTTTAATTGGTCTACAGCGTATATATATTCTACAAATTGTGTTTAATGTTTCCTGTTTTTATTTTTCTCTCGTTGTTTTGCATTAAGTTTTATATACATTTTCAATGTAATTGAATAAATTCACAAATTCAAATTCAAACTGGATATACTGGATGCGTAGAACTTTTTTTTTCAATTGCAAATAACAACAAAAATCTGTGACTTTATTTTAAACTAAATAACTTATTGGTACGTACAGTTGGTTGATTGTTAAACGGATGAGCAATGCTAGCAGCAATGCCGCAAATAAGCACACAAACACCGAAAACCTTCATTTTTTTAAAGCACAAAATTCCTATTGTCTACTGAGAGAGTGTCCAAACACAATTGAGATGGTAACTAAACTAATTTCTGTTGTCAATGGTGCCGATGGTTTTTATACGGATTGAAACGGTAATTATCAAATCGACAAGTGCAACAATTTCAAAGCAACCGAAAATAAAACTAGTTAAAATCATTGCAATGTTGTTTACCCCCCCTCTCCATGTGCCTCTGTCTCTATCTTGCAATAATGCAGGCACATAAATATCTATAACGATGGAAAATTCGATATGGGCATAGGGCCGACTGTAATTAGCCAACATATGCCATTTTTGATCTATTCGAGTTTTATACTTTTTAAATAACTTTTGATGTTTTCTGCTGGACTTGATTCACATTCGAGTAATGCGACATTTTTGACCGCGATTTCAAAACATTCCAGTTTTGTGCTCCAGGTACTTTATATCCCATTACCTAAAAATTCAAAGACACATACCTTCCCACATACAGTCGAAATATCAAATCGAAAATCGCATTTTTAAAAACTCATCGAATTATCGTTATTAATTATCAATAATTTATGGCTATTTTTAATCGCAACTAACATAATTGAAAGCAAACTCGATTGAATTGTTTGTGAATCATATTTCAAGTTTGAACAAGCGCCTCATGTAATTTGTATTATATATTCCATAAATTCATCTTCAAATGATATTACAATGGGCTGAAAATTGTTCACCGCAAAAATCAATAGGTAATTAAAAGTTGAAACATGCACAAGTTGGAACGTAAATAAAAACGTCATTACTATATAGGTTTCATGAGAAGTGTGTCTGTGCGGTATTGAATGTTAAAAAAAAACAAAATCAGTTATTTTTGTTAAAAAGGGATTATTTATTTGTAAGGATTTTTTTTTTTTCACACGAATAATTGATGATGTTCTCATAATCTAATGATACTTAATATGTATAATCGACAAATGCTCTGAGAAAACTCAGATGTTAAAATTCAAAGTAATAAGAGAAAAATGCCATTTTAACATGGAGAGATTTTAAAACATGGTAAAATCTTATTTTACCCGCAACACATTTCTTTGCGGGTAAAACGGCATTTTAACATGTGAAAAAATCTCTCCATGTTAAAATGACGACAAAATGCCATTTTAACATGGAGAGATTTTTGAACATGGTAAAATCTCATTTTACCCGCAACACATTTCTTTGCGGGTAAAACGGCATTTTAACATGTGACAAAATTTCTCCATGTTAAAATGGCATTTTGTCGTCATTTTAACATGGAGAGATTTTTTTACATGTTAAAATGCCGTTTTACCCGCAAAGAAGTGTGTTGCGGGTAAAATGAGATTTTACCATGTTCAAAAATCTCTCCATGTTAAAATGGCATTTTTCTCTTATTACTTTGAATTTTAACATCTGAGTTTTCTCAGAGTGTGTCATACTTAATTTTAATTACTTTCAATTTCAATGTATGTCTTGTCAAAACGTCTTTTAATCTCTTTCGAATTTTGATCCATTTCATTAAAACTTAAATAAGTTGCCTCATAAACCGTCTGTAAAGCAAAGAATTCATTGGAATTGCGTCTTGGTGGTTCTTCATTAAGATAAAAATCGGCAAATGTGTCATGTTCATTTGTGCATTTTCCGTGAAAATCGTCATTGCTTAGATTTGTTATTGAAATACCAGCCAAATTACGTCTTACTGCCGATTTTACTTTATTTGCAATTGATCGGCTACAATCGAATTTTATTATCCAACTTATGCTCTGACTTATATATTTTTTCTTTGCGATACATTCATTGCCATCATACGATCGTTCCCATTCATCCATCGATAAAGTGGAACAGATATCATTAAAATCTTTCAAATTTTCAATTTTAAACGAAATATTTTCGTTCGATAGTTTTTCATGGCCCTGAAGCAATAATTGCCAAACAATCTTCTCTGGTTGCACATTTAATTTGATGAGATTGTCAATCACGTTCAAATTTTTAATTTGTATGAAATCAACATAATTCGATAAATTATGATCGTAAAAATCATCAACAATTTCTTTCGTATGTTCAACATTATTCGTATCAAAAGTTAGAGTAAGCAAAAGATATTTTGCCATAAATCTTCGCTTGAATTCCTTCAAAATGAACGAAAGAAACACATTATCCATCACGGCATCACTAGAAAAGAAAAGAAAAATAAAGAGAATATTCGTGAAAAAGTCTTTTGCGATTTGTAAGGAGAGACTGTTGCTCAGAACAATATATGTGCGAAGAAGTGCTCTCAAGAACAAAATACTAAAAATTGAATTGAAAATGACAGTACATTAGCCAGCTAAATGGGATAAAACAATAATTGTTTTAATAGAAGTGATTGATCATTTCAATTTTAATTATTTTTTCATCTGCTCTTCCGTGCTTCTTCGCACATACTGGGAAACAGTCTTTGTAAGTAAATACACACTTTTCTGAATCTCTCCAGTAAAAATCCATTCCATCAAAATGGTTGCGAAGAAGAAATTTGATCGCATCTCTGATGAATTGACGGCGACCTCTTTTATACAATCCAATTTCCATGAATTCTGGAGTTATGTCAATGCACAGTAAAGTCTAAATACATAATGCAATCAATCGAGGAAGATGATAAAATAAATGGATTGGAATCAAAATACCTTCAAATGCGGATACTTATCCCGTAGACTTGTAATCTTTGCATAAACATTATCTCTATCCTCTGATCTCCATGGATCTTTTGATCAAAAATACATATATCAATGTGAATTCGGCGAAAATCAATGAACATATTTGAATTACCTTCTCTTGTATTCCAGCTGAAATCTTTGATAATGAGATGTGTGCATAAATTTAAATCAACACGTTCAATGTCAAATTCATTTCGCGATGATTCTAAAAAATCGTTGCATATAATAACCTTGCCATGGAGTCGATCTAATATTTAAATATAAATTTTAAACGAGAAATAAAATAAAATGAAATTTGACAAATGCATATCATTAATACGAACCGGTTTCAGCGCCGCAACATGCAAAAATACTACAAATTACAAGAGCAAGTAGAAATATGCATGAAAATGTCGAATAAATGCTCACTAACGAACTCGAAAGTGTGGCACCACATGCTCGAAAAATCACGGAAATGTACACCTAACAAAAAAAACCGAAATGTTGGCCATTTAAAAAATAAAAAATATATAGAATGAAAATCTATTGGCGCTGAATGCGTTTTGAAAACCTTTGAATCTGCCTAAAATGAGACACACAAATAGTTGTAGAGATTCAAACATCAAACAGCAATCTTTATTAACACACCCTCAATTTTATGCATTTTCGAAATTGGTTTATGAGAATGAAAAGAGAAATAAATTTCTTACTTTGCTGGTATACATTTTCACGCTTTGATTATGCTTGACTTCTTATTATTATAAAATTGAAAAAGAAGAATGAATTAAAGAGTTTTTGTATCAAAGCCGATGATTTTAGGGAACATACTCAAATAGAGTGAAAAAAATGACCAAAATAATTGAGCACAAACCTCGGACTATACTGATCGAAACTAAAAACAAACGTTTATTTTGGAAATGAGTTAAAAAAAACCATTAAATGTGAAAAAATGTTGGGAATAACTGACTAATGAGCTTAAAATCATTAGGTCAGTACATACAAAACCAACATTCCATATTGCAACATCTTTTGAATGATAATATCTTAAGAAATCTAATTTCCAATTAAACTTGGAGTTGGTTGAAGAAATCATTGGTTGTAGGATCAAAATGAATTTGGCATCAAATATACCAAAATACATAAAACAAACACATACTCATTTGTTCGCATAACTTGAAAAATTTGTTCACAATTTCACTGTTCAATTGATGTTTTGTACTCAAAAATATGCATAAAGTTCCATTTGAATCAGTTCACACAAGGCACACGGCGAAGTTGGTTGCTTCAAAATCGCGTTCTCAGTAAAGCGTCGATATTGAACCGCGATAGACGCATTCTACTTCGTCTCCAGTCAGAATAGTCGGGGTGCATTATGTGAAGTCGGTGTCGGCAAAGTTTTTCCGTTTGAATTCGTGATACGTTCGGTATCGAAAGGTTTTTAAATAAAAAACAATATAGTGTAGTTTGAAAGTTATGCGAAATTGAAGATATCGACAAATTGCTAAAAGAAACTATTTTAATGGAATTTTATTGAACGGAAGTTTCAATTGGATATCTAACAAGCAAATTGGATATCGAACAAGAGTTTTATTTCGTTGATATGTATGGCAACGCATCAAAATTTACGTGCTATATGATTGACAGAGATATTAAAGTTGTGTGTTTGCGTTTTACCGATTGATGATGAAAGTAAATTTCATCATTTATACAACGATTATATAGTGTGATCATTTCCACATTAATTGACTCAGTTGGCCTCGATCAGCAATTCTAAACAAAAGCAAAGGTAATTGACGCCGTATCATTGATAAAAATGGAAAAAAATCATTTTATTAAATAGACACTCATGTAACATCGGAAATTTGATTTCCGTTAAAACTTTCAATTCCATTGGACAAGCATACAAGAGAGAGAGAACATTGCAGTGAATCAATGTGTGAAAACCATTGAAATCTAAGGAACTCTGCTCTTTAATTTGGACTTTTCTCTTGAGTGCTTACATCTAATCAGTATTAAGTTTTCAACAAGAACAAAATAAATAAAAGAAGTCGCATCAAAAAGAGCAATTTCATGGCATAAATGTAGCAAATACTTTTTTATATCAACTCCGAGTAAAACAAACAATTATCAATTTTTTTTATTTTGTTTGTGTAATGTGGAAAAGATTGAATATTGTCGATAAGCCGACAATATTGTGTGTATTTCCCATTTGGAACAATTCATTTTGACATTAAGTAACATGTTTTTGCCATGTTCAATTGTATAAATTACACGAAGAACGTATATCGTGAATTCGTGTGCACTGCGCTAGCAATTGTTGCCAAAAACAATTGTATTTTATGCAAATGCTTTCCAAAGGGAGTAAACAAACAATCATTATAACAGTACAACCCATTTATATGTTGTTTATTTAACAGTATTTTCATATTTTTTTTAATCAATTTGCTCATTTTCGTGTTTGTTTCGGTTTTTGCTGTGGGTAGTTGGTTGCAAACAAAAATCAATGTCCTTTTGTGGTTCCTCCTGCGTTTTTGGGAACTCACATTCCATTCATATTGGTGGCATTGTATTTTCATTCAATTTTTGAGGAAATTAAATTGGTTTCTTTTAAAAGTCCATATTCGTCTGTTTGTGTTCCGTCATTTTTTTTTCTTCTTCTCTTCATTCGATTACTTCAAGTCATTTCCGATTATGAAAGGAGACATCGCAAAATGGTATATACTCTATACATTTCGATTGAAGTAACTAGCTACAAAATAACGATTTACCAAGTAACCGACCGGCATTCGGTACAAAAAGGGTACAAATTACCAGATACAGATAGAGTAAGAGAGAGACAGAGAAGCGCACGCGAAAAGAAAAACCCTGGCGACATTAAATTGAATAATCAAACTATAGACACACATTTCATTGCATCAATATGCGACTTTTCATGTTTTCAAAACTAAAAGAAAAACCACACATTTAACAGCAGTTTGACTTCTGTTTTTTTTTGCTCGATTTGTTCACCACAATTTCATTTTCATAAACGGTTTTTTATTATGCATTGTATGACATGATATAACAAGCATATTTAACAATATATTACACATGATTTGCATACATGACATACACTAATGCGAACAACCTTAAATTAACTATAATAATTTGTTTACATATATTGAATGAGTGTTGCGTGTGTAATCGGTTCATGTTCGACGTTGTTTTTCGTTCGATTTCCTAAAAAGCATCTTTAGGTTAAAACATTACGACGAATATCCTTCACCTCGAAAACTATTTATAACGAAAAAAAAATGTTCCGCATTTAATTCGCAAATCTGTCTCGTCTGAGAACAAGAAAAAAAACAATGGATTTGTTTCATTTTTTTCCACTGACTAATTAGAATCTCAAACCAATTTGCTTAGGACGGATTGCATGTCACATAATGTTGCAATTTATTATGATAAAATACAAACATTTGGATAAACTACAACAACAAATTATGTCAACAACAACCAACAAATATCAACATTTTCATTATAAGTTTGTGTTTGAATGTTGTATGCCATATGGTTAATGCAAATATAACAAACATTCAACTTTGAAACGTCTTCACTAGGGTGGCTTAAAATAGAAGAGACTCATCTAATTTTCAAACGTATTTAGATTTTGTCGTTTTTGCCAAAAGGATACTGAAACGGATCGGAAAGTCACTCTACTCGCCAATTTGCTCTGTTTTTTTTTTGAATTAGTTGCAATTATTTTCTTTAAAGTTTCATGCATGAATAAATGAAATTAACAGAATAAATTGTTTTGAAACACAGAAAATGTTTGCAAAGTTATATTTCGTTGGCATTTGTTGAGTTGTCAAATTGAACCTCCGTTCGAAATGCAATATCTGCATTTTTGTTTAAATAAAACTCAAACGAATAAAATCTACAATTGGAAATGGTAGAAGAAGTAAAAAGAGATTAACATGAAACTTAATGTCTCAATTCAAAAAGTATTACTTAACTTAAGATCTAGGGGAAATCATCTAGTTGCGAATAGACAAAGTTGAATAATAAATAAATTGCAACAATTCGCAATAGGTTGTCACCATTTGATAAATACAAAGGACGCAAATTACAAAGTGACCAAAATAAACAAAAATAAAATATTTACGTTCACTTAACCGACACTTATTTTTAGGGGTGTATACTTAGACAAAATGATCTTATACATTTGAAAGGAGCGAGTACGACGTTTCCCCCTTTGCTAAGCGAAATAAATCCGATATGCGGCGCTGATTTAAATGTCACTCTATGTCATTCCACAATGATACATTTTTTGGCTTGACAATATATAAGCTCTTCATTCAACATGCATAATTTTTGAACGGTCGAGTAAAAAAAAGAAACATATCATAAAATATTCTTCTTACGTTTATCATAAAAATTCTCTATATTTTAAATTTATTTGTTTAAAAATAACAATAATTTCAATTTTTTTTTTTCATAGATTGAACAAGAATCTAATGTAAAAAGTAATACCAATGCGACACCTACCGTTAAAATAGAAAAGGAAACTTATTTGGAATTGTAACATTTTGGTCCGCCATAACAGCATCTTCGTTTTGCTTCTCTGTGATTGGTCAAGTAAAACGAAGATGCTGTCATGGTGGACAAAAATGCTACAATGGAGACCAACTAAGTTTCTTTTTGCATTTTTACGGTAGGTGTCGCATTGTCATTACTATTTACATTGGATTCTTATTTAATCGATGAAACATTTTTTGTTGAAATTATTGTAATTTATAAACAAATTAATTTTTTTATAAAAAAATTTTTTTAATAAATTTTTTAATGAAAAATGTTAGAAAAATATTTTATGACATGTTTTTTTTTCAACGATTCAATAATTATGAATGTGTATGAATTTTAAATGAAGAGCTTATATATTGTCAAGCCAAAAAAGTATTATTGTGAAATGACTGAGTGACATTTACATCAGCGCCGTATATCGAATTAATTTCGCTTGGCATAGGGGGAATTATTTTGACAGATAGTACTCGATCCTTTGCAGTATTGGCACCCCCTCTTAAGGGTAGTATGGCCGATCGGTGATTAGAATCACTCAATATCGTAGTAATATCAAATACGCCGGCAAAATCATAATTATGACCAAAAAAGTGTAGGGGGTACAGTGGCTGCTGCGACTACTACGGCACCATTCGCTCACTAAGGTTAAGCTGCATATGCTTTGGTCAGTGTTTGAATGGGTGACCGATAGAACATCGTATGTAAGTTACTAACATTACTAACGGGGTTTTGAGCCAAATTGCATCGGCTTGATAGCAGCTTGACAGCGCATCAGCTGGATAGCAGCTGAAAAGCGCACCAGCTTGATAGCGTCACAAAATCACCGAGAAAAAAATAATCTTGCGTAATAATTACGCCTTTGGGTCTGTGCAAAAAACTGAATAGCTTAAGCATGAGCGACACCTCCCGGCTCCCCAAATAGTAAAAAAAAGTGTAGGTACACTTCCAATCAAACACTTACCTACACTGAATTAAATCCATTCATTTTGGAAAAAAATTATTGCAGGAAAATTACGAATTGTTTGCGACTTGTTGCGAACTTGTCATTTTTTTCAGACACTGTTTGCAAATAATTTTGTAGAAAAATCGCATAATTCATAACATTTGAATCGTTCCCCTGAAGTTTGTCCTTTTTTAATGAAAGATTCTGAATTATTTCCCTATCGATTTCATTTCAATGCAGACGTTCTTCATTTCTTTTGATCGGAAGTGATAGATATGAATTAAGAAAATGAGAAGTATGAGCTTTTTGTGCTGGTTTTTGGTCTTGATTCTATTGTGAATACTATGTTTTCTGAAAAAAATTGTTGGTGTCACAAATTGGGGTGATTAGTCAGCTCAATATATTGTCTGCTTCTTTATATCAAAGATAATAATAAATTATTTTGTATATGGGACAATTGTTTAAAATTGTAAACAATCGACGACCAAAGAAGCGATACGAATTTCGTCCATTACTCTCCTCTGTTTGGAAATTAATTTTATTTTTCGGCGGATCAATGTCAAGAATAATATAAATGAGTAACAAAAATCAATAAAAATCTCGTTTATTCTTACAATAATCGGGTGAATTTTGAATTCAGAAGGAACGTTTCCGGTAAAATATTTAGCATAACGAAGCCATAGCTTTGTTATTTCTGCGAGATAAATACTCATATTTCATTAATTTACAGATTTTGAAATTGCCAAAAAATGGGACGAAAAAAAGTGATTAAAGATCCTCAAGAAGAGCTAGAAGCCGAAAGTAAGCTGCTTATCGATGAAGCGACCAATTTAATGAAATTACACAACTATACAAAAGCTCTGTCTATATATCAGAAGGTAAAAATCAATTTTTCTCAAGTTTTTCAGAAGCTTTTCCATTTCCAAGTTTCCATTTCAGTGGCTTTTTCAAAGTTTCCCGCTCTCTCCAAATAAAAGCTTTTCCAGGTGTGCCATTGCTTTTGCAGAACGTGAAGTCGGTGTTTGTTTGATAACATGATAAAATGAATTAAGCATCAGATATTCAAAATGTACGAAACATCTTAAAAAAATATTTGTATCCTGTGTTGATACAGCGGATTTTTTTTAACTCTATCTTTAATGTTGAACAGTTCTACGTTTTCTTATCTTTCGATTTTCTCTTGCTGATTTATTGTTCAGTGTGTCTGAAAATCCATCGACGCGTCGATAAAAATTGATTCTCAAAGCGTTGTTGCCATGGTGCGTCCAATTTAAAAGGTGTTTCTTTTAAAATGCTTTCAATAGCTTTTCAATCGAATTAACAGCTAAATAACTGGTATCAGTTTTTTTAGATCATCATCTTCGAATATATCCAATTGGTTTTTGTATTTTAAAGTACAGAGCCGACAAACAAACACCAATAATAACAAACAATTCAAAAAGTTGGAAAGTTGTTATTTGTTTTGCGTTTAAATAAGAGAAATAAATTAAATAACTTGTTTGTGGTGTCTGTTTGAGTTCAGTGCAAAACAAGTATGTAAAGCTGTACATACATCATTGAAATTGGTTTATTAATTAGAAAGAAATTTATTGAAACACGCAAATCAAATTGTGAATCGTAAATCGAATTTGAAAAAAGTTGAAAGACGAGGAAAAACAAACAATGTCAAAAGTTCGAGATATATTGGGCGTTGATAAGGAATCAGAGTTCCTACAAAGTTTTGTACGCATTGGTTTGACAGCCGATCAAGAAGACCATGAGCATAAGTCCTTGTATATGCAACCGAAGGCACCGCCAATCGCCAAACAGACATCAGAAATTCGATCGGAGGGCAGTGACGGACGATCACCAACGCGTACTCGAACATCACCGCGTGACAATGGACGCATTCGACGTGGCAAACGACGTGAATACTATGAAGAAATGTACACGGATAAGGATAGAGCAGCAGCAGTTTCATATGGTTCAGTCCTATAATTTTCATTTACCGATTTCTCTCTCACGTCATTTTAACTCGCATTTAATTTGTTGAATAAAATTATTCCGATTTTCCCTCTCCAACGACGTTCAATTTTGCATGTTTTGAACGAAAAGTTTTTAATACAACACTTTTCATCTTCATTCTCAGGCTATTTTGATATAAAACAAAGTTTGAGCATAAAACGACGCCAAGATCGTTCCGAGGCACTTCAATTGCCCGACGAAACTGATCCAAGCACACTTTTGGCACTCGGTCAACGTGAATTTAAGAGCGGAAACACTGACATTGCTGTTTTATTCATTTCAAAGGCACGATCAAATTATTTCACTTGCAATGCTACCCATTTTTTCCCATAAAAGATTTTCCATTTTTATTACTTTATCCATTTAATTAGAATTTTAATTACAGGCACTTGAATTGAATCCATCCGATCAAAATGCACTGGTTGCTCGAAGTAAATGTTATTTGTTGCTTGGCGATCCATCAAAAGGGCTTCAAGATGCTGAAACCGCATTAACCAATGACAAAAACAATATACGAGCCATTTATCAGAAGGCTGAAGCCCTTTATTTTCTCGGACAATTTGAGTTGAGTTTAATGTTTTTTCATCGTGGTCTTCGTTTACGGCCAGAGTTGAATAGCTTTCGTTTGGGTGTACAAAAGACGCAAGAAGCGATTGAAAAAACGATTGGTGGTTTTGAACGTCAAAAGAAACCGTCATCATCAAAATCGAGTTCAAGAAAAAAATCGATGCCAACAATACCAGAAGAGAGTCGACCAAAGACTGGCATTAAAACAGCAAATAAAGTGAGCTTAGAAAAGCGTGAGGCACGTAAATTGCTTGGTGAACTATGCGTTGATAAAGAATATTTGGAGAGTCTGTTGAAAAATCCAGACCTTAAACGGGCTGATACTGGAACTGAACAGGTCTCAAATCTGGTTAATGATGCCGTTCGCTTTTTAAATTCACGACAAGAATTTTGGCGACAACAAAGACCGTGTAACGCACTGCCGAAACATAAGAAAATTGACATGAAATGGAATAATTAAATGAATGCGCATAAAAACAAACAAACGGGCATATTCGAAGCATTTTTAAATCAAAATATTTATTATCAGACAATAGTCTACAACAGTTTTAGCTAACACACTTGTATATTTTATCAAATAAATGAAATAATTTCAAAAAAATATTCTGATGGCATTTTCAAAAATTTGTCATCAATGGTTTGTTCAATTAAAATTCAATTGCAATCAATTTCAAATTTTTAATTTTAAGACATTTAAACATTTAAAGATATGATTTTTTTTATGGTAAAAAATCTTTTCGAATTGACATTGATCTCAATAAGATTTACATTGTACGGAAAAAAACGTCGCTCATATGTGTATGCTTGTAAATTGACTTGCATTTTTATTTTTATTTTTATTTTTGTTCCATTAGATCTTTAGATGAGTGTAAAATGGTAAATATAAATTTTATTCGCTAATTTTTCAATTTTTCGTTTTAAAAATATTTTTGAATTTGCAATATATTGTCCGTGTTGCTAAAAAAAATTATTTGCAATTTATACAATTGTGGCACTAATTTTGATCCCAAAAGTATCGAAATGATGCATTCAATATGCGTATACATGAGATATAAAAATTTCTAATTTGTTCGCTACAATTATTATAGAATATGTTGTTTTAAAATAAAAATGTGTACTTTTTTTGTTCGTATAAATCAAGGGAATGATGCAATACAAAGAAATGCGAATTTATCGCGTTTCGAAGCTAAGTATTTATAATTCTTATATGGTATAAATTTCGGATTGAATAGCTTTTTTTAAGAAAAAAAAAGAATTGTTTAGTCCCTATCATTTGTGCTGCAATGCTACGATGGCACCGAATAGTCTCTAATAACTGGATTACGAAGAACGAGTGCACTTTGCTCTGATATGATGGGCAACACATTGGTCCAATGGTAATTTATTAAATGGCTTATACTGTCGAATATGCGATATTTCGTGCGCACCTAAAAAAAAGATTTTTTTTTTCTTGAAAAAATTCAAATTTAATATTTTTGAAAGAAAAAAAAAAACCTACCGTTCCTTCTGGGTCGATAAGTAACAAGTGCTTTGGAGTTTGCTCTTGTAATCCGGTAAGAACATATTGCCCAGGTTTGTTTTGTGATTCACGAACCAAAAAATCGCCATCTTGCTTCAGCATCGCTTCAGCAGCCTGTCGACTTATTGATGCATGAAACCATTGTTCCGTCAAAAGTTGTGATCGCTGCACTTCAGCCGACAGTGAAAATGGTTCTATCAAATGAATTAAGCAATAAATGAATTTAGAAAAAAAAAAAAAAAACAATCCAACGGAAGATGAAACGTAATTATTACAACAGAAAAATTGGAAACATACGCATATCAAACACATCTCTGGTGATTGCCGGCGGTGTTGTGTTACTATTCACATCAAAACTTTTATCATTTACATAATTTGGATCTGGGGGTGGACTGTTCAAATCAATTAAATTACTGCTTAAACGTTCTCGTGGTTTCTGTTTTTTTTTTTTTAAATAAAAAATAAAGAAAATTGGTTTCATGTGTGTAAATCAAATGAAGATGAAGAACATACCTGAATTGTCATCTTTTTTGCTGGTTGTGATTGTTGCGGTGGTATATCTTCTACTGGATCCAAGAAATCAGGTGGTAACTTGCCTATTCAAATATTTCAAAATGTCATTTGATTCCGGTTGAATAAAATCGATATAATTCGAAAAACGAAAATAATTCAATATTTACCCGGTAAATCGTTATAATAATCTTTTTCGGTTGTTAAATTTTCGGTTAAATTTTTTGTATTAAATGAAAATTCAACGCTGGAAACGAAAGAAAACGAAACTATTTAGAAATTTTGTTAAAATTGTAATCAAATCAACGCATTTATCGTTTATATTTGAAATGAAAAACTTCAAACCGCACATTAAATAGTTTTAATTAATTAAATTTCGATGTGAACTGTGCGAACTTTGTTGCTTAAACTTACTGTGTTTTATTGAAGAATTCATTGTATCGAAGTTCAAATGCTTGACCTATAGCAGCAATTAAATCAGAGGCTTGACCACCGCCACACTCAAGTACATAGCAGGCGCGCCAGTCTGTTGCATTTTTCGCGACATATGCAACAAAATCCAGTGTTTCCTATATTCAATCCAATTAAAAATCACAGAAAACATCAAACAAATGTTTTGTCATAATTTATGGATTTATGGAGTTCGTATGGTCAATATATGAAAACAAAGTGTGTATATATCTTACTGAATCACCGCCGGATGCAAATGATATTCGGGGCATGTCATGTTTTGCAATCGCTTCATTATTTTCTAAACCTACGAGTGATAAAAATTTACTCGATACACGTAAGATCGCATTTGTTCCAGCCATATCCATGTTTGGCATATCGGATAATGCCTGCTGTATCCGTTTATCACAACGCCGTTTTTTCGATGTTTTTAAACCGCCCGCTTCACAAACACGATTTATACATTCCCTAATGGTCACGAAAAGGGAAATAGAAAAAGATTGAGAAAGAATAAGAAATAGAATGATCAAACATTTAGAAACACAATTAATTAGCACTCACTTGGCAACCAATGATCGCAACGTAAAGTCCAGCACTTTCATTGAAGTTTTTATTTCAAGGCATCCGATATACTAATTGTCATGGAGCAAAAAATTAAGAGAGTTAATTTTCAATTATTTTTTTTTATTTGAAAAAAAAAAAAAATGAAAAAAAAACGCGATTAATTTGTTGTGAATACATACGCGAACATTGAATGTGACCCCTTCATTAGAAATGATGTTGTCGGCATGTGACCATCCTCTAGCTGGTTTGCCACCAAACGATTTCGAATCTATACCACCATCAGCTCCATCCATATCGATTGTTGCGAATTAAATGCTAAATCGCCTGCAAATACCAAAATAAATTCCATTTACTTTAGCTGATCGCTTATTCTTAATAATACATATAAATGATATGCACATCTCGTTTACAACGAAATTATTTGTATCAAACAGGAATGGACATGGAGTGACCAAAGCGAAATGTCGATGAATATGATTTGAAGAGGTGTTCATTTCATTTGAATGAAGAAAGAAAAAACCACGATAAATTGAAACCGGGTCATATTTACACTGCATTTACAAGTGGCCGTTATCATGTTACATGCAAACCACTCTACTGAACCGGTCAATATTTTGCATTCCATTGCATATTATTTTCTTTGGTTTACATCGATTTGATGCTTAGTCCAATGCGTTTTTGCATATTGCCTTATAACTAAAAAAAACACACACAAACACCAATTTCAATGTATTTGAAACAACACACAGCGACTGAAATCACATCGAAAAACTGGCAAACATAGGAAAAGAAAGCGTTGCACGATACTGAAAAAGAACAACAAGAAGAAACAAACATTCCACCGATTCGTGGAATATATACAAATATGTATTGACACGAGCCACGCACAATTTTATCTGTTCGGTATTACAGCGAACCCGTGTGAATTATTCATTCCATTTGAATTTACATATAAAAACAACGATGACGATTTCAGTAGCGCATAACACAATGAAACTTTGTTTTGTCTTTTAAGAAATACGAACCATTTAAAATGGTTTCTTACGTGATTGTTGTCCAATGGACATGTACCATAAATGGTGGCAAACGGAAATCCAACCAAAAAAATAAAAACGCCAAACGACTATTCAATAGTGTTTGAGTAAGAATATGCGATTTCAATGGGTCCGTTTGGTGTTTCGTCGAAGAAAGATTCGTCATACACTGATTAAGCAGTGTTTTATTGTGCGAGCGTGTGTATATAATAATTCTTCATTTGACTAATGCACTCGGCCACACGGCCAATTACTTGATGGTAGCTTCATTTAATGGCCTTGGCACACACTCACTATTATTACTCATTCACATATCATCGCATGGAATGTTTGTAATTAGTTATAAACCGTTGGGAAATGTTCATTTAATTTAGACGAGACAGAGATGGATGGTGGTGTGTGATACTATTGCGGTGCCAAAGGGAAACTTCAAACACCATAGAACCGCAACAATATCGCACAACAAACGATATTCATACTCATGATTTCCGTATAGTAAAACAAATAACAACAAACTAAAAACAATTGTAATGTCGTGCGCGCACAGTATGACTTGGTGTCTATCTATATTCTCTGTATTTCTCAATTTTTTTTTTATATTGTCACCACAGTTGCCAATTAGTGATAATTTATTACCATTCAATTCATATGCGCATACAATGAAACGAACAATATTCGAATATCATACATTAAACATCAATAGACACATTTCAATTCAATGTACATTGTACAATCATTTGTAAAATTATGTCTGCCGTTTGATTTTAATTTTCATTCGATTGGCCTGTTGTTTACATTAGACTCTACTAGTTTCTAGAACCGAAAGGAAAAATGTTGAAAAAACGCAATCAATCGAACAAAACCACAGCAACAACAACAAAAATGAAACGCACAATCATCGAAACATAAACAATTTTCTTAAAATTCCGTTGTGTTTTCAATTGCAAAACGTACATGTATGTGTATATGAATCAATGCATCATATCATATATACATTATTTCTGAATCATAAATTACTCGAACCTATCAAAAAAAAAATTGTGTTTAGTGAAATTCGAACCGAATAGGAGAAAAAACCAGCAGTAGTAACAACAACAATAAAACATTGAACTGCAATGCAAATACACACAGGAAATTCGAAAGCAATAGACGGCGCGCGATCAACTAACTCACAATTTTTATGATGAAAAAAAAAAAATCAAAGCGTTTGTCCCTCTGGTTTTCCCAATCTCCACCTTACTTCATCACAAAGAAATTCCACAATTTATTTTGTTTCTTTAATCACCAAATATTCGTGTTTTTTTGCTGTTTTTTCGTGATATGTTGATCGTTTATTTTTATTTTTTCGTCTTCAGGATAAAAAATACACAAGCAACAAACAATGAAATCAAAATGAAATGAGAATATAACAACAACGAAAAACACGTATAACTGATTTGTTACATACAGTGGACAAAAACAGGCAACACATAAAATTTTCAAATAACAACAAAATGATAGAGAGGGCGACAGCCACCATGCAGAGCGAGTGAGTGGGAGAAAGTGAACGCAAACGAGAGAGAAAGAGAGAATCAAAAAGAATATACACATTCACACAAATACCAGCATTTATGCATAGCATAATGTTCTGTGTTGTGTGCTATGGTGCCGCCATATTTTGAGTAGTCTGTGCTGGTTGTCAAAAAGTTCATGTATACACACACACACACACACATGCATACGTACACGGCATAAACAATGTACGGTGCACCGATAAAAATACAGTGAAATTGAAATTTGACACTTCGAAGAACGAGTGTTTGTATATGTGATTATGACGGTACATACAACATCGGCATCGAGAATAATATAATCAAATTGCTGTTTGTTCGTTTCGTCTGAATGACGAATATCATCTGTATGTGGTTGTAATTGAAGAACACATCGGCATTTTCATGACATTCGTATTGAGACGACACTGCTTGTCATCGCACCAACACCATCATTGAATCGAACACACCGTCGACCAAATGTGATCGACAAACATTGCAATTTGCGTTCGATACACATAGAATAGCGACAGAGCAAAGTAAGAAATATCCAACACAGAAAGAAAGAAGAGCAAAAAAAAAAACACACAGCGATGTAAAGCGAAAAAAAAGAAGAAGAAGAAGAATACAGCACACAATGATGAAACGAGCAATAGCTTATCCAAAAACCTTACATACATCATACATATCGTTTTTTTTTTTTTTGTTTCACAGTTTTGACAGTAACAGCTAAAGTGAAGCAGTAACAATAAAGTGCAGAAAAAAACGATCCATTTTATTGTTGATTTTAATTTCGTTTTAAACTCTTTGTTTTTTCTGTTTTTTATCCGAATTGTTTCTCACAATCAAATATATCTCTTGTTCGTTCAATTCTCGTTCCAATTTGAATAATCACGACAGAGACGCCAAACAATTTATCGGTTTTTAGTAGTTAAGTTAAGTTCATAAGTTCCAATTTAATGAGAACGAACGAAAAAAAAAGACGAAGAAGATTGTGTGTGTATGTGAATATATATATGTTTCAAAAGTAAAATAACAACAATTAAAATTAAAACAAAAGAATGCGTTGATGTTTAATGTCGGCCATCGAAGTAACGAGAAACTGGCAACAATAGCTGATCGAACTTAATGAATTGGGTGGGATGCATTTTCATCGATGGCAACAACAATAATAAGAAAATGATTTAAATTGACGTAATTTCATTGGAATCAGATGTGATTGCTGCCATTTTATCATTGGCGTGTATAAAATCGTCAACGAAAGAAACCATTGTATTTTTTTTGTGTGTGGAACATTGGATCGGGCCATAGACCAAAAGGAAGAGAGAGAGAGAAAGAGAGAAAAGAAAAGGAGGAGTAATTGCAACAGAGCACAAACTAATTACCAGAAACCCGATATGCGATACAGAACGTTAAACCACAGTAAACAAAAACGGATGAGATAATGAATGTCTTGTGTGATAAATAAATGAAAAGACATTGCACGAAGTTGAATACACAATAATTATGAACGAAACCAAACAACAATGTAAACAGGCGATCATTAAACGCAAAAGAAAGCGAAAATTACGATACGAACAACGATAGGCCTGTGTAATATCATTTCCTCTATGTCTTATTAGAATAGAAGAAAACAATAACAAACGAAAATCGAAGTTTTTATCCGATTTTGAATTTCGTTGATTTGACATTTAACAGCAAAAACAAAATCAACCATATACACAAAGAAAATTGTATCAAATACCACGTGAAGTGCGCAACAATAATTGTGATAATATTCAAGAAAAAACATTATTTTTCGAAGTATACTCCTTAAATAATAAAACAAAACAAGAAGTCATTTGAAGAGAGAGAAAAAACCACAACAACAAAGCCCATACAAAGAATTTAATTTTGTGAATTGATGTTGAATAAAATATTAGTAGCATTAGTAGTAGATAAAAGCCAGTTTATATCGAATGATGGAAAGGATGATGAAAAATCAAAATGCTAACGAAACCGATTATGACAAACAATTTAACGAAGATTTGGAAAAAGCGACGGCGCTCAGTCTGGAAACACTGGCACTTGAAGAGTTTCATCGCAACAAGTCTTCGCATTTATCGTCGACGGCCGGTTATTCAGTGACCGATGGATCAAGCACAAGCAATGCCATGAAATTTTCATCGTGTATGTATTCTGTATATTTTTTTCTGTTTTTTTTTTCTTCTTTTGAATGAAATGATCAATAATATCTCTTCTTCATTTCTTTTTCTTCGGTTTAAATTCATTAAAATAATTTTAGCGCAAAGTAATTTGTCATCGGTGAGCATAAAATCAAATCAATCTGTAACGCGGCCACGACCTGGATCATATGGTACAGCATCATCGACACCACCAACGACGTCATTTGCAAACAGTGGAAAACCGTCGACATTTCCAACATCATCGAGTAGCGGTTCTTTGGCACCGCCACCCCCAAGTACACAACGGAATCTCAGTCGAAATACATCGAAAACCAATGAAACCGATTTAATCTCATTCAACAATCCCGCTGAAAGCATTTCACATGATAATTTACTATTGGCCAATGACACAGTAACACTAACTTCACCTGTCAATGATTCACATTCGAATTTCAAACAAATGGTCGAAGAAATTCATAGGTAAAATTCACTATTTACATGCTGTGGTTTTTTTTTCTTGCGACAACATGAGCGATGATGGTTGAACTCAACTCCGAATTTGAAAAAAAAAAAAAAAAAAAAACGAAATGTCAAAATAATAAAAAACAAACTGATTTCACATAGTTACTGCAACGTTCTTTTAATAGCATAACAGCTGGTGTCGAATTTTCATTAATATCGTTGTTGCTATCGTCGCCTAAGCCGTGGGAGGTGCTTTATTGAAAAATAGTCGAAATTAATGCCTATCAATTTATTTTATTCTTTCAGACGCAATGCACAATATCATGTCTCATCAACGATGCACGGCTATCAACAACACGCGTCCGCATCAAATTCAAATGCAAACAGTATGCAACTTATGCCGTATACAGCACAAACAAAAACCTTGAACCCCGACGAACTAAGCAAACTATACAACATGAATCCTTATAATCGGCCCCTGGCTAGTGGCACTGTTACGGGTGGCAGTGTTGCTGGTGGTATGGTCAATTTTCCAAATATTCAAAGCGGAATTAACCTGGGTCATATTCAAAATCATGCAACAAACATTACTAGCCAAATGTCATTAGCACAAGCTAACGCCAATCCAGCACAATACTTAAACTCGCCGCCATATATTCAACAACAAGGTATGCTAAACCGAATTTACAATGAATGTAGTACTTGAAATACAAATTATATACCGCAATGTCAAACACCCATTGTAAACTAGTTCAACAAACTCATTTGATTATATAGTACTACGTATATCCTTTCGAGATATATTTATTTCTACCGCTCTACAAAGAGAACACACAATGTTAATGTACTCTATAAGTACACAAAACGTTTACGGAAAAGACTGTTCTTATTATTTCGTGTATTTTTTTAAATACATAAATTCACACAAAAAAACACTCAAAATGCGGCCCACTTTTTTATCAGAGTTTTTCATTGTCGTTTTGTGCTATTATTCGTCCCGCTTTCACAACAATTAGAGCCTCATAAAAGAATAATGAACTTAAAATTAAAAAAAGAATTTTTCCCCGAAATTGAAGTGATAAAATAATAAGATGGTTTCTTTTAAATAGCTCGAAGTCCAGTTTATCCGTATGCATACCAATCGACAGCCGCTGGAGTTCCATCGATCGACCGACCATTGATGAGTGTTTCAAATTTAACTTATGCTCAACGTCAAACAATGGCAGTTAGTCCAATGACAATGCAACAATCACAATCGCCAACATTTCCAATGAACTTAAGTACAAATAATGAGACCGCCTTGGTGCATGTATGTATCATTTATTTCGAAAATTCACTTTATATTCCGATTTTACACTTTTTTATGAACTTTTTTTCCTTTTTTACCAAAAATGGCAGCTTCCTAAAAAGGAATCGATCAGTATTGAAACGAAAAACATTCCATTTGGTCAAGAATCTACAAATTTAGCACTAAAATCAACGAACAAAATATGTGATAGTATCAAAAGTGGTGGAGGAAACAGTGTTATCATGCGACGAACATCTAATGCCGCTAAACAAATGGATGAAGATCGTGGGGGTAATTACTGAAGAATTGACATCCAACAAATGAATGATTAATTTTCATTATAATATTTTCTGATTTTTTTTTTACCCAGGTGAAGATCTTATTGATTTAGACAATGGAATTGAAGACTCGTGAGTTTAGAGCAAAATTTGTGTTTTTTATTTTAATTCTCAAATGTTAACATTTTCGGTTGTTTTAGGTGGCGTGTTAGCGTTTTAGAAGCATTTGATCCGTTGCTCTTGAATGACAATAGTGATGCCAATGATCAAGGTAAAGTGTCTCTCTCTCTCTCTAACACTTTCTAACGACACCCAAGGTTCACTTATAAAAAAACACACACATATACTCGTATATATTGAAATTCCAAAAAAAAAAAGTTAGAATGTGATCAATGAAGAAAGAATAAAATCACAAAGATCCAATCGTTTTCGGCATTTAAAATTCAAAATTGGATGTATCGCATCCAAATATGTTGACTTTTATGTTTGTATAAAATGTGTTATTTATTTATTTTTTTGGCTGGCATAAATTTAAGAATTTAACTGCTTTCGTCATATTACTTTTTTTAAATCATAATTTCTTTCCATTCCATTTGTTTTGATTGCGTGTGGGAGATTATTTTTAGAATAGATTTTTTTGTTGTTGTTGCTGCTGTTGTCACTTGTACAATATAACTGCAACGGTGTATGTGTGTAAATGTATGTGTTTAGTGTGACAACTCGAACAACTGCGCGACGAAACCTATGTAATCACGTATCATACAAAGTATATTTTCAAACTCTGCATATTCTTGATCATACCGTTGAATTTGTTCCTCGTTCAATATTCCGCAATAAATTAAATCGAATCGAGAACCACAATACCATTAATTACATTTTGCAAAGAAAACAATGGATTTCATAAGATTTTTTTAATTTCATTCGATCAACGTTAGAATTGAATCAATCAAATTTCCAAACGTGAACTGTGTATGTGATTGACAATTGTGATAATTGAATAGCTACAACAACAAATAAATCACATAGATAAATATATAATGACGCACATAAACTACTATTTCAAGCGAGAATCAATTTGCTACAATCAATATAATAATAGCAAATATGTATTTTCCATGTGTAAGAACGACTGATCTATGACTAATATCATCCGTATACTGATTGAATAACATTGATTTTTTTTTGTTTATCTTTCGAATTTGATTCAGGTGATGCAGCTTCGGAGTGTGGAACTTCGTATTATTCGGAATATGATCCATTCGACTATTTATACAGCAGTGGAACACAATATTCAGATCCGCTTTACGAAGCTGTTAATAAGATCGATCGAACACCGTCGATGACAAACAATGAACTCTATGCCGGTTCAAGTATACCGAATCAATCATTTGATTTGGATCAAATCGGTGAACAGTTGGAATCTTTTTTAACACCCGATTGGGATGAGAAAGATGATGATCTATCTGATTTTACAATGATACCACCATCATCGACAGTGATTACGGCACCACCATTACCACCACGAAATGCAACCGCACGTCAACCATCTTTTAATGATGCCCATCGGCCAATCGTTAATCGCACGAATAAATCAAGTATCGATCGCTTAAAAGTTGCCACAAAACTATATGAAAATGTGATCGAGAATCGAACATACGATGCTGAACTACTTGCCTTCTTTAACATGGTAAATTGAATTTAAAAAAAATATGAATGAAAATTGTCTTATGATCACATACATTTTTCTTTAGGTGAAACGCGTTCGCTCACAATTCAAATATAATGATGAAACAACAAATGTTGGCCACGTTGTCGCTGCCGAATATAATAATCATTATCCGGATGGAACGGAGATCAAATTACTCGTGCATCCACTGATACCGGGCGGAACATCATCGAATCAATCAATGACAACCAATCGAAATAGTGCCGGTGATAGTGGCATTGAAATGACACCCGACGCTCTGAATAATGATCAAAATGGGATTAACAATCAGAAGGGTCAAATTGAAGGTTACGGACCACCTGTTGTTTTTACATGTGATAGTAAGTGACTTGCACTATACTACAAAGTTAGATCATCATAATTTTGTGATTTTTTGTTTGCCTTTTTTTTAAATTCTAGTTTGGACGACAGTTGAGCACGTAATGGCGCATGTGTTTTGTGAATTAGAAGGTCAACAGTGTACGGGCAGCGTAGATGATTATATTTTAAAGCCGATTGGTGTGAACGAATGGTTGCGGCCAACATCGAAACTAAGCCAATTGGATTGTGTGCATCAGAGTATCAAACTGGAGCAAGATGTTCAATTTGGTTTGTGGCCAAAAATCTATGCAAATCTCAATGGTCTTGCGCGCACATCGCAAGACGATATTCGTGATGCGGATATCAAACCCGAAGATATTTTAGCACATGAACCAGTCGAAACAATAAGCTACGATGGTCTTATGATTTTACTGGAAACATTAGAAGATGAAATAGCACGAATCGAATCAACGGCCACCGATTCACGGCCACACATGCCAATTTCACAGTCAGGAGTTGTGCAAGCGGTTAAAATGATATGTGCTCTATTCGGTTCAATTGATACGTTAAGCATTGCGACAGCTATAGATGCATTAAATCATGTTGTGACAAATGGTCAAAATTATGGATACAGTGATACATCATCGTCATCGATTGGCGGCGGTTCAATGCTTGAAGTAAGCAGCGAAGCGGGCGATTATGCAAAAGTAAATTTGAGACCAAAAACATTTGCCGAACAGATAAAACACTGTTGTAATCGAATCCGTGAATCCGTTCAATTGTTGATTGACACATTTTCGCATGCATTTCGTGTTGATTTCTGTGTAAATACAACCGTATTTCGAACGAATCCAATACCAATTTCACAAGTAAGCGATAGTGTTATGGTGCATGTGATGTGCTTGCATCGTGTTCCGCCACATTGGAGGCATGATTACTATATGCTTGGTGCGATGATTTATCATGGTACACGTTATATTGGCGATGCGGTTGTTACACAATGTTCAAATGAAAAAAGTGGTTTATTTGCACGAAATTTGAAATTTGACTCATGGTTACGATTTGATAGCATTCCAATTTGTACCTTACCAAGAGAATCAAGACTGATTTTCGTTTTGTATGGATGTATTACCGAACCGGCTGAAGGATCTTCTGCAAACGCATCGGCTGCAACAAATTCAAATGTGACCAACGATGCAAATGATGCCAGCGGCCCAATCGATCGCAAAGTGACCAAAATCGAATTGGGCTGGTCGTCGATACAATTTTTCAGTTTTGAACGTCAAATGATTGAAGGTTCGTATTTATTGCCACAATGGCCACCAACAACTGATAAATTCCTTGGACCGGCACCATCAAAAGGCACCCATCCACATGGTGATCATTGTCCAACACTTTCAATTGATGTTCCATCGTATGGTGGTCAAGTGGTTTTCCCAGAAATATCACAGAAAATTGCAATGCGACTCGATTTTAATAGTTTGGACAAGAATCTGCAGCAAGAGCTAATTGATACAGCCGAACAGGGTTATCCAAGTGCACTTGATAAACGTGAAGTGTTGTGGGAGAAACGTTTGTATTTGCACAATTTTCCGCACGCATTACCGAAAATTTTACACGCAGCTCACAGCTGGGACTATGATAGCGTCACCGATTTGCATGCATTGGTTCGATCATGGGAATCACTTTCGCCATTGCAGACGCTAGAATTGTTTTTACCCAGATATCCAGATATGGTTGTACGCGCACAAGCCGTTCGATGGATGTCGGCCATTTCAAATGATCAGTTGACCGTATTTTTACCACAATTATTGCAAGCACTCAAACACGATACATACGAAGCATCGGCTATGGCCGAATTTTTAATAACACGATCGTTACAATCACCGCGCATCGCTCATCATCTCTATTGGTTGCTCGTTCATTGTTTGCCCGGCGATTCACCACAGAACACAATCGATCAAACGCAATCGAACGAAATCGAAGAGGCAATCATTACAATGGCACGATACAATCGACGCAATTTAATGATGTTACGAGCCCTATTGGCCATCTGCGGTGAACGTCTGTCGGGAAAGTTTTTAGCACAAAATATGATGTGCACATGTTTAGCCGAAGTCGCTGGTCATGTAAAACAAGCGAAGGAATCAGTACGACAAAAAGTGTTGGTGCATGGCATGGAGAATGTCAATCAAATTCTACTCGAACAGCCGACCGCTCTGCCATTAGGACCAAGTTTTGAAGTGACCGCTGTTAATTCGAGATCATGTGGCTACTTCAATTCAAATACACTACCATTGAAAGTCAGTTACATTGGACCAGATCGAATGATTTTGCCAGCCATTTTTAAAGCCGGCGACGATTTACAGCAGGATATGTTGACCATTCAATTAGTTCGGGTGATGGATCGATTGTGGTTAGAGGAGGGTCTCGATCTAAAAATGGTCACATTTGAATGTGTTCCAACCGGTCACAAGCGTGGCATGATTGAAATGGTTACCGATGCCGAAACATTGCGAAAAATTCAAGTCGAATGGGGACTAACTGGTTCATTCAAAGATAAACCAATTGCCGAATGGCTTGAACGACAAAATCCAAGTCAATTGGAATATCAACGGGCTGTTGATAATTTTACCGTATCATGTGCGGGTTACAGTGTAGTTACGTATATTTTAGGAATTTGTGATCGTCACAATGACAATATCATGTTAAAAACTTCCGGTCATTTATTCCACATTGATTTTGGTAAATTCTTGGGTGATGCTCAAATGTTTGGCAACTTTAAACGTGATCGAACACCGTTTGTGCTCACCTCGGATATGGCATATGTTATTAATATGGGCGATAAACCTTCGATTAAATTTCAACATTTTGTCGATTTATGTTGCAAAGCATTTAATATTGTACGAAAACATGGTGATCTATTGTTGCATATGCTTGCATTGATGGCCACATCAGGTATTCCCGGTGTTACAGCCGATGCAGTGAACTATGTACGAAATGCACTACTTCCGGGCCAATCAAATCCAGAAGCGGCCGCATCATTTGCAAAACTTATTCACATCTCATTGAAATCATGGTTCACCCAATTCAATTTCTTCCTGCACAATTTGGCACAAATGCGATTCACTGGCGACGAATGCAACGGTGAACTACTTAGCTTTGTGCCACGAACATACACGTAAGTTGAATTGAACATTTTTTTGCAATTGTGATTGATATTTCATGTATATTGTGATTGATTTCTACACAGAATGGCTCAAGATGGACGTCTTAAATCTGTAACAGTTCATGGATTTCAAAAGCGATATGATTTGGAAAAATATTATACATATATATTGAAGGTGACACGACAAAATCAACCAGATCCAGCATTTTTATTCAGATCATACAAGGAATTTTCGGAATTCCATCAAAAATTATGTATACATTTTCCGTTGTCCAAACTTCACAGGTACAAAAGACTTTTTCTCTCATTTGAAAGTCAATTAGTTTAATACGAAAAAAAAAAATTTCTTTCGGATATTCAAAAAACTATAGTTTGTCAAGCGGAATTCATGTGGGTCGATCGAATATAAAAACAGTAGCTGAACGTCGATTGCCCGAAATACGTTTGTTCTTAGTTTCACTATTCAATTCGGCCGATGAAATTGCTCATTCGGACTTAGTCTATACGTTTTTTCATCCAATTTTACGTGATCAACAAGAGCAAGATATCAACGTAGCGAAAGTTAAAGGTAACATCAACAAGATATGACTTAATACAATTTGAATTTCATTAAGCTCATCACTTTTACAGACACCCGGCAAATAGCGAGCCCGGCTGAGAATGTTCGAGGTGAAATCAAACTATCGGTACAATATCATCGTGGAGCTCTGACGGTGATGGTAAGTTTGAATTGAAATGATCTGATTTTTTTATCAGACGGTTCTTTTTTGTTCTCATTTTTCAATAATTCTTGTGATTGTATTAATTGAAGATCTATCACGCGAGATCATTGCCACCAACAACAAGCGGACAAGAGCCAAATACGTACGTCAAAGCCTATTTGAAACCAGATCCAACGAAATCAACCAAACGCAAAACAAAAGTCGTGCGCAAAAACTGTTTCCCAAGTTTCATGGAAACGGTAAGATATTCCGCACATCACTCATATTTTTAATGCAAAATTTGATTTTGTTTCTTTTTTTTTTAAATAATTTTATCAAAGCTCGAATACCGAATGCCATTGGAGAATATCCAGCATCGATTGTTACAAGTGACCGTTTGGTCACATGATTCACTGCAGGAGAATGAATTTTTAGGCGGCGTGGAATTGAATCTGAGCCAATTCGATTTGAGAGAAGAAGTGGTCAAATGGTTTCCACTTGGTTACGTTACACGATCTTAATTTGACCAAAAATCAATAGACAATTGACGTTGCACAGCTTGTAAGCGTCGATTTATTTGTATTGCATGCAATTAATTGCTTTATCTGTTTTAATATTTGTCTTAAAGAAAAACCAATAAATGTATTGTGAAAATTTATTCAAGAACATAAATAAGCCATTTTCCTGTAATGCCCATGCCATCCTGTAACTAACAGGTTTAAAGTGTGTATGGCATAAAATTGTTTATTTTCAACTTTGAGTAGATTTTGTATTTACGATAACAGCAAACTAATTGAAGTAAAGCAATTGACACTTTGACCCATTTTGGTGGTCATTTTTGTGTCAAATAGAAGGTAGATTATATATGCATAAAATTCCAATAAAGATTAATTGATATACTTTTTTAGCGTTTTTCTTGATTCATTGTTGTTAAGTGAAATTGATTTTGTGCGATGAAATAAAAAAAATGACTGAAAAGGCAATTTCGACTAAAACAAAATGAGTAATGGCGCGTGGTTGAAAGAAAGGGAACAATTATTGCCATTAAGTATTACCATCGTCGAATTATGGATCGCAATCATTTCTAAATAAAATAAATTTCATAAATGAGTCTTTTGTTTGTCATATTTTCGTCTCAAAATATTATGTTCATTGATGACATTTCTTGAACAAAACAAAAAAACACAGTGACTGATGTAAAAACGAATAGAAAATCTTTATTTAAAAAAAAGTGTTCTTATTAAAAAGTGGCAATTGTGCCATGAATAATCTCTCTTGTTTTTCATGATTTCTCTGTAATATTTTCTATGATTAAAAAAGATATGGAATTCTTTGCCAAATTTCGCCTTTTGGATCATCTGTTACCAAACCGTTTCGCACAATGTCAACGATTGCATATTTTATGTGGGTAATATGAAGACCATTGCCGCTCGTAAATGGAAATATTCGCATTGGTCCATTGGCTTCAATTTGCTGCATAGCAAGACAAAACGCAATTGCAATGGCATAAATGAATTGATCTTCATGCTTTTTTGGTCTTTTAAATTGTGGAAATCGAGCACGACTGAGTGGATTCTCAATTTCTTTACCAAAATGATCATCGAATAGTTTCCGTTGATTATCGTGTAATCCATTATTTATTGAGAATTCCGGAAATGGAGAAAAGACATCAAAGTGTATTTCATACGCTGGAACTCGTTCGTATCGAATGACCGTAAGCCAACTGCCGTGCATGTCGTCAGGCCTACAATTCAATCAAATTCGATTACAAAACGAAATACTGAACATAAATGCATTTCAATTGCTTACCAAATGTAGATACATCGGTCACGTAAGATACGATTTATGACTTCCAAAATATGTGATTTATCTTCATCGGAAATAACTTCATGGCCCAAAGACCTTGCAATCATGTTTTTCTCTTGCTCCGATATATCGAGTTTTTGATGTTTACTAATTCTAAATAAAACAACAACTTAGTTAAGCAAGTCCAGTTGCTATTGTGATAACGAAAATTACTCACTCTTCCACACTTTCAGCCATAATTTGTTTATAAAATTGATTTGGTTTTGTTAAACTTGAATTGTTCTTGTGACTAGAAGCGTTTCACCAACGAAAACTTTGCACGAATTGTCGTATGTGTGACACAGTTGAAATGACAATTACTGTACAAGCAAACGAAACGCCTTTGAATATTCAAAAGAAATAAGTATTGCCATTTTCTAATACGAAAACCAATTAAAATGAGCTGTCAATGTCATTTATCAAATACCGGCTCATCAAATGGTCACCGATTATCTACAGTAATGGGTAATTGCAATGATACATGACAAAATGTCAACTAGACATCACGTTTTAGTTAGAAATATGCTTTATCCCTATCAAATTCAAATATTTTTTCTCATCAAGAAACCCAAACAAAATGGAAGATTTTTCCAATTTTTAGAGGGGGGTGGTAATCGGGACTCTTTGAAGCCGGATGGACTCAACTTATATGCAACATTTTAGCGAAATCAGAAGACATAAGACAGTCCGAATTTTGACTAAACTACTAAATTCATATACTAGAATAGACAGACATTATAAAGAGATATTTTCAGCCAGAGGAATCAGCTCAGCCAGATATCGTCAGGAGCTGAAATGGAGTGAAAACAATAAAAGTGATTGCTATAGTGATTATAGCAATGTAAGTGTAATTATAACCATAACAATCACTTCTATTGGTTCCACTCAATTTCAGCTCCTGACGATATCTGGCTGAGCTGATTCATCTGGCTGAAAATATCTCATTATAATGTCTGGGAATAGACATTGTCCTATCTCCATTTAGACTTTTTTCATTTATAAAGTGAAATATTTTATTTATTTTATTCAAACAATATTTCCAAAATTCAATTCGGCATCAAATAAGATCAAACTAGTGCATGTAATTGAGTGTTTTTATTTGCGTGATCATACTACAAATTTGTATGAACCCACCTTGAATCATTGAAACATCTTTCAATTCGATATAAGTAAGTGAATTACAGAATCGTAGCGATCACATAATGAGATAAATTTGAAAATAAAATAAACGGAAAATTGGCCTCGCTCCTCATTTCTAATTTAACGGATAGTGATCGATGTTCCTTTTCCTGTGAGAAAAAAAAAAGTCAAATGAAATAAAAGACATGAGTTTAAATTTTTCTTCATATTTTTCCATTTTAATTCTCTTCATTGCGTGGTTTTTCTTTTATATCTTGTCATAGCAGTGTTTGTTTACTTTTTATCTCGTTTTTCCTACTTCTCCTTCTTCTTTTTCTTTATTTAAATTTTTTTATCACAAGGCCTTCGTTTATTTTCATTAAATAAATTAAGTAACAAAACGAGAGAAGTGAATTTTTGTTGGTTGAGTACTAAAGTCATAAAAATGCTATAAATTATGTACGATAATTTATAATTTGATGTTCATCATTTTGTTTTGTTTTGTATCGGAATTTGAAATGTTGTCTCGGTTCACAATGTATACAAATGATTTACGTTTCATTTTGAATAAATAAATAAATTAGTGTTGTTGTTTTTCATGTTTCCGTAGATGTTGGTTTGCAATTGCACGGATGTATCGGCTGTTTTTGTGATTGGGGGTGCTGTTAACTACTGGCCACTGGTTGTGCTGCTGCATGAATCGATTGATGAACTAACCGAATCCCATGACGTATTTGGGTAGCTTCGTAATTGACATGATAACATTCATTCTGTATATACGTTGTCATTCCATATTCGGGAAGTTGCAAAAATATGCAAAATTTTATGAACAAAGTACAAAAATATATATATTTAAATTGGGACTGTCACGTCTACTTTATTATTTATATGTATATGTATTTAATGTTAATAGCTTACAGTTGTTCACTTGTTAATTTCGGTTTAGAATTTATTTACATTGGATAAAAAGCAAATATCCAGATTCGAAAAAAGGCCATCAACCAAAGGTCAATTTGAGAAAGTCAAAATTAGATAGTTAGATGAACTATACACTACTATAGATGTTTTTGTTTAGAAATTATTTCAATAGATATAGTTATAGATAGACTTAACACCACATACAAATAACACTGATCATCTTTGATGAATTTTCGCTCGAGCTGGTTGTTTCAGTTGTGCTGGTAATGGTTTGTACAACTTGTTCCGTCGTTGATGACTCAAACGTGGTCGTCAATTTGGCCACTTCTTCCATATATTCTTCATTGATGTCTTGCGATTCTGTATGTTTACCTGTTATTGTTACTTCATTAGTCGAAATCATTTCAGAATTTTCATCGACGTTTTTCATTGGTTCTTCGGTTGATCTGATTGCGTTTTTTTTAGATTGTGCATTTTTAGTAGTTAGAGACCATCACCATATATATAATGTATTTTTTGCCCACCAAATAACCAGTTAATGGAAATAGAAATTTTAATTGATTTGTTTTTTTTTTAAATGAAAAATAAAAACAATATTGTCAAATGTTCAAATTTTGATGGAAATAATGGATTCATTTTGGAATGAGTGTAAATATGTGTTTATTTGTGTGTGTATGCATATGAAACAAGATGTGATGATTGGAATTTAAAAGAAAGTCGCTTACGAAACACTAAGTCCACGATAGAACCAGGCTCCCCAGCTTTTTGAATTGCCTTCGTCAATCTTTGATTCGACACCTTCACAAAAATGCTTTCGATCGTGACTGCGTCCACTTTTGGCCTGACACAAAATATGCTTCTTACATTCATATAAACACTGTGGTCGTAACGGCGAATTTTTCCAATAATGCCTTTTGGTGTGATGCGAAAAAAAATGCGATAAATTTTGAATTTTAAATTGAAAATAGTTGTATCTACTTACTTGTAATACAAATCGAATATTTCATCGTTATTAGTCATTGTATTGATTAATTCATCCCAATCGGATGGTCGTAAGCCACGCATTGAATATGCGTATCGTGTTGAATACAATTTATACCAAATGGGATAGTCATATAAATTGGCTTCTTTCAAATTCATAATCCAATTTTCATGATCGATAACCAACCGTGTGGTTGCATCATGATCACCATCAACATAGTAAATTCGATAACCCGGATTAAGATTATCATATGGCGTTACGGATGGACCAATATAAGCTACATTTGTGGCACGACCTGCACAATAACAATAAATTCAATGTAAAATAACAATGAATGTTCACGTGAAAATGACAAAACAACATCAACACTTACTTAAATCTTTTGGATCATAAAACACTTCAAATTCATCGAAATGTGTGTGTCCAAAGAATTGAGCGGTGATCGTGCTTTCGTATCGTGCAATAATATTGTAGTAATTACGTGACCATACTTTTAAACAATCCGGATGACCGGGTGGAATATGTCCAACGATATGAACTTTTTCATTTGAAAATTCGGCACTTTGTAATTCATAAATAAACCATTGCAGTTCAGTGGCCGGATCGGTTGAATTCAAAAGTAGCCACCAATTTTTGTTGTTACAATAGTTCATATTCAACGAAATGATACGAAAACCGGGACGTACAAGAACCGAATAAAATGCACCACGTCGAATTGTATGTGACACACTGGCCGGCAACCATCGACGCCACAATGCGTCCAATTCATCGTACAACCATGAAATCGATATATCTTGCTGTTGCACAAATGGCGGTGGAAAACTGAAAACGAAATAAATACATAAATGAATATTATATTAAATGATTTCGCCCACAAATACACAAATTACCTATTGACTGGTGCACTTTCATGATTACCAAGAGCTGGAAATATTGGAACGCCGGGAAATTTTTCCGACATTTGTTTAACGGTGTCTTTGATGATTTTAAGATTTTCCTCTTTTGTTTGATTCCAAACGTCGTGCGGCACCAAATCACCTGTCCAAATAATGTAATCAATGTCCTAAAATATCAATCATAGGGAATACTTCTTATGGGTTAAGTATGCGAATCGCTTGGTTTTAATACCTATTGTCTCACCGTATGTGTTTCAGCGATGTGATCCAACAGATGATCAATTGTACGTTTTGGTGTATCGCATTTACGATAATCACCCCATTTTCCGGCTGCATTGTGCGGTGTATTCGGTCGTCCATGGGTTAAACGGCAGCACAGTGGCTCATTACAATCGGCATTTGTACCTTCCGTATAGTATGGATCATAATGTGTATCAGATAAATGAAGCACTTTAAATGTTGGAAATCCTTCTTTTGGCAATGGTATATCATGAATTTCTGGCTTTGGCACCGGCGGAAATGTAACATCCCAATCATGCAACGGATTGTATACATCGCCACATGCATCACCGATAACAAAACTGCATATCTCGTCCGGACCAATTGTGACACGCTTCAAAACATATATCACTTCGGTACCAAATAAATGACTCACACCTTCACATACTCGTGGTGTTTGAATTTTTAAATTCACACAAAATTGATAAATCATTTTAATAATCTCTTCATTACTTTTGCCCGTTTTGATATAGTGCATTAATAGTCCAGCACCTAAAATAATAACAAAAAAAAAAAACTATCATCACTCACATTCAGTTTAATCTATGCCGTCGTTTATCTAATGAGGTTAACAGATTATTGCAAAAATACGTAAGCGGTTTAAAATTGATAACGAACCTGCTTTGCATGCAGTACATGACACTTTCGACATAACACTCGTTTCAAGCTCATGTGCAACTTGCTTCAAATTAAACAGCTTTAATGTCTTGTCAACAAATGGTGGATAATGCATCAGATCGGTTGTATCGAACCACAACATTCGACCGGTATGAGTGTCATTTCTATCCTGCGACTAAACAAAAAAAATAATTATCCATTTATTTATGTTTACTCACTCTTTTCTATCAAATTTATGCTTGAAAATTTAAAACACTCAATTTATCTGAATATGTTCGCCAACAAAGTAACTACTAACGAGAGACGCGAAGATGAAAATGTTTCTGACAAATTGAAATTTTGTACAGAATGTTTATAATTTGCCAAACGTCTTTAAATGTTAAAATTTTTCAAATGCTCAGAGAGCAGAATACGAAACTCCCTGAGTCATTGATGACTGATTTAATCAGTCTGATTTCATTAATAAATCACAAGAAATTAAGTAAATTTTGACGGTCGTTTAAGGTATGTACTCATTCGCTGATTTTTTATGGGGCCGTCAAAAAAAATTTCTCTCATATTCAAAATAGCGTAAAAATTTGCTGAATTTCTTTCTTTTGTTTGCCAATTGGGGAACATTTTTATAGTGCATATTAATTTCTTTATATTTTGTGTAAATTATAAAGTGAATTATTATTTTTTACACAAAATAAAAATAAATTACACAATTTGACGTATAAATTCTAAATTGAGATGCTGTTCTATGCTTACCTTAATTTCATGCAGCCGATGAAGAATTTCGTCTTCAAGTTGTTGTTCTGATTTTCGTGGTGGTATGACATGGTTTTGTGTGAAATTAATATGGTTTATGTGTGGTGTTATGCTGCGTGGAACGCTTGTTATATTCCAATTATCGTCTGGTGTTTGATATTCAACCATATGATCACGATTTCCATGTGTGGTGCCGAATAAAAACGGTAATCCATTCACATTCGTTAAAAGTAAAAGTGATAAAAGTAACTTATAAACGATGGCCGATAATTCATATTGAATTTTCATATTTTTTGTTTATCGAAATTAAATTTTTCCTCGATCGCATACAATTGTTGAATTTTTCTCTTCTGCTTGGCGCGTTCGTTTCTCGTTCGATTTAAAAACGTTGTTAATTTTGACTGTTCACACTCGTGCGTCGGTATGTTTGTTTCAAATTTGTGGTTGAACGTTAACTTCGAACCATTCAATAAATATAACTAAAATGAATTGAAAAACACAAAGACACACAAAGATATTTAATTTAAATTGAATTCATTGGTTGACACTGATAAACTGAGCTGCTCCACAGCGATTACAGTCTCTTATTTAAAGAGCAAGACAAATTCAAATCGGAATGCACACACATACGAGCATAAATTGCACACAAAAAGAAAAACAGAAATAGCAAGAGGAAAAACACTTAAAATGGAATGTAAATATGTAGCAAAACGATAAAAAAGAGAGAATTAAATGTGATCATAAATACATCACATACATTGCATGTATGCATTGTATTATCAATTAAAATCTATTTTAATTTATTGCTGGGCAATGTATCATTCTTCAGTGTTGATTGTTATTCATGAAGTGCGCAATAGTAAACAAAGGATTATTTAAATGTTTTTAAAGTATATGACAATTGGTTGATTTAATTGCGTTCGATACTCTATCGTATCGTTCACTGATTGCATCCCATGTCAAACTATGTACGCCTTTATCACATATACGCACAATGATACCACAGATTAATTCTGAACCTTATCAAACAGAGAGCCGAAAGTTCACTGAACACTTAATTTGTCATGCAAATAGGTTGACTACCAACAAAACAATACGTATGATTTATTTCACACAATCTTTGTTAATTTATTACAAGTTGGGATTTGTTGATATTTGGGCGAACAAACGAAAAGAAAGTTATGGCATTTGATTTATTTTCTTTTTTTTATGTTGATACAAAAGTTGTGATTTTTTTTAACGAAAAAAGTAAAATAAACGATTTGCATTTTGAACTTGAAACTCGATGATTTTCTCTCGCTTTTTTTTTGCTTCGCCTTCAAAACAGTTCCCAAATATCATTTTCTAGCTGCAATTGACGTATGTCGTCATGACGAGTGCCTTTTTAATTTTTTTCGTTTGTAATCATTGAGCACCTTAAATATAGCTATTAAACTTTGACGAGCACGCAACTATTGCAACCAGATTAACAGATCAAGTGTTTTTAGTTCTCTGTGTTTTTTTCTCGTCTAATTGAAGAATCATGAGAACTTCTGAAGTACATCGTTCACTTGAATCATAATTATTGTATGAGTATTCTTTTCAAGTTCCGTTTCAAAACGTCTTTCCAATATCACAATACTATGCAATTATCTTATCGAACAGAAAGCAAATAAATCAATAATCGAAGCAGCTACCGTATACAATAAAGTAAATTGTTACTTTGACAAAATTCATTCTAGAAATAGCTTCAAGACTCTTTGTTAGACACAAACAATTTATTTTAATGATTGTTTGATATTGGATAGAGAAAACAACGCATTAATTTCGTCTAAAATAGCCATTTCATATAGCAAAATGAATAGCCATTTCATATCACATACCCAGACACTCAAACTAGCTCCTTGTGAACTTGAGCGAAAACAATAAATGCTACTGTGTATCATATGTATTCAATCGATTGAAAATTATCAAAATGAAGATGGAAAAAATGCTGAAAATGTATCGTCAACAAGTTTCATGGCAAATTGAATAATTATGCTTGTTTCACTTTCCATCGATGCCTACGCATGGCTTTGTCTCTTTCTCTCCCGCTCACATCACATATTGGCATTCAATGTTTTCCAATTGATACACATATCGATTTGTAGAAGTGTTCACATGCAATCACAAACAACACTTTCACCCGTATATTTTTTTTGAAATTTTGTTTGAAAAATGTTTGTCGACATTTTATACGTTCTAATTTAAATGAAAATGCATCTTTATATGTCGGATAATGTATGGCATTTTAATGTGTTATTTTTGTTGAACATTTCTTTGTTTTTGTGTAAATGATATGTTTCAAAGAACATGTTTTTATTTCAATTTGAAATTTTCAAATAAATTTTAATGGAGCAGTCCAAGGTCAAACGTCAATGGGTCCTCCAAATAAAAACAACCATTAACAGACAGTGAAAATTTTTGAGAAAATATTTCTTTTTTGTTCAGCTGTGAATGAAAGTGATACTAAATTTAATTGTCTAGTGAACAACTGAATATATATATATATATATACTATATATGCCAATGAATGAAAAACGATATGGATGATGGGATTTGCCATTGGAACACAACAGCTATTGGAATTCCTATTAAATAATAATAAACCGAAAATAAGTGGGTCATTTCATTGATTTGCATTTTATATATGAAACCAAAGTAACGGTTCCACATTGACTTCTACTTCTTCCAAAAATACCTATAACGATCTCACATTAAGTATTCAAAGTGGCATAAAAACCCAAAGAGATTCAATGAAAAAAAAAACCAATGATTTTCAAAATGAGTTGAGTTACGACCAAAACCAACTTGTTTACAAACCGACGTCTTCAATAAAGAGAAAAAAATCGCTATTTGGAAATTTTTAAGTTATTGATCTTTGCCGTTGAAAGGCGAAAGAAATTTTAACCTGAAGAAAGAATACATACAAAAATATGTTTTTCATTCCGTATCTTTTTTTTTTCACGGATGACGGAGATTTGGTAATCGTTATCTATTTCTCTGCTTTAAAATTGTGGATTATATGGTAAATTCTCAATTTTTGAGTATTCTCGTTTTTCTGATGAACTTGATTTGTTCTCTCTCTCTCTCTCTCTCTCTGCGTTTCTCTATGGTGGTTCTATTAACGCAGCAAACAATGTCACTTTCTTTCAAACATAACTCGTTTCGAAATCAAATAAAATCTGACACAAAAACCATTATATTATTTGTGATTATGTAAAGAATCAAAGAAAAAGAAAAAAAATTCGAGACTGCGGGAAATTAGTGCAAACTAGAAAAATGTTGAAAATGGGTACAAATTTGACTTTTGGAAGTATGATAAAATGGGTCGATTTCTGCATCGAAAAAAAAAAACATGGAACGAATAAGAATATTTTGAAAAACAATTCGCACGTTGTTATTGACAAATGAAATTGCTGCTACGGAAGCCAAACCTACAATTCAAACAGCAAACACTACTGATAACAATAATCACATATTCACATACATCATTCAGACAAAAAAAAGCAATTCGTCATCAATGAAGATCATCGATAATTACACTCACTTGTTGCGGAAAACTAGCGAAATCGAATGACATAAATTGGTTGTATGTGGTTGCTGTGCTACCTCTCGTTTGACTCTTTCACTCTCTTTCTCTCGGTCACTTGTGTTCGATTGTTCGTTCTTTCGTTCACATAGACTTTGAATTGACTCCCTTAACTCGGCACACTTACTGTCACTTAGTAGATTTTTTGAATTTTGCGCATTTTGCTGTTTCCCTCGACGTATGCTCACTCATTTAGCAAGTGTTGGAGTCTGAAAATAAAAATACAGATAATAAATATATGTGAAAACAACAAACATAAACATTTTTCGTGTAACGTTGTAATCTCATGCAAACTTTGGATGAAATACATTGTTGGACTATTATCAATTGACCTCCCTATTCATTCACACTGTGTGTGTATGTGAGACAGTGTGAAAAACAATTCAAAACGTATAAACGTTGAATGGCACATACAAGGGGGAGGCGTTTGAATTCTTAAAATGTTCAGATTTCTTTCACAAACCAACCATTTTAAATTCCAATTTTAAAGAAACCGACCGAAAAATAGGCCGATTTGTTTGCTTGTGTGTTATGACATATGTTTCGTGGGGGGAACAGTGTTTGTCAACATGTATTTGTGTATTGGCGACTTCGGGTCAATGATGTAAAGCAAAGCAAAGCAGAGAAAAACGCACATTTTCTATTGAGGAACTTGTTTTCTTTTTGCAAACATGTTGGCATTTGTAATGAAATATCATCTCGCAATGACCTAACTCTCTTCATTGTTTTTACTCGCCACTAGTTTGACCTGAATCCCAACTCAGACACACACACACACACGCAATACACAACATCACGTCATGTGAATCTTTCTACATGTTTATTTAACAAAATATTGCTGATAAACATGCATAAACTTCCATCACAATCAATTGATTCGCTATCACTGTGAAAGGCATGAAAAATTAAAACATCACACGTCGTTTCAACATAAACAATAAGTAAATAATTTACGTTCTTGAGCATGCAACCGCGTCGACTAATTTGATTAAGAGTAAAAATATTAATTGGCCGCACATGATTTCGATCTGTTTCCCCTTCAATTACAATTCGATATTTGCTTGACATTCAATATAGAAAAGTCACATTAAAAAAAAATTCTTTGTAATGAATGAAACAACCACAAATGATGGATGCCCTTTGTTTAAGGTTTTTTTTTTTCATTTTCATTCAATAGAAATCTCGTTTTAGCCCGGATATTCAACCGTCAAAAATGGTTGATTTTTAGACAGATTCGTTTCAGTCATTGGCTTCTGCATTGTATGTCGGGCTTGCAACAAAGAACACAAGTTTTATATACATAAACAAAGCATGAAACATATTCCAATCAAGACAATAAATCCCAAGTACACTTTGTTGGAAATAAATTGTGCGCGTGCACAAACAAACAATGTACGAATGGTATGTGCGAAATATTTGTCTTTGTAATTTACCAGCAAAAGGTGGCATATACATAGCGTAATTCAAACATCAGCGCGTATAAATTTTTGACGCAGCAATTGAACTGGTAAGTTTGAAGTGTGTCTAGCCTGATTTCGCTGGTTTGTTTTTTCACTTCTTGTCTAAATATGTTGATTGAAGTGAAAATTGAACATAAAAATGACTCACACATTCAATTGGCATCTTGCTGACCAACAATCTACATTTTTTTTGGTTTCTTTGTGTGCCGTTGATATTCGTTTCAATTGGACTAAATTTCAAATGAAGTAGTTAAGCTGTCATACTCGAAGATCTGCGAAAGTCATACGTTCCATTACATTCATTTATAAATCCGCAATTGAAATAATCTAAATAGCCATGATTTGTTCGTCTCATTTTGGTTTAATGAGTTAGTCAGCAAATGTGGTCGATCGCATGATTTGAATGTATAACGGAATTTGGCGTGTTTGACAGAATCTAGGCCTTAAACTTGAATGTTCATTTTTTCTGCCATTTTTTGCGCCCATTTCTTTTTTTCTCCGAACGGTATGTAAAACAACAAAAAATTAAAACTCGCTGCAAATGGAAAAATTCTGTTAATGTGTTTACATACACCGAATGACGTCATCATGAGTGAAAATGCAACAATACTCGGCCCAATCGAAGTACATATTGTTTTTTTTTCCTCGTTCATATTATTATTGCATTTTATAAAGATACATTTTGCAGTTCGATGGAAACAAAAATCAAAAATTTTTCCACGTTCTCTATAGTGGCAAACAAAATTGAATTAAAAAAAAGTACTGTAAAGAAATAAGAAACAAACTTTGTGCATTGCATTAGTCATGGTTGGCTTTTAAATCTCTTTCACCATTTTAAACTGGCACACAACTCAGCCGAACCGTTGGTATTTCTTCTTTGGATATATCAATAAAAAGAAAACTTGCACGCGTAATTATTATGCTGATGAGCACATATGGCGACGAAACATTTGCATTTTGTTGTTTATGCGAGTGAATGTGTGCGTGTTTTGATTGAAACAACGGCAGCAAACCGAAATTCATACATTTAAACATTTGTCCAGCAAATGGGCATATTTGTGAAAAGAATGCTATTCTTAACAAGAAGAACATCGTTGATTCCTTCAACGATTCTTGATCGAACGAAATAAACAGACCAATGTTGTCAGAACACTAAAAAAGAATGTTCAGCAGCGCAATTTCGAAGTGCCAATAAATGTTTTGAGAGAAGATCAGAAAAACAAAACACATTTTATCGCACAAATACCCGACCGAATCGCACACATTGACGCACTAATTTCATATTTGGAAAAAGCTGACATGTGAGCACGCGTATAAAAGACACCGAAAGCCAATCGCCAGACCTGCACACAAATGAACAGAAAAATGATAGTGACCATTGCCGATTGTCAAGAAGAACTCGGCAACAGATGATGAATAAACCAAAATATACAAAAAAAAAGGTGCGACAAAAAAAGATTCAGCGTGTTGTTTGTGAATGACGAAAAAATGCGGCCATTTAGATTTGGTTTTGGGGTCAATCATCGCTGAGTGCGCTCACACGTTTTCTTCGGCCAAACTGAGTCAAGTGTGTGTATGTGAATCGGTTGTTGTTGTTTTTTTTCACCGATTATTTTCGGTTTCTTTCACTGTTTCTCATCGAATATCTCGTGGCGCGGTTTTTTTTTTGTTAAATTTCATTATTGACTGCACTCGATGTTGACTTTCGTTTTGTGTGTGCGCGCGCACTCACATTTTATACACACATCAAATTTTCAAATTTTTCAAAAGTAGTCCAGATATATACATCATTCAATATCAGGTAAGTCAACTGTGATGCAATAGAAACCTATTAAATGTTAATCCCAATTTAAACAAAGAAACAAAAAATCAATTTGTAATGGGATTTTTCCGTAAATATTGGCCAATTGCGGTGCATTTTCTTTCTCGTCAAACTGTTGGTCACTGCAATTTATTCGTACGAATCTTTGCACACGCACACACTCGATCAGCATTTTTTTTTCTCTCTTTCTCAATGCAACTGGTGAATTTGAAGTGAATAACTTGATAAGAACATAAGAATCTCGTTTGTATTGGCTACTTGATGTTATTCTTCATTTCATTTTGTGTCTTCTCTTCGTATAATGATCGTTTGTTGTAATTGAAAGTTGTGTTTACTTTCATGATAATAACTGATTAGTGCACAATACATTGTGAAACTGTCAATCATTGCAACAAACATCGCTTAATCGATAAAATTATATGATACTGATTGATAATTTTAAGCTTTGTTATTTCGTTCGCTATCAGCATGACAATCGCACCGAACCTGAGTTGTAGCAGCCAAAGATGATGAAGAAAAAAAAAACAGTTGCCAACAATCCCACTGACACCAAAATGTTCTTCCGAATATAAGTCAAAATACAGTTATTATGATTGTTTCTCTTTCTCTCTAGCTCGGGTCTATATACATATATTTCTTCGGAAATCATTAGCAATTCAGAAGAGATTGATTGTAATGTTTTTTTTTTGGCCAAATTCTACATGTGTGCGCTCGCCTGTATGTATGTGTTTATGTGGTTTTGTTGTGCCGTTTTCTTTTCACATGCTCAGACACATAACATTCTTAATTCCAATGGAAAATTCACTTGCCGCAATGAAATCGGTTCGACAGTTGGAAAATAAATGAATAAATAAAGCGATTCTATAAAACCTGGCAAATCATTGCCATTTTCTTTTAATTTCTTCTACACATTTCTATGGTTCACAATTTGCAATCGATTGCTCAAATGGTATACGCTCTGCGTCTATTTGATTTAGTTTTTGTTGCTTTTATCTCTCTTTATGCCAAAGTGTGAACGTAAATATGAATGAAGAGCAAAAATAGAAAGCACTTAATCTGATTTAGCGCTATACTTGTAATGTAATTTATAACAATGGAACTGTTGTTTCTTCTTCTTCTTCTTTTTCTGAATCTTTCCCCATATATTTTTTTTGTTCCATATATGGCACACTTGAACGCAAATTAAAACATGGATTTTTTCATAAATATATTTTTTTTTGACGGCGAAGAGACTCTTTCTTCTTCTCATTTTTTTTTCTTCTCCAATAAATAATATCAGAAGAGTGCAAGATCAGAGTCGAAAAGAAAGAGAACATGCGGTTGACTTACGATAAAGAAAACCCGATATTTTTTATTTATTGAAAACTGCACATTTGGTCCGATGTAGTGATGAAACAAAAACAATCTGGTAATATTTTTTGCACTAAAAATGTTGATGAGAGATTCAAGCACCCACACACAATATATGATCAAGCACACACCGTAGTGAAATTAGTTTTAAAAAATAATAATAATATAACAAACAAACACACGAACGAACCGATCAGCGCGCATTCATAAGCAACGGCAGCGCGAAAAGAATTAAAAATTGTTGAAACTTGAGTAAAAAAAATGTATGAACTTAAAATTATTTTGGAAAAAAGCGAATTCGAACGGAAAAAAAACTATAACGAATTTTTGTTTAAATTAAACTAAAAAAAGGGAAGGAAAAGCAAATTTCTGTACAGTAGCAACACACTGAATGATCTGTTCGATTCCGCATTTATCACTCAACTGAAAACCCAAACATTGTGCATGAAGTATTAAAAAAAAAGTGTATCTATATATGTGAAAAACAGCAACAATACAAACGACAGCGTACTATCGCAGCAACAATACGAGAGAGCAAAAGCGGCGGTAACGGCGACGGCGGCAGCAGCTCAACAACAGCAACCAGCAGCATCGACATCAATATCAACATAAATGTAAATTTTGTTTAATTCAGTGTGTGCATACGCACAGTGACAGAAGAAGACAGAATGATGTGAGATGAAGAAGATGGAAATAATTGAAGTTAACGGCGAAATGGCATGGCCAAGCGAAATACACAATCATTCACATTCCAATACGCACACGAAAATACAACAATACACAATACAGGCAACAAACACTTGGCATGCTGTATACTCTCTTGAACGTATATTAGATTCGATGAGCAAATACACCAAATCACATTCATTTCTTTCTTTCTTTCTCTCTCTCTCTCTCTCTCTCTCTCTCTCTCTCACTCGTGGTATCTTTGTCGACTTATTATTATTTGTTTAATTTCATGTTATGCTCCAAACAAATGGAAATATCATCGATTTTTATAAACACAACGTGCATGTGGACATTGAAGATCTTGTGGACAATGTTGATATCGCGTGCATATCACAGTCATTTTGCTCATTCAACATATTCCATAAACGGAGTGAAGAAATGTTCATGGCATTCTTGATTGCCAGAGTCAGTCTCGCATTAAGCGCAATTTAACTTTCCTCGTCATCATTATCATCGTTGCCATATATTAATCGTTTAACTCACGCGCGCCTTGACAAATAATCTTCAAATATACGAATATTTCAAAACAAAAACATCACAACTTCACTGATATTATTTCCTTATTATTTATTTTTGACCAACTTAAAAATGAAATAAACTCATCAATTGCCTTTTTCCATCGAATCGAATTTTATTCCATTCGGACTAACTGAGATTATTCCATTCGGACATTATTTTACCGTTATACAAGTATATAAATTTCTTCATGTGTATGAATCATACAGTATGATTGATTGCGAACGTGATAGCTCTCACATCTAATGCGCGTCATTCTTCATAGAGCCGATGCAGATACCATCACGAATATTCTTAGAAATTGAAGCGATGCCGTTTTCATGCAATTTCGTTTCTTTTTCGTTCATTTTCTTTCGAAAAAGTCGTAATTTCAACGATCATACGATGCGTAAAGTGCGCCGATTAATGAATTAGGCCAATTTGATGTCATTAGTCGCAAAATTACGTTTTGTGGTATTTAACGAGTTTTTTTGTTTTCGAATTCGTTACAACGTTACAATTGGATGATAATTTTTGCACGTTGAAATAACAGCGCAAACTAGAGCGCAAAATATACTAACATTATTGAAACAAATGCTACCAAAATATTTATTTTAAACATTTAACTGACCATTTCAACTGGCAAAACTTTATGAAATGAAAATATTTTTTTTTTAATTTCGGATATTCATAAAATAATAATTAGGACTTAAACCATAGAAAATCGCCATAATTAAAAAATATTCTCTTCGTTCTTTGGATTGTTTAAAAAAAAATGTGATTCTATTCATTAAAAATTGTTTGGAAAAGCTTGATGGAAATTTAATTTTCTATGACTTTGCACTCTTTGTTATAGTAGTATTTTTATTGTGTACTGGAATGCTTTCAACAATTAATTACTTCCCTTTTCTTCAAAAAGATTTTTAATAAATGGAATTATGTTATAATTTGCCCACAAAAAAAGGTAGTTTCAGTATAATAAAATTGCAGATAACCAAACAATAATTAAATGTAATTGCTAGGCTAAATAAGAGAATTCTTCATTTCGTGTACGCTAATCAACACCCCTCAAAAGTTGTTCGATGATCACACGAATGACTTGTCACCACTTGTTCAATTATTATTGCTCACTTGCGGTGCAATTATTGCGTATTTGTCTGTTTTAGTGGGCGTCATTTCAAATACAACATCGATAGGACATTATAAAATGCAAGATGCATGGTTTGAGTGCGCTCAAATCGTTGATTGAATCTCGACAGTGATTGCCATTTTCAGCACATTTTCAAAATTTCCACAGCAACTGAAATTTACTATACAAATAGTATCACAAGAATTCACAACAAAGCAAACTGTTCAAATCGGTTAAAATGTTAACAAAATACCACAGCCTAATATATTTCATTGTGATTACGTATCATTTCTATCGGACAAATGCGGCGGTAAGTACTTTTACATTTTCTTAATGAATTGAAAGTTTAATGGTTTTTTTCATCGAACAATAGATGACAATGAAACAGCTCGAACAGTCATTGGCTATGTTTCGTAAGACATGTTCGGAAAAAAATAACATTGACCCGGGTAAATAATACTTGAGATTTTTTTCCTTGCAAATGTCATCTTTTCTTATTAAATAATTCTTAGCTCTTGTCGATGGATTGCATCGCGGTGAATGGCCTGATGATAACAAAGATTTGAAGGTAATTAATATTCCGAAATTTGTTTTCTATTCTTAGTAAATTGTTTTCTTTTTTTATAAGTGTTTTGCATTGTGCATTGCTCAAACGTCTGGGACGGTAAGTTAATTTTGATGTTTAGTGAGTTATGCAGAGTTTGTCGAGCTTGTCTTTTATTTACAGTTGACCAAAAAGAATGAACTGTCCGAACAAAAAGTTAAGAAACAAATCTTAACACAATTACCGGTCAATTTAAGAGAATTGGCTCTCGGTGCATTGGAAGCATGCAAAGATATCCGTAAGTACATTAGTGAAATAAAAAAAAAATATTTCGATTAACGAAAGATTTCATTCCGTTTCTGTATTTCAGAGAAAGGTTACAAAGATCCCTGTGATAGAATGTACTATTCGACAAAGTGCTTGTATGATTACAGCCCCGATAATTTCCTTTATCCATAAACAACAAAATCAAGAGAATCCCGAGAAATTGAATAAATTTGGAGGAAAAAGGATAATTAATTTGGTTAAACAATTTATTAATTGAAAAATATAAAATGTAATTCGTAATTGAAACAAAAATTTTTATCCACTTCCAACATTTTATTTTTAATGAATCATTTATTTCAAACACAACCTTTTTATAACTTAATTCTTTTTGCTTTTTCAAACTCGCTATACTTACATATGATTTTTCGGAAGGATCAACAATATATGACAATTTTAATGAAAAACAAATAAAAGTGGCTTTTGATTTAGAAATTTTTTGGTTCTTTTCTTTTCTTTTTGATTCGAATTTTTCTGAATTTTTCCTCAATATAAAAAATATATCGTTTGAATTGTGGTTAATGAAATCAATTAAATATAATATAAATATGGATTTTGTTTATGTAGTGTGCTCGTAGCCAAGAACATATCATCGCTCACATAAATCATTGTCGTTCGTACTCCGATCAACATTCTGCATTCAACATGGTTAAATTCAAACCTTTATCCTCGAAGCGATCTTTTTTCGGTGGTAACATTTTGATTTTGTTCAATTCCGGCGAATGACAAATGAATGGCATAATTGCATCGATGCATTTGCAATTATCGATGTAAAGACGTTCAAGTTTCGTTAGAGTAGTTGCTAAGGTCTCCATATAATCAGTATCACACAGTAAGAAAATATCAGCCGACGCTATACGTAAAACCGACTGGTACGTGCGCTCATACGTTTTTACATCTTTTACATCTAGTGACCATATGATTTTTCGACTGATTCGTTACTCTTTGTGCTATCTTCGCACAGTCGAAAAATCGTATGGTCACTAGATGTAAAAGATGTAAAAACGTATGAACGCTCGTACCAGTCGGTTTTGCGTATAGCGTCGGCTGATATTTTCTTACTGTGCACACTCTTTCCTAATCGTTAGTTCTTTCAGATCAGTCAATTGATGCAAATTGAATCGTTTATCAAAGCGATAAATGTGTAATACTTCAAGACCTTTCAGTGAAGTCAACGAAGTGTTGAAATTCTTAAGGGAATTAATGGTGAGGTGTAGTCGTTTATAAAAACCCTGTTCGTGTAGTTGATTTATTAGTTTGAAATAACAACTCAAAATCGTATCATTATCTTCGGATGGACAGAAAGCAGCTATTTCTAGTTCCAATATGTCCAATTTTGTCTTGGAGCATAAAAATGAATCACTGTTGGACAACAAAAACTTGCAGCTAGTTGAAAATGTCTGCAAATTTGGATGATATTCGAGAAATATTCTCAGTACGTTAAGTTGACAACATTCCGTAGGTATTATTTTTATTCGTTCAAGCTTGGGATACTGATGATTCAAAAACATATCTAAATAAAAGGATCCTGAGCAATGTTCATCTTGAATAGAAATCTCTTTTAAATTCTTACAGTATTTTAATATTTTATCATATATGTCACCTTTAATCCAAAAATAACGGAATTGTATTGATTCTAATTTGGATAACAACTGTTTGATCAACTTTGTTCTTGACTTTTCAATACTGACACCCGCAAAATTAATATTTTTAGTTGACACAAATTCTTTGATGTGGCGATGAATATAAAGGAATGGATCGATATCGATGGAATAGATCGAAATGCATGGAATTAATTGATTGAAACCAGATATTTGAATCCGTCCATTTTCGACACCATCTTTGGAATAATCCGTATATATGCCATCCTTTTTGCACTCATTTGGAGCCGATGAATAATTTCGTTTGAAATATTCGCCGGCCACTTTGTTCATTCGTTTGCATGTTTGACGGAATGAATGAAAGTCATCCAATGACAAACATTCAAATATTTCGTAAGAGCAATGGATGTTCAATTTAAATATATCCGGCGGAGATTCCTCGTTTGATGGACCAGCAACTTCTTTGCGATCCCCATTACCTGACCTGGATTTTTTATTTTTCCGCGTCTTTCTCGTAGCACTTAATCGAGCAACTAACGATCACATTCTTTCTTCAAAGTTTGAGTCTTCTTTTCGATTCTTCTTTTTTTCGGAATTGTAAAATGAAATCGATGAAATATTATGTAAGCACTGATTTTTTATTGAAACACCCACGATTGAAAATAAAATACGTTTGAGATGTGAAAGAACGAATCACATTTAGATGTATTTTACCTTTTTAAGTTTTACCAGTGACCATTGGTTATAGACAGACATTATAAAAAGATATTTTCAGCCAGATGAATGAGCTCAGCCAGATATCGTCAGGGGCTGAAATGGAGTAAAAACAATAAAAGTGATTGTATAGTGATTGTAGCAATGTAAGTGTAATTATATAGCCATAACAATCACTTCTATTGTTTTCACTCCATTTCAGCTCCTGACTAGGGGACGGAAACCATTAGCTAGTTTTTTTTTGTTTCAAGTAAAAACTAGGAAAATTAGAAAAAAACTAGCAAAAATTATTTGACCCGCCATTTTGATATTGTGCCATGATTTGGTAACTAAATCAATTTTACAAGTCGACTATTGAAAGATACAAGTATTTTTGCACGATTTTGTGTTAAAAAAGAATAATTAAACTAATTTTTACTATTATAAGTGTATAATTATTCAAAACACATAAAAATATGTCTGAACAACTAAACGTCAAAATACTTCATTGTGTCAGTACAATCATTTGATTGTCATTTGACAGAACAAAAAACTAGAAAACTAGCAATTTCATAAAGAAATATTAGCATTATTAGATTATTCAAGCAATAAACTAGTAAATTAGCTAAAAACTAGTAAATTAGCTATAAACTAGAAAAACTAGCATTGGTTTCTCTCCCCTAGGCTCCTGACGATATCTGGCGGAGCTGATTCATCTGGCTGAAAATATCTCATTATAATGTCTGGTTATAGAGATACTCATCACAAATGATCTTACCTTATTGCTGAACTCATATGGATCATGATTCTTTATAAAAAATATATTACAAGGAATACGGTGTTATCTTCTATTCATATGAATCCACTCGTCTCATTCTTTATTTCGTATTTAAATTGAAATATTTGTTATTTAAAATAAGCCAGGTTTGCGTCGTAGAGATTGACTAACATTAAAGTCAAATTTTTTAAATTCAATTTTAAGATATTATTTAGAGTTTTTGGAGACTAAAAAAAACTTCTGTGTTTCACCATCATTTGGAACGGCATTTTTTTAATTTATTAAAAATAAAAATTCAGTCAAATGAGAAGACAAATCGAAAACACATTACCCATAAATAAATATAAGAAAATATGCAAAATTGTAGCCCCTGAATTTCACTATTTGCGATGTAGACATATATTAAGGCATCGAGATCTTTGTGTAGCTAAGTCACAAAGTTCCATAAAATTGGTTCAAACTCTAGGTCAAATATTATTTCGTACAAAATTCAAATGAAAATTTCTCGAAACGGACGTTTCTCTACCAATCCAGTATCATTACGTAAAGGCCGTACTTGCTCATTTCCGACACAAGTTACGAATATCCATGTGGATATATATCCTTAAAACAAATGTATAAAATGTAAAAAAAATAGACACACACCCAAATATTTTTTATTCTATTATTTTATTTGTATGATGGAAACTATTTGTTTTTTGTGTCTAACATAAATGCCATTTGTTCAGCATCCCGGAAAAGGGTCGACTCGATTTTTTCGCAAAACAAATTGAATTTTTCGTCTCATGTCCTCGTTGTAGAATGCTTTGCAACGTTCATAATTGACGCGTCGTCGTGTTTGACATGGTTTCTCATAGAATTCATTGCGTCGATGAATGTCGAACATTCCTTCACGACTCATAATTCTATTCAATAACGAAGTCGCTTGCTCAATATTATTGTTTCTTACCAAAACGGTACGTGATATGAATTTTGCGTGTCTCATTTTAATGTTGAGCTAAAATATAAAAGGAAAGAAATCATTTGCTTAAACTCGTTGATATCACATCGTTATTTGAACATTTTGTGGGAAAATTGGATTTTTTTTTAGAAATTCCATAAACAAATTGAGTGAGGTTAAATACATATTTTCCGAAACAAAATGTTAAATTAAATGAATGATGTGTGGTCACAAACTAATCTCATTAATCAAAATAGTTTTGATACCAAAATAATCAAGCCAACAATTTGTTTATCAATGAAATTCAATATATTTGTTCAATTAAAAGAAAAACTTACATTTCGTTGCAACTATTCACACAGTATTAGAGCAGTCCATATGAATTTTGACATTGTACGCACGACCTGTCAAAGCTCGTGTTCACACAATACTCACGCCGATCTGACAGTTCAGCTGGTTTGGCTGAATTGAGTAGTTGAATATATACGAGAGTTCTTATTGGAATTGGGATTTTTCTTAAATTTTCATTTATTCAGTAGAAGGTTTTATATATCGTTTAGACATTGCGTGTATTTCCAATGAAGAAAATAAAATTGTGAATAAAATTATCGAATGTACTGCTGAATTTGAATGTGCGCTGCTGCTGCTGTATATGTGTATTGACACTTGTTTTGGGTGTATGTGACAGCCCTGCAATTTTGACAAGTGATAAACGTCTGTGCTGGTTGTTTCAATAAAGATGGCTGACGGTGAGAAAGAGGAGGCTAAAAACCTCGTAAGTAAATTCAATTTTTTCGTAATTTTTCAAACAAAATCACCGATTTATTTGATATCTATTCATTTGCCATATAAAGAATGAATAAGTGCAACAAATTAATACCGATGGTTTCATTCAGTTTGGTGTGAATATCATCAGGAGAAAAAAAGTAGTTCTGACTCATTCGAATCGATTAGACGTTTTTAGTTGCTAGCATTGAAGTTTGTATTATTTTTTTTCATTCCACTGTGTTTGTGTGCGTGATTTTTTTTTGTATATCGACCAATATCTTGTGTACATTGTTAAAATTTATTTCGATAAAAAAACAAATAATCATTTCGCTAGTGATAAAGACAAAGAGGCGATGCAAAGATATATACAAATGGAACAAACACAGAGAATGTAGAGAATGAATACAGAGCCCATGCGCTTGTATATTTGTCAATTTTCAATGTATTTCAAACGGATCCGTTTGTATACAAATTAAGATATGTATGAATTAAAATTCAGTGCGATCGAGGCAAAAGCAGACGCCGAGAAAAACAGAGTCCAACAAAAAAAAGGTTTATTCAAATGTCGATGCCGTTGAAAATGTTTTGTTGTATGACTGATAACGAAACGGAAAGACAATATAGAATAATATTGTTTGCCATAAATTGGTCATGATGATAAATGCTAATTTATCGTGTTTATAAGAAACAATGTCAATGGGCAGAGAGAGAGAGAGAGGAAAATAGCAACGCTAACTTACGCAATCCAATGTCACATTGTCGTCGGTCTGAAATTTAATTTCATGCTCTCACTCTTTTTCACAACCTCTCTCGCTCTCGCTCTTTCGTCTTGAGTCTTTTTCTCGGCCAAACTAGTTTTGAATGGTGTTTTTTTTTGCGTATGAATAACTGTATTTGATTGAAGCGTAAATGAAGCTGCATAGAAACTATGTAAAAATGTAAAATCGATTGTAAATTGAATGCAATTACAAATTGAATGAGTTTCCTGTGGCCAGGGAAAATAAATCGAATGAAATTGATGCAATTGTAATTTTCAACTCAATTGAGTCAAATTGTTGTGTATTCTTGTCAAAATTGAATTCATTTCCGTGCCAAATCCAATTGATTTTGTTTACTTCTCTCTCCCTCTCTCTCTATTGCAATCGAACAGCAAATAGAATTTGAGTGGGTGCTTCATGTCGAAGTACACTCAGTTCTCAAGAATCTCCACACACTTCTTGTGGTAAGTACAAAATCGCATATTATTCAATTCAAATGCAACAGCGACAATTTTTGAATTGACAAACATCTAATGAGAGACACATTCTCTATTGTTTTTGTTATTTAACTAGGAATGTGCACATCGTTTTCCAGTGCCATTGTATGGCAACGATGGACGCAAACAGGACAAGTTCATATTGACCGTTCCACAAGATCACTTGAAGTGTGTTGTAACATTGACGGGTGATAGTATATCCCATGCTGTAAGTATTTGAATATAAAATCGAGTTTTTATTGAATAAAGTTTAACATTATTTTTTTTTTAAATACCATTGTTACATGTCACAGGACATTAGTTTTAAGGTACAAAGAGCGCAAAATACCGTTCAACGAACATCCATCAATCAAGATTCACCATGGAAGCTTCAACAAGTACAGGATGCAGCAAATCATCTACAACAAGCCATACATCACATAGACAATGTAGACAGCTCGTATCATTTTAAGTGAGTAATTTTGGTTTGACGATAAAAACAAAACCATTAAATAAAAATTAACACTTCTCAACATTTTCTACGTTCATTTCACAAAATTAACACATATCGAATCTATTTACAGATCATCTGACGAAGTTTTACACATTTTGAGCAATATTTTGGGCGCATTACAACGTGGTCGAACATCACTAGTCATTCCCAAAAAGAAACCGATCGACGAGCTCATGAAAAGTAGAAACATGGTAAATTTAACTCATTCAGAGTCATGCATTTTCAATTTAAATAATTATTTTGATGATGATTTTTTTCTTCTTCTTACTTATTCTCGAATTGCGCGTAACGCATGTACGGAAAAACATATAAATATAGAAATCATTGGCACCCAACCTTCCAGACGATTTGGCAATCAGTTTCTATTTACAAAGCCATAAATTGATTTTTGCTGTGTATCAATTGACAAACATTCAGGGAACTATGAAATTCGATTCCTCTCAAGCCGAATGCTCCGTACCGTGGTTAAATGAAGTCTTGGTATTGTTTACCGTGGCGCTGCAATTGTGCCAGCAATTAAAAGACAAAGTATGTTATTCATTTGATGTATTCAATCATCATTTTTCTTTATCACAAATATATAATTATTAACATTTAATTCATCAAAACTATTTCAAAATGAGTATGAGCATGTGAACAATAATTGAAATACAAGAAAAATGGGTCGCACTTGTTCACACTCAATCTCAATACCATTCTCGAAGACTTTGCTACTGAATTATTATCAGAGCAAGATTTTATTATGAATGCAAAAATAATAAGATGGAATGAAATAGAAGATAGTTTTTTTTATTGCGTCACACCAATCTATATTTTATGAACGTATTATGAATGATATTATTTGAAACAATATTTTTTCAGACAAAGAATAGATGCATGTGACGTTTTTTTTGTTGAAACACAATAAAAATCCGCGAACAGATCTATTTTTTCACTCATTCAAAAATGTCAATTAAAAAAATAATGCAATGAAAAAATAAACATAAACTTATTTCTGTTCGGTTTTTGTATTTCAGATATCGGTATTTTCTCAGTATAAAGACTTTACAGTTGGATCTCGATCACCGTCAGCTCTATCTTACTGAAAACAATGAAAACGAAACCAGATTGTGGAAGAAAGAGAGCTTGCAGAACGCGGATGTTATATATTGATGCAAACCAAGAAAATCTTTTCTGGTTTGTTTTTTTTTTTTTATTTCGGTTATCAATTATACCGTCAAAGTTCGAGTATTGACAGAAAAAATAGAAACTGTTGGCATACATTAAAGGAAATGCTGTTGACATACATCATCTACAACAAAACAACATTATGGTATTGAACAATAAACAGAAAAAGAAGAAAAACAAAGAACGAAATCATAGATTAAGTTAAAGTAAAAAAAAAACGGAAAAAGAATTGAACAATCTCAAAATACAATGTGCTTGAAACCTTTAAATGGATTTGGAGAGAGAGAGATGGAGAAAAACAAAATGATCTGAACAAACCAAGTCGATACCAAAATAATAGTAACGAGAAAAGAAATATAATGTCAGATGGTCATTATTTTGTTTGAGATTAGCGTAAATTCATCATAAAATGATCTAATGCGGTTTAAAAAAAAAAAAATGTTTATCCAATGATGAACACTGTTTATGACTTCAGACAAATTTAACCAGTCGCATTGCAAATGAAAATCATGCTGGATGTCAATCATCCACAATTAACTTATTTTAAAATATTATTTTAAAGAAAAACAAAATGAATCCATAAGAAACATACACACACAAAGAACACACACTTAGCACATGCAAATCGCATCGCATACTTAATCATTCATTTGCGAACCAGCAAACAAAAAAAAAACACTTATGTAAGCAAATTGTACATATATATCTATAATTATTTTTTTTTTTTTTTGATGCAAATCAAAAAGCAGAAACTTATGATTTTATTAATCTATTTAAATATTATTTATTGACAAACTATTGTACATACAAAAACGAAAAAAAGTTATTGTCCGCACTCTTTTTTCTTCTTCTCTTTTTAACATTATTATTTTTAGTGGTTAGCAAAATTTTAATCAAAATTTATAACAATCCACATTAAATGTCAACAATAACAAAAGAAAAATCATTTCATTTGACGCTGGCTAGTAATGTATATGTTGATTTTGGATGGATCTTTTGGGGGGGCCAAACCACATTTTCCTTTCCACACTGTGTTTGTACTTACAAATGATTTTGTGAACGCAAGACAACGTTACGTGTGTGTAACTATGATACGCACGACATTTTTTTTTAAATAGCCATAAGGGTATTTTTGGTAAAATAAGCTGAGTTTATTTATTATTCTATCCAAAACAAACAAAGAAACTGGTACACGCGACACTATAAATCATTTTGTTTACTTATTCATTATATTATTTTTATTTGTAAATAAACAGTACGCACTAAATTAATTTTCCAATCGAATGATGAAATTCATATCCAAATATTTGTATCTCGCTTTTGTTCATATTAAACAAATTCATTTTGAACTTTCAACTCTCGAACACAATTTTCCAACAAATTTTCGTTTCCAATAAAATTAAGAGAGTTCGATTAAAATATGGAAAAAAAATCAAATATTATTTTCATAAAATATCGGAATATTGTGATTATGCAAAAAAAAAATGTTATGAAAATATACACCGATACACATTTGCTTTCATCAAATAGAGAATAAAGCAATAATTTTTTTTTTGTGACACCAAAATGAGTGCACACAAAATTATATGAGATCCGTCATCCAATAAAAAAAAATCGATAACACTTTTAAAACCATTCAAATCAATAGAATGATCTACAAAAATCATGATTCAAACCGACAAAATGATCGAAATTAATACGTAATTCATCAAATTAAATGGAAAATTTCCATATGGATATTTATACTATTGTAAAAGGTATTATTGATGGCAACGTATATGTTTTATGGTTTATCATTCGAATGTTTAAAACAATTTGCTGTCAGCATGAAAAAAAAGATGTGAATAAACGCCAAAGCACAAAACAATAACAGACACACACATACAAAATCATACATAAAACGTTAATATGTCAATCATTGAATGGGAAAATGTGCCACCCCAAATGGAGAAAAAATGTTAACAAATTTATTCAATTAAAAAGTGATGTATAATTGGAAAATAATTGGTATATATATACAACATGCATTTGGATATCAAATTAAATTATCATTTTGCATTAGCATGTTTTATTTTTGGTTTAACTCATTTGTCGTCATTCGTCGGCACGTGTTGTTTGAATTTACCCTTAAAATTTATATAAAATGTCAAATTAATTAGGTGTCTATTTTAGTGATTAAAATTTGTAAAATTATACACATTTTGTTCTAGTATCAAACCGATTTCGTCACACTGTCACGACGAAGAAAAAAAAAATCACACATGTGGCGTGTAAAGTGCTCTTATTCAAGTCGAGAACGAAAATAGTTTCACAGACACACACACACACATTTAAATATAATATTACATATTTCAAGAAAACAAAAATAATTAAGTGAATTAATAAATATTAATGGAACGCAAATGTTCCTTTAAACCTTTCAATTTTTCCCCGATTCATTTCCAAATTATAATGCTTATGAAATATTTGTTTTTTTTTTTCTTCAATAGATCTGTTTTATCACCGTAGACATAATTGTACCCTTGAGTATATATTCTAAATAAGGAAAAAAAAGTATTTTTTTGTTCGTTTTATTGGTTTTCATCAAATCATTCCAAACATGATGGCACATCAATTCATATAAATATTAATATTCTAACCATTTAATTCGAGCTATTTATATTTAAACACGAAACTGCCGAGTTTGCTTGACAGTTCGGTGATTACTAATAATATTTTGCGTGTTAATTATCGATTTAATCGAGATTTAAAAAAATTGATGAACATTTTCTAATAAATCACAATTTGTCTGTTGTTATGTAGTCTTTCACCTTAATTTATAAAATTAGTTTCTTTTCTTGTCATTGAGTGTATATTATGGAAAAATGTTTTACTAATACATTATCATTTGCGTACAAATATTGACGACACACTTTAAAGCGTTGCACTATGTATGCATTACCGAAGAAAAATGAATATAAATTATATTATATTTGGATTGGATTTAAAAAAAAAAATAAGCAATAGCAAATTTTGGAACAAAATTTTCGCGAGAGAAGTTACATAATTTAATTGAACGGCAAAAGACCCTTTTGGAACAAATAAAAATGAAATTGAAATTAAAATTCTGTGCAAGGCAAAAACAACAACAACAAATATGTTAACATGCAAACGGAATCACCTAGGGAATCACTATAACGAAAACTAAATGATAAAAAAACCTTTATGATGACAATAAGAAACATGTTTATGGAGTAAAATACAAAATATAGTATTATTATTGAATTGATACATATAAAATAGTCCATAGATTTGTCCGCGTTGAAAACAAAATAAAATAAAAAAAAACCATTGAAAATTCAATTGAAAACTTAATGCAAAATAAAATGAAACATAACATAACTGAACTTGTTGTTTTCCATATTTATCAATAAAAAAACACAAACAAACAAAATTAAATCTGATTTGAATTTCTGTCTTTCGAAATTGTCGTTTCTTTAATGAAAATAAAGAAGGGGAAAAACGATGTCAACGAATGCAAGAATACATTTTTGTAATGCTTGGCATTTGTTCGAAATGGCAAATGAATGGCAACACTTGTTCGGTGCACCCGACCGATTATTGCTGTTGTTGTTCTTTTCCTTCATTTCGTCATATTATAAATGTTGTCTCAGTTTTTTTATTCGCTGCATTTCATCGTCAACAGAGAACATGCTGTAACGCATCACACTTTCGTTCCACGCGACCGAACGACCAAAATAAAAACAACCGACATTTAAATAATGAGTCATTTTCATTTCTTGTATGTACAGCTTAAATTGCTTCATTAAATTTTATTATTACCGGTTCAAACAATAGAATTTTAGCATTGTTTTGATATACCATGTCAACAAGTTCAACACTAAATGATGAACAGTGCATTGTTCAATGAGCGAAGTTATAACGATTCATATCAATCATTAAATCAAAATGAAAAACCAGTTTCTCTTTTCATCATCAACATAATCGCAGTACCGTAGCCATCACGCATAAAATACATTTATTATTTCGCAAAAATAAACAACAAAAACATCACGCATATATACCGAGAAGAAAAACGCCAAAAATGTTGAAATATACAATATTAACATCGTTGAAAATTTACTATGCGTCAATGAGTCAAACAACAACAAAAAAATCACAACAACAACAACTACAATCTATCTATTGCAACATTAAAAAAATAACATTCAAACTAACTAAATCATACACATAGCTCACACTTTTTGTGTGAATGTCTTGGAATTACCTTTCGCTTTCAGCACAAAGAGTTTTGTTTGCCCTCCACAGAAACCAATCTTAAGTCGCAATCGCAACCAAAACGAAAAAAAACACAACCGCTATTAGCTCGCTCGCGCGCACATTCGCAAATAGATATCAACGTGCATCAACGAATGTGTGTGAAACAACAAGCGCTCAACTCGAAAACCAGTTGATCGCGATTCGCTGGCCACATCAATAGGCAATCAACGACACACGAAGAGTGAACATACAAAAAACAACAACTTCATTTAGACCATCGATTGGGAGTTTTATACGAAAAAAATCAGTTTGTTAATTTGCGCTGTGTCACACACGTGCTCGACCAGAATTTAAAAAAAAAAAAAATTAAGGCGACGAACCAAAAAATTTAACGAAAAAAAAAAACAGGTGATACATCTCTTATCACTTTACTATAACGGGAATATTAAGTGTGACTTTTTTGGGGAAGGAGATAAAATAAAGAACTTAAATACAGTTAAACAAAATAATTATATTTCTAAGAAGTGAAGAAAAGGCATCAGCTATTGGGAAAAAATTTGTTTTTGTGGAACTTTTTTGTGAAGTTTTTTTTTCTCTCTGAATGAAGTTTGGTAGGAAAGTCATTATACCGACACATTTTCATAAAATTCACCATTGACATGAGTAGTTATAAGTACGCGATGATTTAAAAAAAGAATATATTTTTCCGTGATTCGATTATAAATCGGTAATTCGATGGCAAAACAATTCGATCATATACAACATTTTTAATATTAGGGAAAAAAACATTCCAGTGTAAATCCCATAGTTTGGTCCATGTTCATTAAATTTAATTTTAAGTTCGAACAGATTTGATTTTCATTATCACTAATCGGTTACATAATTGAGAACAGCAAGTCATGTGGATAAAAATTTATTCATTCACTGCGAAGTTCTTATTATTGAATCGTATTAAAAGCTGGATTCCATTCGTTTGTTGTCTAATTTACATAAATATCCACAAAAATCAAAGTGGAAATTTAATTTTTGTTGCTGTGGTTTCTCCATTGATTTTACAATCAAAAATTGCTGTTCTTTCCTTCGTTCTTCATTTTGTGGTCAACATTATTTTCTCCGTTCATAAAATTTCACTCTTACCACTCGAATGTGAACTAATAATAACAATAATAATTGTTAGATCAAGTGGAATGATTTGTTTATAGCTCTGAAAACAGTGATTCAATGAAACGAATAATTGATTGAAAAATGTAATGTGAATCGTAAATGATGTGAACCGTAATCGAATCATAAAAAAACCGCCAATGCAGTACTTTTAACTACTGAAAAATTGAGATGGAGCAAACCATTCGGTTTCTTTCGTCTACTCTATGGCTTCGTTTTCATTTTGTTGCATTCGATAATAAAATAAATTCACATTGACGAGATTTTAATTTTGATATTAGTAGTGAAATCGATTTAGTTTACTATGCATGTTTTTTTTCTCCTCTACTACAAACAAACGTAGGTCTGTCTGCATTGTCGAAATGGTTTCGTCGAAAGAAAAAAAAAATTGTAAACTTTTGGAATTTCATCATCTTTATTGGCCAACGAATTTGAAACGGTGTTTGCTCCTCTCTATTGCACCATATTGCTTAACTTTCAAGCAACAACATTCAAAATCACATTTCAGTGCAAAACATTTTGATTCATTAGAATGAAACGAGTACGAGCAATTGACGCAACATACGTATATGGAGAACCGATCGGAGAAGCTGTCGAATAAACCAATTGCGAATTAAATGCAAAAGTGAATGAACAACAACAATAATAATAGCAGTCAACACGGAATGCGGGTATATGTCTGCATGCGCAAACTAACGGGCATAAATGTAAATCGAGATTCGAGAGTATCTATGCGTGTGTGTGTGTGTGTATTTTTTCACTTCTTTGCGATCCATTTTTTATATGCTCAATGTCCGAGATTTAATGAAAGTTCATTTATTAATTGATAGAAAATGTGTCATTTTAATTTGAAATAATAATCGAAATCCACATAGAAAATCGAATGCGTCATTTTTAATCAAAGTTAAGTTAATTAACCATTTTCAACCATTCTTAACCATTCATTCAAAGCTAACGATGATCATTAGACTTAATAATACACATCGATAACATTTAAATGATGCAATTGGAATTTGTTTGTTGTTCGATTTTGATTATCCGCATAATGTTAATTGTATTTTATTCGAGCTGGGGACCGGTCTCTTGTAAATGTGTCTTCTAGCCTTGCATCAATCACACGACATCTTTAAGAATTTACAAGATAACCATCACCTTAATCATTTTATCACAAGGTAAAATCCTTGTGAATTTGTTAGACTTTGTTGAATGAACGGCATTATAAGATATTAAAAATATCATAGATTTAAATTTGACCCCGACGTTTTATTTGCGATGCTGATTTTCATCTGGTGCGGAAAAATGACGAAAAGAAATCAATGAATCGAAATGTTCGACTCTGTGTTGTGTGGTCGCTGGAATTTTAATAGAGAAAAAAATGACAATTTAGCCGAAAACAAGTGATTTGATTTCTTTTTTGATATTATTATCATTTCTCTGTGTGTGTCTAATTTCAGAATAAAGAGAGAATGACAATGGCCAAAAATGGAGACGTTGTACTGATTACAGGTGAATTACATTTCATGTTAATCGCTAGCTCAAAATTTAATTTAATTCTTTTGGAAGAATCATTGAAGATACGAAGAAAAAGCGAAATTGAATGTCGCATTCGTGAGAAATTTTGTTTGATTAATAAAAGTTTTTGAATTCTTTGCGTATTTTTTTCAATCTCTTTTCTCGATTAGGTGGAAGTGGCTTTCTTGGCCAGCACATCGTTAAACATTTGCAGGAAAATGACGATGATGTCAAAGAGATTCGCATCATCGACTTAAAACCATACAGAAATAACTTGAGTACGTATTCACAATTTATTGCAGTTGGAAGTTTATCGTGTTGATTTGCCATTTGCAAAAGTATAAAAAAGAATTTGTATACATAAAAAAAGGTCAAGACGTTAGTCAACTTCTTGACACTCGGATGCTCTTTTTTCTCTTTGCTCATTTCTCCCCCTAAAGAATCATGGTAATTCAATATGAAATCTGCAGTAATTAAAGTTGAATAAAGTTACTTGATTTTTATGAGAGACTTTTTCATCATTCATTCGTTCTGTCTCTGTCATCGATATCATGGTTGAAAATATGTGTCAGTGTTGATGTCAAGAAGCAATGAATGAAAACTTCGCATTTTAAAGTTTCTTTTTCTCTATCTCTGCCTCTATCCCTCCCTACATTTCCCCCTCATCCAGTAGAACGAATATTGAATTGACGAATTCTCATTTATTTTGTTTAAAGAGCACACTGAAACGAAGCCCATTAAAACCATTGTGGGTGATATTTGCGATACGGAAGCAATTGAAGAAGTGTTCGACAATGTTGATGTGGTGTTTCATTGTGCGGCCTTCATTAATTTCCAATTTCCACCAAACGTCGATGAACTCGAGCGCGTTAATGTGAACGGTAAGTCCATTTATTTGTTTGTATGTATATTTTAATGTGCAAGTTGGAAGCCCTCATTCGTTGTGATAGTTACAGCTGTTTGTCAAAGTACTTTAACATTTAACATTACAATATAATGAGGTCGACGGTAAAAACTGTAAAAAAGATAGAAAATAAAATCCAGAGAGAACGGACTGGCTACTTATATATTGAAATCTGTAGAACTTTTATCAAAGACCCGCATTTTCTTTTCTCAATTTTTGTTCGTTAAAGGTACAAAAAATATAATAAACTTGTGCATCAAACACAATGTGCCAAGGTTAATTTATACAAGTAGCGCATCTGTTACATTGACATCATATTTGGGATTGGCACCGTTTGCCGTTGTTGTTAATCTAACCGAAAGCAAAACAAAGCAAGTAACATCCGATAAAGATATTCTCATACCCGGCTATTCGGTGACCAAACATCGTGCTGAAAAGATTGTTCTCGGCGCAAATGGAACTAACTTAGCAAATGGCACAGGTACATACAACAAAATATATGACAAATACATGTGCATTGAATATACCGTATACGGTATATATATGTTTTTCATATTATTCGATGAGCTATTATGAAATTCGAAGCGAAATTTCAAGGTTTTTGATTTTTTGTGTGTGTTTAAACCGGTTTATCAATTCTTTTGCTTGCTCAATTGTTGTATTCTGTTATTGTTTTTATCTTCATGATTTTATGATGACCGCAGGTGAACTCATAACAACATCAATTCGTCCAACTGTATTGTATGGCGAAGAAGATCCGTACTTTTTTCCAACATTGGCCAAAATTACAAAGAAAACTGGAGGCATTATACCAAAAGTATTGGGCGCGGGTGGAAAACATCAAATGACTTATGTCGGTTAGTGAACTTATAAAATCTGTTATCGAAAATTTCTCTTTTCATTTGAGCAAAATTCAATCGATTAAAATGTGTATGGTATTACTTTTCACAAATACGCAAAAACAACAACAATGACGACGACGATGACGACGATGACCAATACAACAAAATTCAATAGGAAATGCTGCATGGGCACATATTCGTGCAAAAGAAACGCTGAAAAATGCATCGAAAAACATCGCTGGCTTGCCGGTATTTGTGACCGATGACACTCCCATTGAAGATACTTCACGATTTTGCCAACGAATGTCTCGTCGCACCGATGCCTTTAACATTCGACCAACGTCGTGGTCATTGCCATCGTTGCTCGGCTATTGGCTGGCCATTTTATTAGAAATCATTATTTCGATGTTGAATCCCATTTTTGGCACAAAACTCAATTTTCAGCCAAGAGCATTGGCAGCATATGCTGGTTCATTATTACAATACAGCCGATTAAGAGCCGAACTACACATGGATTACGAGCCACTTTACAATGAAGAACGTTCACTAGACGATAGTGTAAAATGGTATGCAAAATGGTATAAATCCTACTTCAACAAGGATAACACATCCAAAAAAGCTGAATAATTCAAATCAGCTAATGGCCACATACAGAGAGAAACTCTTTCCATTTTGTTTCCTCTTTTAGTGAAATTAAAACCGATTCATAAATTTTCCTTTTTATCAGAGCATAAAATTGCAATTGCGAAGAAACGCAACAGCTCAGCGAGTGCAATCATTTAATAGTGCTTAGTTCATTTTTCAGGCATCGTTCCAAAGTTCATATTAGTATACTGATTTCAATAAATGCAAACAAGCAATAATCAGCGGTTGGTAAAGGTGATCGTCTTCGTCATTGACGATTTTATGCTCTGCTTTTCATATTGTGGTGCTGAACAATTTAAGTTTAATTGTCTTTTTTATTGGTTTTTTAAATGCATGTATGTTGAAAATGTTTTTGGACTACATTCAGAGGTTAACCACATCACCCAACATTTTTCTTTTTATACCTTTCTTTTTATACATAAATTTAATGATACAATACAGATTAAAATAAAACATACAAAATACGAATTCGTTACTGGTTTTGAATTATTTTAATTTTATAGCATCACAAACAACGTAAGACTCTGCCAATAGAATATTTCGAAGTCTGTTTTTATAAGATCTGTCTGTCCTATGGTGTCTTTTTAATTTTATTAAAGTAATATACCCTTCAAACCTGGATCACATATTTTCAACCGTATATGCATATCTCTGAACAGTGCGTTTGCGCATACTATATGTCATACATTCACTGCATTGAAATGATATATATATATTCATATTCTAATTGCTAATCACAATTGGCCAAGATGATTTTTTTCTTTGAGAACGTGAGAGACGTGCAAACGATGCACTTGACCGATTCATTATTTTTGATTTAATAATACAGTGTTCTTACGTGTTTTGTGTGTGTGTGTGTATGCATGTTTGTGACTGGCGATGGCCCAAAAATTAATAATTCTCAATACGTACGTGATATGAATTTTCAGAAGATGAAAAAATGCGATAACCATGAAATATGCCGTATTGTTGTCGGTAACTAACTAACGGTACCAAGATGTAATTATACACACGGAATGGCATTTTAATAGGTAAATGACTTTTTCATTATACCATTTAGACTATTCTGTATACAGAAACAGAAATCTACCACCCAAATTGTATTTGTTTAATTAAATCGATTGATTTGATTGCACGTGTTACAATGAGATTGAAGCCATAAATAAACTGCACTTGAAATTGATTTAAATCGAAATGAAGGAATCACCAAGTTTATCTAATAGAAAATTGATTAGACCGCATCGCAAAAATTGAATCGAAATTATTGAGAGCAACCGTTTTCAAAAGGCCTCCGTTGTAATGTTGAACTTTCAACTTTGATTGAACATTTCTGACATAGAGCCAATATTGGATACCACGTAAATTTCATAATTTTCAATAAATTTCGCCTTATCGATAAAACACGAAACAGTTAAGCTTTAAAATAAATCGAAAAATTAACCAGAAACCGGTACACTAAGTATATCGGAAGTTTCAATTAGAAATGGAACAAGGAAGGGGACTAGGAAATTAGGTATGTTCAGTTTGAAATCAGTTGGTAGAAAAATGGCTTCAGGTAATATGTAACTTCTTTTAAAATTGTTGAGCAAATTTAATCGTTTTGAAATCAAATGGCTGAGAGCATGACTTGTCGAAAAAATATGTTTCATCCCTTTCCGCTATTTTGCACATAGTAACCAAACGGTATTCTATCATTGGTTCAATGTGGCGATGGTGAGTAGAGAGAAAGAGCACAATGTCTTCATATTCAAAAATGATGACATGGATACCGACAATCTGGTGTCCAAGTAATTTCAAAGCGGAAAGATTCTTTTTATACGCTAATTTGCTGGCGAATTTTTTTTTTCGGTGACTGTGATAGATTAATAAATTGTCGTACCCTGAGTGAGTTTGTTCATTGTGTATGGTTTTGGTTTTGGTTTGCTTGATACTTACTTATGTCCTCACTAAAGTGTTTCGATTATTCAATTTTCCGGGGGTTTCTTTCACTCTGTACCCTGTGCACTCCGAAAATGTGCTATCTTTATGAAATATAGATTATAAAGTTTAATGATACCGGGTGGTGGTTTTTTTTTCTCGTTGCTATTGTTATTGGCCATCGTGGATGAGCAAACGAGCGAGGGAGCACGGACGAATACAAGGTAGTGCTGTCAAATCAATTTTAAATATAATCAACCACTTATTTTGTGAAAGCGACGAGAAGCCGTTTTGATACAAATACCCAGGCAATATCGCACACATGTTTATAAATGTACTATCGTTCACGTGCTTCGAAATTTCCTTTTTCGATTTGTTTCGCTTCGTTTTAAAAAGACAATCGAATTTTGTTCATCGCTGTACACGAGCGAGTCAACGAGCGAGTGAATTCTGAATTGAGCACGAGAAGATGAACATATAAAAATAAAACATAGTGGTTTTGGTGAGGGCTACATTATTTTATCCTTTTTTAAATTTTTGCGTGCATTCATTCTCTCGCTCTCTTATTTCCTTTGTCTTTTTATGTTATTTTCTTTTTTGTTCGTTCATCTTGTTGCTGTTCATGGCGTCACGTTTATAATCGCTGCATTACATTGTACAAGCACCAATCTGTTTCGGGTGGATTTCGCAACGGATTAAGATTTGCAAAGGAATCCATGTTGACATACAACTCCCACTTTCCTGTCATGCTTTAAGCATCTCGATTTCCTCTGGTACTAGAATACATACTAGCACATTTTATACGCGCATTTCTAAATTAGACGCAATTTTATTCCACACATCCTTTAATATATATATTTTTTTCTTTCACTCTTTTCATCATTTCTTTGCACGAAAAGTACACGGAATGAAACTGCAAAACTTGAATGAAATTAGAAAATTAACCTCTTGACATACGCATATGTGTCACAGTATAAACCAAGATTCATTCGTGGTGCTGAGACGGGAACGCTAGATAGATAGAACCAAAAAATAATGGAGAATGAAAAAGCGAAAGTTTGTGGCAGTGCCATTTGCCGCTCTCATCGGCTTTAGCTCGAAGTGTTTGAGGGAATCAATTTGAAGCTAAGCAGCGAATAATGCGACTGTATTTATGGTTTCTCACCACCATTTGACTTGAAAGGTAAATGCAGGTATTGTGTTGGTAGTTTAAATGTTGAATTAATATTCATATATAAAATGGGTAAATTCATGGCATGTGATATTAAAGTGATTTATATTTGACATGCATTTTTTATATACACACATTTACGCTCATATAATTTGCCAACACATTTGGGAATTGAGATCGTACCAGATTTACTTCAATGCCATTACCATATGTATATACATATATGTTTTACCATATACTAATGTAGAGCTAATCACAAAATGATGTTACTCATATGAATAGTAAACAAATTGATGAAAACTCTACAAATTAGAAATTTTCTAGAAATTTTTTGATTGGCTGTGATAAAAAAACAGTTTTTTTTTCATTTGCAGGCGACTACTTTGTACGTTTATCATGCAAATAATAACACTGACCAACAGCATTGAAAATGTATCATATTTCGTAAACAAGCGCATAAATTAATCATTTGATTTCAAAAGGTTTTTTTCCAGTCATACTTTTTCATTAATAACATGGTGGTAATGAAATGATGATGAAAAATTGTCATTATATCTTGTGTAAAATCTCTTCAAAATATCTTAATCCATGGTATGGCTGCAGAAAAACTTGCACAAAATCAAAATGTTCTCAAGATGGATCCATGTAATCGAATAAATTGACCTGACTGGCGGGAGTCTAAGTTTTCATAAAAATGTCGGACAAATAAAATTTTCTGCATGAATTTGATCCATGAAATCCATATAATTTTCTGTTTCATTTCGCTATATGAAATAGTGAGCCGTACTTTAAAAACGCAAAATGATTGTAATTGTAATTGTGTCGATTTCACGAGTGTTGTTTTTGATTGCGGAATGAGTTGTTTATCAGAAATACAAAATTGATTCGATAAATACAACGGACCACCAAATGGGAGAAAAGTGTTTCTCATTATTTTCACAACAATGTAAGAACAATATCATGTGCGTATCGAACGATTATTCAAATTGTAAGTGAGCAATAATAAGTCAGCAAACTGAAAATCATTAACAACATATTGCCGATGAAAGGACATCCTATTAAATGAGGTCAGTATGTGCGAGTGTGTTTACATTATGATTTTTGGCAGTATCAATTTTTCGCACGTTTTACGGGAAAATGTGCACAATGCCCAAATACTCTTATGACTAAATTTATTGATAACTGAGGCTTTATGACTCAGAGAGACTTGCCGCATATGAATGTAGAATCATTTTGAAACAAACAAAATTGCTGAATCGACTGTTTTGAGGCCATTTTGCCACCACCATCATTGCGTACTAGGGCTGGCCAAATACAGCTCCAAATATGTTGGAAACCACTTTGATGCTACAATTTTAAGGTTTGTAGCTTCGTATAAAAAACACATTAAAAAAATATTTAAGATTCGCAGTTAACGAAAAAAAGGTTTATATAATAGAGTTGAATGCGAACAATATTATTTTTGAAGAAAACAAAAAGTTGAAATTATTCGTTTGGGTCAGATTTTTAGTCCACCTTACTGCGAACAACACAATCTAATAATAATCAAAGCCAATGTAAAACTGATTGAAATACACACATTGTGCTCGGTTCTATTTTCGTTGTTGTTGGCATGCAATTTCCTATTGTTTCATTTGTGTGTTTGGTGATTGCAAAATTTCGCAACTGAAACAGTCATCATCTCTCTATCTCTCTCTCACACACTTTCTATTACGTAGAAAATCGATTTTATTGCCACTTATTTCTCTCTGTCGATAGAAGAGCCGATGGTTTTGCGAAACTACATAATGTATGCTTGTATTACTACATTTTGATCCTATTTGACAAAGTTGTTTACTTAAAGCTCGATGATGTTTTAATAGGTTCGTTATTAAAATGATTCTCACATTCACATTTTAATTGCCTTAAATGAATGTTTGTGTTGAACAATCTGCGTGCCATTTATTTGGGTAACTTTTTTTTGCTGATACGTGACCAGAGGTTTGCAAAGTTTGGTTTACTTTGGCACTTCGTTTATAAATCGATCGAGCACCTCTTTCTTATCGGTCACGCTCACTTTCTCTCCCTTTTTTTCAGTGGCAAATAAATCTTCGTAAAGTTTGACCTCGAAACTTATGACTTAACGTATCTTTTTTTTTTCTATTTTTTTGTTTCTTTATACTGTTTTTCAATGGAACTTGGCTTCGTTCAATATAAATCTCTCTTTGCATAGCACTCAAAGACTTTTCCACTTGTTTGTATAGACTGCATGTAAAGAACGTGAATGCAGGCGACTATTTACAAAGAGAATTTTCTTTCTGGACATATACACGAAATCACTTAAAATCACCCTGCATATTTTATACATGCACATGGTATTTGTGTTGCTTGTTTGATTGTG